ATAGATGTAGTAATTATCATCAAATTGGTCACAATGTACGTTAATGTACTTCTATTCAACCTAATGAGTAGTAATTGATAATGGCAATATGTTCATTATGACCCTATCCTCTTTTTATAAGAAATTTGCATAACATAAGATCATGTTAATCAAACGGTGTAAAAAAGTAAACAAAGAAACATATGTCATAAAACATCTAGTTAAGGTACATGTTCATAAATGACAACAATATCTGTTCTTATACATAACAATTATGGGTCACTAGTGGCCTTAAGAAGTCAATCTCTATCCTTGTGCGGTTGGTCAGGCTGAAGTGGTGTCAAGATGCACTCCTTATGTTGAACGACATCTATAACTGGATCCTCAGTATTGCCACTCTGTATCGGAGGGTCAGATGAAGAAATAGGCTCCATAATGCGATTCAAATCATTTTTCAACACTAGCATAGACTGACACAAGTCTCGCATCTCATCAAAGGTGAAAGAATCATGGCCATCAATCATCAAATAGTGGGCTCTCTCAAGACCATCACCCTACAAGTCAAAATTTTGTATGTTTAACAACATCATTACAAATCAACAACACAAAACTATTGACCATGCATAGGGTTAAGTTTTATTACACTTACAAGTAATGATGGACAACTGCATCTCTTGTCATCCAACGTCAAGTATGAGCTCTATACCACCGCATATACTCAAAGTTAGAACTTAGCTGACCAATCTAGAGGTCATTAGTCATGACCCAATGTCTCATCTCCCATATGTCTAACACATCCCTAAGCTTCTCTTCCCAATTCTCTGATGTCTTCCCTCGCAAGGTCAAGTCATGTAGTGCATCTAGCTAGAATGGGCGACGAGGTATATGTTGAAGCATACGAAATTGACGCATAACTCGATCAGGTTGGTGCCACTCACACACTTGAAAACATATCAAAGGCACTACAGCCCTCCACAAATCCATCACCTCATGACATATAGGGGGTAATGAATTAATTAGATCAACCGAATACGGTTGCCAAATTATCTGTAAATAAGGAACAAACATTAAGGTTAGTTTTAATAAATGATAAACAAATTGAAATATGACTATAATTTCATGTCTATTTGTTAATAAAGGTTCACCTCATCATGACTAAGCATGTCAAATTTATATCTATAATAAGATATGTCTTTCCTTCCTTTTCGATTCCTTTGGTTTGCCAACTACCTTAAAAAAAAGTCACAATAATGTCAGTACAAAAAATATGTTAATAAAAGTTTAACAAAAATTATCTTCATATTACCTGGTAGCATATGGAAGATGGAGTCGTGTGTGGGGGGATTATCAGGAGCTAGAAATGAAAACCTATCCCATGCCCACATGACAAGTAAAGTAGCTAATCCACCTAAACCATGCCGATCAATATTGGTGGCCATACACAGCTCTCTATACAATACTTCTAATACTGCAGACTCTCAACTATATTCACCAGTAACAGCAAAATCCTGTAGTAAAGGTAAGTACCTCACTGACACTCTACTGTTGGAGTGATCGCTCAATATAAAACTCTCAATCAACCGCAACATATAAGCCCTAGCAAACCGGGTGATCTGTAAGAGATTTTGTGCATGCATCGCCACATGGGTAAAATGTTGGTCTAGCCAACTCGTCTTCAAGAAGCTACCAACAAATGCATCACGTGATGGTCTAATCCTAGACTCTCCTCAACAATATCAACATAATTACCTCCAATAGGTGCTATGACAGGTCTTCTATCAATCCCTAAACCTAACAACACAGATATATCTTGCAAAGTGATCGTACACTTGCCTAGAGGCAAGTGAAAAGTGTGTGTCTCTGGCCTCTATCTCTCTACTAATGCAGTGATCAACGAGAGGTCTAATGGGAACTGACATACATGAACAATCCCAATAAATCCCGCAAGCTCTAATGTGAAAGGATCTCCTGTGGAACATTATCCAAACCAGCTAGAATATACTGACTCTTCCTAACCTTCAAAATAGGATGTTCCTGACCATCCCAAATATGTTCAGATACATGAATCTTCTGTAAGTGCAATAATGAAGGAACCTCTGGTTCAGGAAGAATGATCCTATTCTATCCTGAAATATAACATGTTAGTTTCATTGTTATTATGAAATATAACATGTTCAATAAATTCATAACATAAATTCTAATAATACAATTTCATATTTAATTTTTATTTTTATTACTTATCATTAATTAAAATATATAATCAATAATTTATTTCAACTAATTTGTATCATTCCAAAAATTTATATTACATAACTAATTTTTTTATTTCATTAAAGATTATGTTATGAAATTAATCTCATCTCATTAGTATCACTCTAAAATTTAAATTCAATAAACACATTTATTATTTCATCATAACTAAAATTATATAATTACAATTATTTATTCTAAATTATTTAATATCACTCCAATAACTTAAATTACATAACTAAATTTCTTATTTCATTAAACATTAAATTATTTAATTAAAATATATTAATCTCATCTTATTAGTATCACTCTAAAATTTAAATTTAATGAATATATTTATTATTTTATCATAAAGAAAATTATATAATTATATTTAGTCATTCTAAATTTTTTAATATCACTCCAATAATTTAAATCATAAACCATAATTTACCAATATTAGTTAAATTTTTTTCTTTCAAATATTTTATAAACTCAAATTTTTGCTATTGTAATTTTAATATAAATTAGTATAGTCAATTTTAACAACATGGTTTTTTAATGTTTAACTATAACTTTTTTTCTTTGGTAATTATCTTTTCATTAATCATAAATCAATATATCTATTTTATAATTTTTTTTAATATAAAAACAGAATTTATGTTATCATTTTATACATTGTTTTCTTATTTTCATCTCTTATGTAATTAATCAACCAATTTGATATAATTATTTTCTATTTTTCTATTCTAAATTTTATTTAACTATTTATTATTTTATTTAATTATTTTAATTATTTTTTACAATTTTATAAATTTACACTTCAAATTACTATAATAATTCTAAATGCAAACTCTAATTTTTTTTTTATCTTAATATTACTATCAAATTTTAATTATACAAATTTTGGTTATTTTTATATATCTACAAATTTACCAAAATTATTTTAATTTAATTTTTAATCTAATTATTACTAAAAAAAAATATTATAATCAATCAAGTTTTAAAAATTTAATTATAAAACTTCAATTTTTTATCTACCTTTTACTATTATAATAAATATAAAAATTAAATTTATTAAATAAATTGAAAAACCTGAGAGGCGGAGGTGGCGTTTTTCGGCGAGAGTTGATTCCCAACGACGGCAACAAGGAGTCTGAACGGCAGCGTCTCTCTGGCGAGCAATTCCTCTTCTCCGTTTAGCGACGATTAAGAAGGTAACCGGTTCTCTGAAGTTCTCAAAGTTTCAGTCCAACAACATCAGAACTCACTACAAACCAAGCCGATCTGGACACTTTTGTGCAATGGATCACGAATCTCACTCAAAAATCACTCTAAAATGATAAAAAAAAATACCCAGGTGAAGTTTCAGAAATGCAACAATGATGTTTTTCTCGAGCACCAGTAGAAGAGCGGAAGGGTAGAAGGGAAGAGAGAGACGCAGTAACCGTTGCCTCCGCTAATATGTGACCCAATCACAATGTTTCGTCTTTGAATCAGACGAAAAGAGTGTTTCATCCTCATCAATGATGAAACACGTTGGTTGAACCATGTGTCGGGAGGCGAGAAAATTTAATTCAAACTTTTTGACCGTTTTGTCTCATTCTTATAGAAACTATTGTACACGTGGCCAATTTTATAGAATTTCGTCTGTATTCTAGATGAATTTAATAAATAAATAAATAAAAATTAATTTTGCCTTGGTCAAATATGAAATCTGAACTGACGTGGCAACAATTTACTTCAAACAGTAAATTACTTTACTTTTAACTTTATTTTGGTAATTAATTTTTAAAAAATCATTATTTTAATCATTAAGAATGAGATAAATTACACAAATAATTATTTAAAACAGTTATTTACTTTCTTAATAAAACAATCGAAGCTTTTTTAATTAAACACAAGTAAAATACAGCGACTGATTTAACAGCATGTTATTATAATAGGTTTAAAGTTTGTGGGTGGAAAAAAAGAAAGAAAGAAAGAGAGTAGAGAACAGGGCATAATTTGAACATCTAAAATATCTTATAATAGACAATTGGGTCGGTCAAGACAAAAATAAAAGTCAAAGTTCAAATTCAAACTCTTAGTAGTCCATGGACCACGATGCTTTCACACCCACAAATTTGCCGCCTCAGGCCTTAGCTATAATAACAATATTGCCAATTTCATAATTTTAACTATAACATTTTTTATATAATAAATATATTCTTTATCAATAAAAGTTTATCATTTAAGGTTTAAGTTAACAATTTTTTCTAATAATAATAGCTATACTAAAGTATTAGTTAAAAAGTAACAAATATTATTATTTTTTAGAAAACGTAACAATATACTCAATTTACAATCCTAATGCCTTACTGCTTAATTTTTAATAAAATTTTATTATTATGTATTACTTTTTTATTTTTATTTATCTGTATAAAAATATACAAACCATAAAATTTAAGTATTACGTTAAAATTAATTGTTATATATATTTTTTTATATTCTTTTACCGCTATAAATTTTATATACTTATTTTTACCATATTATATTATTATCATTATTTTTTATTTTTCTTTTTCCGTCGTCTCCTATACCTAAAATTGAAAAATACACTTATCAGTTCCAATAATAATATTTATAAAATATATTAATATAAATAACTTAATCAAATATTTATTTACTAATTTTTTTATTATTAACATAACATATAATAAAAAATAAAAAATAAATGAACTAAAAAATATTATAATAAACTCTTTTAAATATTTCATAAACTTTTATAACATATTCAAAAAAATTTGGTTATCTATCTTAGTATATAATACTCACTTTTTAAGCTGTAAATAGATAGTCTTCCTTTCTCTCTATCTCTCTCCGTTTTCAATTTTCATTTACACCTTCAACGCCTCATCAGTCACATAACAAGTTACACACTTCTCTTCTCTTCTCTTCTCTTCTTTCTACAACCTCACTTTCACTCATAAATGTCTGCAACGTTGACTCAGACCTTGCACTGCTTGCACCATTCAGATGAAGGTGACAACTACACCTATGGCAACAGCACAAGCGTGAGTGAGATAGAGGAAGAGAACACCTCGCACGTGCACTTCAATCATGCTCCCAATCCTATGCTCACCATTAACGAAGAAGATACTGTTTATGTAGCCGTTGGTAAGGGCCAAAGTAGCATGGTAGCTCTCTCATGGACCCTCAACAACTTGCCTTCTCCATCTACCATGCTCTATCTCGTACATGTTTTCCCAGAGATCAACCACGTTCCAAACCCATGTAACCCTTCTCTTCCAATTTTCCCATCTCTCTCTCTCTCTCTCTCTCTCACTCTTAATTATTAATTTTCAATTACTATTTTTTATCTTTAATAATAAAACTTTGGTGCTTAGAAAGTGTTGTTGGTATTTTTTATTAATTAAAATTAAAATTTTATTTGGATGATTCGGTGTAATATTAAATAAAATTTTAATTGATAAACAACACTGCTGATAATTAAAGAATATCATATAACTTTTGTTCTTTCTTTGATTTCCTGTCTCAACGGTGGATGGGTGCAACTTGTTCGCTCTATGGGCCTACCAGTGACTGTGAGGTTGGATCTTAAACACCAAGTTGTTTTCAAGACCACAAAGAATTAATATTGCCTCTCAGGATCAAGGGATATAGAAAATGCTTCAAAGTTCTTTTTTCATTTTTTTACTTGAGCATTTGGCTTTCTTCACTTTAACCCAGGAATCAATTTTGAGGGCTTAAAATTTAAGATGATCCAAGAGTCAAGATATGAATGCTAAATTAAGATGGGGTTCTCGAGTCACAACAAGGAGTACAATGATTGAAAAGATTGTGAATTTCAAGGACAAATAGTCAAAACTCTTGTGGAATTCTTCAGATCAGATTTTTCCTTTCTAAATGCAAATACTTTCCTCAAGTTGAAATTTAAATGCTATTTTTAACTAAATGTTATGAGTCGAAAAATAAGATGTTTAATGTAATATTTAAGGTATGGGATTCTCTCACTTAATGAATTGATCTTTTAGGTTAAGTTCTATTCATATACTTTAATCATAATAATTATATTAGGAGTTAAGTTGTGGAAAGAGTTATCTATAAGCTAGATTAAGGTTGTTTCATATGATGGCAGTGGGAGTGGGAATGATTCCAAAGGAGCAAGTGAGTCCTGAGCAGGTGGAGAGCTATGTCGCCCAAGAAAGAGGCAAGAGGAGAGACCTCCTTAATAAGTTCCTCCAGTTATGCTCTGCTTCCAAGGTACTTATTGATCTATAACTAAAATTGTAAAATTGCAAATGCAAACATTTTTTTTTTCTCTCTTTCAAATTTCATCCAAAAGCAAGAAATGAAGTAACAAAAATATCAAACAGGTAAAAGTAGACACCATCCTGATAGAGAGTGACTTGATTGCAAAGGCTATCATTGACCTGATTCCCATTCTTCAAATAGGAAAACTAGTGATTGGAGCCAATAAATCCCAATTAAGGTAGAATGCTATACTATCAATGTATTCTATACAAGTTCAGCTTAGGCCTTCGTATACATTTTTTACATTTGAATGAAGCACTTACATTTTGGTTGCACAGAAAATTGAGATCAAGGAAAGGGAATGGCATAGCTGATCAGATACTTCAGAATGCTCCAGAAAGTTGCAAGGTGAGTATTTTATGTGAAGGGAAGGAAGTAAGAGAACAGATAACTAGAGCCACTGCTAATGATACTTCCATGGCCCTGAAAAAAGATCAGCAAAATGCTTCAGTTTCATGTGTTTGTTTTAACTTCTAAGCCCAAACTTTAGCATAGGGGATAGTTCCCTCAATGAATATTGGTTTTAGATTTTAGACTTTGTGTAGATGAAAAATTAAGTGTTTGAAACCAGAAGAGAATTTTCATGCAATATCACTGATTTTGTATAATTTGGTTGGGCTGCTAATATTTTTAATTTAAGGTAGCCCTATTGTAAGTGAGAACTGCAAGCTAAAGTCCATTAATTATGAAATATGTGAACTTTTTCTCTTCAATTTTTATGTTGTATCTCTATAAAAAGAGTAAATTTTGGTACAAAACATGGGTATTTTATTATGTACATTGCAATATTGACACTATACCGAAACAGTACACAAGTATGAAGTATCCTATTGCTTAAGACTTCCCTTGGATTTTGGCTGATAATTTTGTCTGCTCGAAAGTGTTTATTATATGATAAAAATAATTAGAACATAATTTATGACAAACTCATCTGAACTGCAACAAAGAGAAACGCGTATTGATAGTTAGTATATCTCATTGCAAACAACGAATTTCCCCATAAAGCAACAATTTTCTTAAAATGCATTTAGATAACTTTTTCTGAGGTATAGTTGCCAAGGACTATGATAAACGGTAAACATTAAGACAGTACCTAAACACAAGAGACATTAATACGAAGAAAGCATTTTGAAAACTGTAATGATCTATTTGGAATGAATAAACGTTGTCATAACACTAATTAAAGAATTACATATAAAATATTTATATAAAAAATATAATATTTAATATCATTCTTATTCTTTTTTATTAAATTAAAATTCATGCAATTTACTATTTTTATCTATACTTTTAAAAATCTTTTATACATATAATTAAATTGACTTAAATAATTTTTAGTTATTTTTTATTATAAATAATACTCTAATATTTTCTTGTATCGTATCATTTCTTGTGTATCCATTATCTATTTAAAAAAATAAATATATACATATTTTTAGTTTTATTTTAAAGTGAATATTAATATAAATTTATTAAAATTTAAATAAAAATATATTTTTATTTATTCCCATCAAATACAATTTCCCTTTGAGGATTTTTTTTCAAGGGAATCCGATTTGAGAGTAGAATTTATGAGGAAAAAAATCTCTAAAAGTTGAAATTGACACCAAGATATTAAATGAACGATCCAAAATTAATCGAAGAAAAAAAAATACATAGTGAAGAAAAGGAACTACTACTAAAGTGAGGATCTCAAGATAACAACTAAATATACTGCATATTATTGAATGATCTATGTGAATTCTTTGTAATGTTACATTAAATTGTACTTAAGTAAATATTTATGTATTTATATTGATAATATTTATGTAATTTATGTTTATTTATCAATTCAATTCTTGATTTTATTATTTTATCTATATTCCAAATCCAACTAACCCTAGAAGGTACAAAGGAAAGTCCCCAAGAACATTTCTCATATCCACATATTCTTGGGCGGTTTTATATGGGACAACTAGTCTGACTTAGACCACATCACCATGACTCATTTATATTTGAACTCTCTCTCTCTCTCTCTCTCTCTCTATATATATATATATATATATATAAAAGGTTTGGCATACACACTATTTTTCTATTGTTATTTTATTGGAGATCTTTAGAAAAAGAATTTGATAACTTGTCAAATCTCAATTTGTTTGTACAACATATATTATTACTTTTTTATATCAATTTAAAATTTACTTAATTTCTTTTGATTTTATATTAATTTATTAGTTTATATATTATATAATGTTAAACTATACATCCAACAATGGTTGGTTACAAGGAAAAATACCTATAACCCTAAGTAAACTTTATTTGTAGTATCACGGATTTAAATTTAGAGGTCTTCATTTTCAGAAGATGATGGATTGATTCAAGGACTAATTTCACACTATAGCTTGCAAAAATTCCCAATCAAAAATTAAAATTAGTATTTATATGACATGACTTTTTATTTAGTCCCGGGTGGACTAGTAAACCATAAATTAATATATGTTTTAGCAACGATTAGTTCGATTTAAAAATATTTGAAAAAACTATTATTTGGTTGAATATTTAATTACTTTATAGTGAATTTATAGAGGTGACAAATAATTTTAGTAAGAACAAAATTTGAGTATAATTTATTTAAATTTTTTACTATCATTTTTTAATTAAAATTAAAATGTTATTTCAATAATTTGTAACAAATTTAAATGCGTACTTTTTACTAAGTAAAAGTTTTAATTATTTAAAAACAACACTAAAATACCTGAAATTACGCCTATATTTTATCTTTTTATAGATCACCCGAAGTTTGGAAATTTTGCATATTTGTAACATTATTATTGTGCTTGAATAATTGAAAAGAAAGGTAATTTAAGAATCTATATCTTCCTTACTCACAACAAATTTAACCATGAATACGGAAAATTAAAGATGATTGGTTTTTAGTATTATCGTCGTGAGTTTACGTTAGACTCATAGACTTATATAATTATACAGCTAATATTTAATTATATTATATCCTCCTAAGTATATAATATGATTAATTATTAGCTTAGAGTTAAACTTTAATTAATTAACCAGTGTCTAATGTAGTCGTTATCTAATCTTACCGTGTGAAAGAAATGGCATCATCAATTTAGTATATCATTCTTTCTCGCACTTTTTATAAAAAATAAAAAATTAAATCATCAGATCAAGAAAAATAATTAAGTATGTTATGTTTTTCATAAATATAAATTTTATTTAAAAATATCTATAATATTAAATGATGTAATAAATCTTAAATTTTAAAAGAAATTTAATAATTAATATATTTTAAATCTATTATTTATTTCTTATAAAAAGGAGCGGAAGGAAAAAAGAGTATTGCTGTGTATATAATTTGAGTTTAATGGAGGTGTTTGGCCATAGTTTACCTCATGCCAAAAGGCTAATTCTAATTATGTTCACAACCTTACTCTCTCAAATTCATTTCCTTTTCGGCTTTTTTATTTTGTCCTTACCTTCCGTATTACCTTTGTTTTTTATTTTAATTCATTAATCAATTCTCTTCGTATCACTTTCTTTAATTTTTATAAAATAAAATTTGTTTGTACCCTTTTGTCCTGTACACAAATACGCGTAATCCATGATACCATTCCTCTAATCTATATGCATCCTCAAGTTGCTGAAGTTTCGTTTTAATTACGCTGAAACAATGAAACTCTAATTTAATACAAAAGGACTAACAACACTACATTGATTGAAATTGATTAAAAATTATATGAATAGACAAAATTTACTCATATTTTTATATTTTTTAGTAAGTTTTAACTAATAAAAATGTGTTAAAAATAAGGTAAGGTTAAGAGTGTGGTCTCTTAGCAATTCTGGTAAAAAAAAATCCAAGTCAAATCTTTAATTTTTTAGTTTTTCCTTTGCAATAACAAAGTCTACAAAACCATAGGAGAAACCAAGTTGATGTAAACTTGGGCACAAACGTTGTATCTCAACGATGTCAAAGGAAAAGGGTGATGAGTGTTTGCAAAACGATTTCAATGAAGAAACCGCAAGTTGCACATGCGGTTTCATTGGATTCAGGAGAAACCAAGTGTTTGATTGCAGCCAAAGCTGCAACAACAGGGAGATAAGTAATGTAAATGAAGATTCAGAGGAGCTATTTGAGATCAATCTCAAGGAGCCATTGGATACAATATCAGAAGACTGTGAGAGCAGTGTGTTCTCTTTTGATATTCACAACCACAAGGATATTGTTCATGTGGCAGTGGACCATGCTGGAGAATCAAGCATGGAAGCACTTTTATGGACTTTGAAACATGCTGTCACACCCTCTACTACTGTTTGTCTTATACATATTTTTCCTGAAATTAGGCTCATCCCAAGTCCATGTAAGTCATGTTCTTATATTTTGTTGTTCTTTATTTTGTCTTTTCCTTCTCTGTTCCTTTGTTAGATGGTTATGGTCAAATTAATACCTTTTTAGGACCAAATTACTGTATAAGATTGGTTACTTGATAGTCCTTGTAAAATGGTATTACTTCAAGGTTATATTTGAATATCTAACAGTAAAATGATAGGAATGGAATAAAATAGAACTCAATAGAATGAAATAAAATTACTACTTTATTATTTTAATATATTTTGATAAAATAAAAATTTAGTTTAATTTTCATCATTTATACCAAATTAAGAGAGGATATAAAGTAATGTTTTAGATGAAATGGAATGGAATCCATTCCATTTCTTTCTTATTTAATAAATCCAAATAATATGTCATATTAAAATTCCATTCCATCCCACTCTAATTTTCACCAATCCAATCATAAGTAGAGTTGGTGTGTGAGCAGAACAAACTGTACCATTTTATTGTTCCTTTCTAGTAGAATCAAAACGACTTTTTATCCACATATTATGTTTTGTTTCATTTTTAAAACGCACCAAATAAAATTTAATCCATATGTTATGATGTGTCCATTCTAAGATGTCTATCAAACGCTATATCAAATGAGAATATTTGAGTTTTATTGGTATATCATGCAAAAGAATTTCAACTTAAGTTGTTTGATATCGTTGGTGCAATTCAAGGGATGGATAACAAGAGTGTTTCCATTTTAACTAATAAAGCTACCAATTCAGCTATTATTTTGTGTTCTTGATCGTCTTCCTTTTAATATGCTTGATGGCAGTTGGAAAAATTCCAAGGAGTCATGTAAAACCAGAGTATGTTGACTTTTACTTGGCTCAAAAGAAAGGCCAGAGGAAACTACTCCTTCAAAGGTTCATTGACATATGCATTGATTCAAAGGTAAACAAATATAAGATCAGTTTATTTGGACACTAGTCCTTTTCTATATTAGTTATAGATAAATAATGGTAATAACATACAGGTAAATGTGGAGGTGTTGCTCATCGAGGATAACAATGTTGCCAAAGCCATAGTAGACCTTGTTAATGATCTTAGCATAAGGAAATTGGTGATTGGAATTACCAAATATACTTTAAGGTACCATGTCCTGCAATATCTGAAATTAAATTAATACCAATAATCTTTTGCTAATGTGTCAGTTATTTTATTATTGTGATATTTAACAGATTTGTCTCTAGAAGAAGAAATGCCATAGCAGATAAGGTCCTCAAGAATGCACCCGAAATCTGTGATGTTAAAATAATATGCAATGGAAAGGAAGTGATTGATCAGATGATTGGTTGCACTTCATCATACTCCTCTGACATTAGCAGTTCCAGAGTTTCACAAGAAGGAGATGAATCCCATCGTTTTGTTCCTCTTATACGTTTTATCCCCAATCCTATATGTTTATTTAGACCCGGATTTTAATCAATGAAAATGTATAAGAACTCAATTGTTTTTCGTTGACCCATGTTAATAATTAGAGACAATGAATATGCTTCTTGTACAACTTTTGCAATCATAACCATGCCTTATTTCATTACGATAAAATGGATCTTTAAATTCAAATGAAGCCACCGAATATATATAATTGTAGTGCAATTGTACAAATTACATTACTCAAGATCTAGAGTACATACTCTTAAAAAAGGGGGTTAAGATTAAAGGTGATTTATTTTGAGCTTTTTCTTTTTCTTGTATGATCTGTTTGCTGTAACTTGTGCTAGTTGCAAAGTCTAGACTATGTGTTAGTTATACATGGTTGTATCTAAATATTGAAGATATATAAAAAAGGGTTTTATTATCTATATATACGCACACAAAACATGCAAGAATTTGGGATGATCATTTTAGTAGTTCAAGTAGTAAAGGGGTATGCTTTAGATAATCTATTATCATCCATTAATCTGTATGTTGTTCGTGAAAGAACGTAGAAATTGGATTTAAATGTGTTGAACTTTCAATCTTTGGAAATTTCCTACAACTTAATTGTTATTTGGATTATGAATAATGATGAATGACCTGCAACGTGCTCATGTTACAAAAGATCGCAATAGAAACCAGATGAAAATTCACTTGTGCCACGTAACTAACAAAAAAATCTTGGTCAGAAGAAAAATAACAAAAATTATCTATATCCACATAAGTTTTTGACATTATAATTAGATGATATTCGGGTGACTTTGTTAGCAATTTGTCTAATTCATGTTTTTAGACTGGCAAAGGCTAATAACTAAAGTTGAAATTCATAGGTTAGGATTTAAAAACATTTGATCATGTATCTTCTTCATGCATCACAAAATATTGTCATCATTAAACTGATATCTTACATCAACTAAGTACTTTTGTTAAAAGTATATGCAGTTTTTTTCCTTTTCCTTTTACTGCCTTGGAGCTGTATTATTTTGGGTTTAAATGTTGAAGAGTATTAAATATGGATCCAGATTTTCTCTCGAAACTGGACATTTACTTTGATTTTATATTTTTTCTTAAAAAAAATGTAAAATTTTGTTTACAGAATTTTCTCTCGTAATTGGACATCCAGTTACATTCATTTTATATTTTTGTTTAAGAAAAATATAAATTTTACTCTCTTGAAGAGGAACAGAACTTCGCAAATTAAACCATTTTCAAATTGCTAAACCGATCAAAATAAATAAATAAAAAATCAATCAACCCAAAAACTAAAAAAATTGCATATAGTACAGTTTAATTCAATTTTCAGATTATATTATTTTTATTATATTTTCATATAAAAAATATTTGTTAATTTCATGGTATAGTGTATCACTTTAATTTATTTTAAATTCTTATTTTTTCAATTGAATATTTTTTATCTCTATCGATAATTTATTTTTTTTATAATTTATGTGTTTAATCATCGTTTCTTGTTTTTACAACCTGTAGTTAAATCCATTAGTTTGTTTTGTAGAATAAAACATACGAAATGCTAAAGAAAACGCAACCTGCAGCATGTCCAATAACCCAGGGTACCCAGCTTTTCACAGCAATGTTCATGGAAAGAGAATTAACCATCTAGCTATAATTGTATATATGAGAAAAACAAATTGACTATTTTGCATTTTAGTTGATTTTGGGATTTAGATGCTACTGTTCTTGAGATGACACTGTAATTCAGGCAATGGTGAGCAGTTCCTAGGCAGAAAAATGTCCTTTTTCTTTGATGACATGACACTAATTTTCGAAAGAAAACAAAATTTTGAATGTGTTTGAGTTCAGGTCTAAATAGCAACTGCATTTTGCTGGATGCCCATGTGCTCCACTTTCCACAATTGCATACTTACCATTGGGACCTTAAAGAGCATCATCATCATCACCACCACCACCATTGGCTGGCTCAAATTCCTAGTGCTTTGGCAGTCATGTTCTTTTATGCCTTTGAGATGCAGAGAAGCCATTCATTAATAATGCCATACAAATTTGAAACTGCAAATAGCCAACAAAAACAAACATACAATTCCTCATCATCTGTTCCTGAAACATTGAAAAACAGTTCCTCCCCTCTTAACAGAAACCATTTGCAATCAATATTGTCTATCTCTAGAAGAAATCAAACTCCAGATAATTATCAGAACCTTTCTGATTAGGTATTGACATGTGGTTAACAGCCTTTTCACCACCAGCTGATGAAGCTGGGGAAGGTATCTTCTCAAACTCTACAGGCTTTGGGATCTCAGGGGGGGTAGCACATCTGATCAGTGCCCAATTCACACCTTCAAAGAAGGGATGTTGCTTAATCTCGGTGGCGCCTCGTTTATACGCCAATCTGTGCTGAGGTTCCTTTACAAGCAACCCCCTTATAAGATCCCTTGCTGCAAAACTGACAACAGGTGCTTCTGGAAATCGCAGGGGCTGACCCACGACGTTAAACAACGTAGCTCGGTTTCCAGATCCCTTGAAAGGAGTTTTACCGAACAACAGCTCGTATAGAAAGATCCCGAAAGTCCACCAATCAACTGCACTCCCATGACCTTCACCCTTAATGATCTCAGGTGCCAAGTATTCATGGGTTCCAACAAATGACATAGACCGAGCATCAGTAGGCTCGGCAATAAGCTCAGGTAACGGACTCACTTGGTTGCCAATTTCGGTTTTGGGCTTCCGGTCTTTCTTCGATTTGCTCGAAAAGAGGCGGGGTGAAAAGCATGTAGTAGGAGCAACACATGATGGTTGGATGCAGGAAGGTGGCTCAATACATGCAGGTTGGACACAGTAAACAGGATTCTTTCTTAAAGGTTCAGAATCCGTGGATGAGGTTTTAACAAGGGTTGGACTAACAGCACAGCGGAGGGAAAGATCAAAGTCAGAGAGCATAATATGTCCGTCATCCCTAACAAGGACATTTTCTGGCTTAAGGTCACGGTAGACAATCCCAAGCATGTGTAGGTACTCCAAAGCCAGTAGGACCTCTGCCACATAAAATCTGCAAGTTATGATGAAATTAGCAGTTGTTAACATCAAATCAAATTAACATAATTGCCAAGTTAGGCTAAATTATAAAATATGAAAAACAGGAAAAGAGATCAAGACTAGGCTTAAGAAGCATCAGACATCTCAATTCAGCTGACAGATTTTATCATAAATTGTAGATGTTAAGGGATCTGAGCATGTTCAAAAGTCATTTGCACTGAGTAAATATCCCAGTAAGGAAAGAAAAAAAAAGGCTGAGTTGTTATAATATTAATGACAATTAAGCTTTCAACTTAATTTATCTATCTTTCCACAAACAATGCAATCATCCAATGCAAAACCAATTTTATATTTGAAATTGTCTGGAACACATTATTTGACTTCATATATATAAAAAAAACTAAATGCATCATAAACACATGAAAAGTAAAACATGCACACGTGCAAACCCACAGGTTAAAGAAATTCATCACAACCTCCACCTATACTTATCATGCATGCATGGCACAGGAGCATCCTAGGCTCATTCAATGTTCTTACCATATTAAGTAATTAGTTTTAGGTGATTGTATGATTGTAACGGGATCTACAAACAAGGATAATGCAATTTGACCATTAGAATTAAGTTGCTTCAGTACAGTGCAGCAATTAGAGCAAAAAGGGTATGTGGGTGCACAAATAAGGATGATCCCCCACAACAACTGCCTACATTAATACTCATGGGATTTCCCAGGGAAAATTTTGAAAAAAAATACTGTGGTTATAATTACAAAACCCTGAAAAGATTCAAACTTAGTTTCCTCCCCTTTAGACTACACCAAGCCACTAAAGCCACACTGTATCTGGAACTGGATCCAGTTTTCACATGAAAGCAACACATCACCGGTGCACAAATGACAAATCCATGTTCCCAAAACAAAAACATAGTTCATTTCAAGCAGAACAGAATATCCAGGGTATATTGTATGTAATTTATACTTCGTATTTAGATATTTTTATTTGAGGTTATAAATCTTGTAAAACATAGCAGATTGCATGTTTCATGCAAACAAAATTGTAGAAACATTTACCTTTTTGTGGCAGAGAATTAAACTAGAACTGATGTAAATCAGCGGAGTAGCAACTAAAACATATATGAGAAATAGGGAAAATCAAAGGATAAATACAGTAAGTATTATAACCAGCACAAAAGAACCAAAATTGTGTTATAACTTAAACATACTTTACTGCCTGCTCAGGAAAATGCTTCCCTGGTTGCTTCTGCCTAAGTGTATGGAGGTCTCCACCTGGGCAGAATTCCATTACCAAGCATGAGAATTTCTCTGTCTCAAAATGGGTGTACAAAGTTGGGAGAAATGGGTGGTCAAGCGACTGCAGAATTTCTCGTTCGGTCTGAGCACGAAGTAGCTTTTTACGACTTGCTAGGGACCCTTTGTCCATTACCTTCATTGCAAAGTAACATTTAGTTCCACTCAACTCAGAGAGGTACACACTACCAATATCCCCACATCCCAGCCTCTTCAACAGTCTAAAGTGACCTAAACCCAATACCCCATCTCTACTTCGAACCGCTTGGATAGCTTCCCATCTCAAGTCATTTGCCTTGTGAGGCTTGTTTATGCTGCTACTAAAGCTACTACAAGTACTCTCATCACTCACATCACTGCTTGTACTTCCTCTGCAAATACTGCTCTTACCACTCTCAACAAAATCAGCTCGATCGCTGATCTTGGCACTTCCACTTGTCTTTGCAAGACTGCTGGCCCCATCACTAACTTTGGCAGAAACAGAACTGTTCTTCATACTACCATATTCCGATGTCTTTTTATCTTGATCAATAGAGCTTTCCTGCGAGCCTATGTTCTCGTTAACAGCATGATTCACTCCTCCAGATGCTTTGTCCAGAACAGATGAGGAAGCACGAGAACCACTCTTATTATTCAAGGAATCAGCAGACCCTTTGTGGATTGAAACTCCAAACTTCTTGCTTTCAGCAATTTCTCCAGTATTCTGCTTGGTGGACGTCTTTTCCACAGACTTTGATAAATCCTCAGGAGCAGCCAGCTCAGGTTTTCCCGTCTTTGGAACTGGCAGTGAAGAAGATCCAAAGTCTTTTGCTTCAAGGGTTTGAATCCCAGCCGTCTTCTGATGCTGCTTTGGGAGAGCTCTAGCACTAGTTTTTGAGTCCATCAGAAATGCTAAAGGATTTCAATTGAGATCAGATTGACCAAATCCATGGCTTAACATCCATTTATGGTTTCAAACAACCTATTAAAGGCATCAACATCATATAGAAGCTGTCAGCCATCACACCACACAACGAAAAACATGCGCAGTTTAACAACTATATGTTGACACTTGACAGAGACTCATCTACCAATCTATTAAGAAATACATCAAACATCAATGAAATTAACACACAATTAGCTCACACTCAACAAGAGAACAATAGATCCATCAATAAGTGAAACAGTTCCTCCCACCGATACATAACACAAAGTGCATCACAACATAACCAAACCAAAGCACAACAAAAGAATCAACCAACCAAGACCTCAAACTTCAGCTGAGTAAAGCCACATGCTATTATATTCATGAACAAACATTGGACAGAACCGAAAAACCAGTTAGCAAATCAACAACATATCGCCAAAAAAGAAGGAAACTTGAGCTGTGGAACTGCATGCAGAACATGATCAAATTAGTAAAAGCTCAATAGTGATGAGTAACCAACAAGACAAGAATCAACATCAAAAAGCAAAAATTCATAGAACAACTATAAGCATGAGTCAAATTTGCCAGCAAAAGGTAGAATGAATGTTTTGGGGTGATGCAAGGGTACTAGGAAGGGGGGGAAATTACCACAAGCAGGTACATGAGAGAGATCCTGAGACAATTGAATAAAAAAGGGATCTTGATCAAGGAAACACGGTTTGTAGAGGTATCTGAGGCAGATCCAAAGGGGGAGAGAGAGAGACCCAGATGCAAAAAGAGTTGAACTTGAAGGGTTAAGGAGCAAACAGAGGATGAGAAGAGTTGGAAGAGGGAAAAAGGGAAAGTAAGAAGAGCCCAAAAGAGTACCTAATTTCAAGGATCAGAACTCAGCTTCGTTGCTTTTGCAGTGAGAGAGAGAGTAGCACTGTGGGTTGGGAGCTCCTGGTAGCTTAGAGAGAGAGAGAGAGAGAGAGAGAGAGAGAGGAGTCAAAGGTAAAGCAAAGCTTTTTTCTTTGTTCAATAATTTCAATGGTTTTTTGTCGCCAAAACCAAGAGAGGTCCAAATCACTAAACAGTTCTGAGGTCTTGCACCTGTCTGTCATGCCTTTGCCCAAATAATTCTTTTATCTTTTTCTTTTTAAATTTATTTCTTCTACTTTTATTGCAGTATTATTTTTGTTTATATTTACTATATTAAAATATAACCTTTTTTTCCCTGTAATGTTTAGCGAATATCAATGTCATCATTATTTTCTTTAAAGAATTGAATAATATTTTGTTTATATTAATATGAAACATTTTATCTTACATATTTGTGAGGTGGTGGAGGTGTTAGGATTAAAAAAATAAACATATAAAAATAAAAATGTAATAATAAATATTTTAACATAACATGGTCTGTGTATAAATATTTATGGATAAATAAAGTCAACATTTTTCATTATTTCCTAAAATAACACTAAGACCTTCAATTTTTTCAACGTTTCCATAAAATAGGTGATTACATCATTTTTAAGCTAATTTAGGTGTTGATTTGCAAAGGAAAGAAATTTTTTTATAGATAATTTGGCAGCTTTATCATTAGAATAAACTTATGTTTTCGTTAAAATCAGTTTTTAAAAATAAATTTAAATAATTTTAAAATATTTTATGAAAAGTATTTATTGTATTTTTAACATGATAAATATTTTCTTAATTAATGAAATATCTTTACTTGTAGTTGCTTTAAAAATAAATATTAAAAATCCCATAAAATAATGGATTAAATCTTAATTTAATTTTTTCTGCAATATTCCCTCCACTTGTAACCAAATTTTGAACTTAAAAAATTAATTAAAGAATTATGCTAATAAGTGTTCTTAAGAGTATAGATTAAATAATTAATAAATAATATTTTTTTACAAAATTATGTTAAAATAGATTACTAATTTTTTAATAAAAAATATTTTAAAATTTTAATTAGCATTTTAAGAGTGTCAATTAATATTTTCTTAAATAATTGTTAATGATTGGATATTTCCATTTAAAAAATCTGAAATCACATGTTATTGAGGGAGGAAGCGTGGCGAGGTTGAATAAGACGACAATTTCCCTAGAGTGTGGAGCATCTAATAGGTGGTGACCATCCTATCATCCTATTATTTTCCTTTCAACCCCAAAATATAACCCAAAAGAAAAAATAAAAATCATAAACAAAACAAAACAAGGAAGCAAGAAAGAAAATAAAATAAGAAAGAAAGAAAGAAGGAAGGGGGAAAAAATAGTTTTCCTATATACAATAATTGTTATTATGATTATGTTTGCATGAAGTCATTTGATGTAAATACAAATTTCCATCACTTAAGCCGACATGAAGATTTTTGGTTGCCTAAAATGGGTGCTACTTTCCCTTGCAGTCAATAAAATGAGCAAGTAATGGACCAACGGTCCATGGGAATGTTTGGGTGATCCAATGAAAAATAGAGGTGTATTACTGAATCATCTAAGCTATAATAAGTTTTGGTGGACCATCCATTGCACACTCACTGCAATGCCCATTAAAGCTTTTGATTATGTATGTACCAAAAGAAGTGGCTTTAATTTCATTGCAAAATAGGAACTACGTTCATTGGGGCTTGTAAATGAGAAAACCCCTCCTTATCTTGCAGTGCTATCCTACCAATTACGTTAATTATTCTCAGTGTCTTTGCTATACTAGCCAAGCAGGGCCCAGCCTCTAAATGCTATGCTATTGCTGTGATGGGACAAGGGATCACACATGGATCACTCATCCCCTATGTGTGTGCAAATGAGAAAGAGAAATATATAGGCTGCATTAATAAATGACCTTTTCATTACTAAGAGTTTGGCTCAAATTGAATTCATTAGAGCTTTAACAAATTGGTCTATGGCTTTGTTTTCTCGAAATAAGTGACTTTGCACAACTGTATCAGGTCCCAATTGAGTATGAAATCTAATAAATAATAACAATTGAGGTGGTTGGAATTCATTTTTCCATATGACCCCCCCCCCCTCCCTCCCCATAAATAAATAATATTGACCTTAGTTTTTCTGGTGTTTCATGTAATCCAAATATCTCTCTTTCCAAAAAGCATCCAGATATCTCTACTCTGGTACATCCACAAACACCTTTTTCTTATTTTGACAACCAGGATGAGATAGCAAGCAAGAGGGCCAAGTAAACAAGTACACATTATGTGTCCAAATATGAACAACTAATCTTTTAAGCTTTAACCACAATTGGATTCAGGGTTTAAAAAAAGAATGTTAATTTATTGAGAACTATCACTATAATTCTTCCCTTTAATATCAACCACAAAATTAACACAAATCAATGATAACACATATAACATACCCCCCCCCCCCAATATATACATTTATTATTTAGGACATGACCAAAAGTGTCCACTTCAAACATCAACGAAATGTTTCTTTCTTTGCTTTTGCTTTAATAATTCTCTTTTCTCATCTCGTGTAATATTTTTCTAACACTAGTTACGTGTGAGCAATTGCGCACCAAATGGGAAAAATCTGAAAAACGACAATAAATCAACTTTGGACTGTGACTTTATTTTTTACCAATGTTTTGTTTGATTGCTCATGTCGTGGACAACTTTCTTGGTTAAAGTCACTGTCTAGAGTCATTCAGCAATGGCCACATGGGGCAATAAGGGGAGGTAGTGACCTTCAACTTTGGGGTTAACATTAGGATTAGTGGGTTTTGGATTTTGACTCCCAATATATAGTACATAAGTTTGGTCCCAAGTTAAAGGCAAAGTAGGGCACTTCACGCTTCTCTGGTCCTTTCCCTCTCTCAAACAGACACTTTGTTTTCTTAGTTGCTTTCCTCTTTTTCATAGACTCCACCCCCTCCCTAAAAACAATTTTCCTCGGTCAAACAAAACTTTATTTGGGCCAATTTATCCTTTTATATATAGGCTCTTTTCGTTACAGAAAATGTTGAATGATGATAAGATTTTTCTTTGCCTTCTTTTTTTTTCTTGGTCTTGAAACATGTGATTTCTTGAGAGTGAGTGGAAGCCAAACTAAGGTAGCTTTTCTCAAATACAAAAAAATAGCGTCAGCTTTTATGTCTTGAGTTTAAGTTGCTCAATAGAAAACATTTGAAAATGTTGCTTTTGAAAGTAATAATATTGATCTATTATTAATCAGCTTAAGCTATAGTCATCTAAATTTGCTACTCCAAAGAAATTATTCAAAAAATACTTAGGCTAATGTAACAAGTTTGACAAGATTTTCGATAATGGGATATTTGTGATACTAGTCATTTAATTTTAAAAGTTCCACCTCAATAAAAACCAAAAAGTAAAACAAAATACTTCAATTGTTTGCCCAATGAGATAGAAGCATTGCAGTTTCTAAACTACTCAAATTGATAGACAAACACCAAGTATCACGCTGTGTCAAAAGAGAATTAATAATCAACCCACGGAACTTGAGAAAATGGATCACGATCTCAGAAACCGACAATAACTTTAAAGTTTTGCTATAATTTATGGGAAACATTTTGTTAATTAAAATTTAAAAATAGCCCATTGTAAGATGGAACACTTTTTGACCTTTTTAGGTCATTATTGTGGCCTTCTAAACCCATGCAAGTTGAGAAAGCAAGGCTTTGCAGATGTTTCTACTTACCCTACTTTCAATTTTCACTCCAGGCAATGAAACGCATTCAAAGATACAGGAATACTAAACAAATGCATAAACAATACGAAGGAAAAAATTAAGTATGAGAGAAAAACAAAGCAGATCTGAGGTGCATGCATAGAGGTACGAGCTACTCACCCCATGCCCACATGCAGCTCTATCTGTATTTTGAATCAAAACTATCAGTTTTATGCAGTGGCCCTCTCCCCCTCTTTGATATTAAACTCTTTATTATAGTCACAATGATTAAATATTACTGGTACACACTGATATTATATGAACAGCTACAAGGTGGTAGCATCAGTACAATTACATTTTGACATGTGGCATGCATGTGAGTCTTGGGCCCCTCAACATATATATAATTTACATAAATAGTTTTTATTTAAAACTTTGAGTCTCTACAAAGTTTGAATTGTTTTTTGTTTTACTGGTAGAAGGGAATATATTCCTTCAAGCGGGAGAGTCTGATGCTTCAGAGTTTGATAACCTCACCTAGCAGAAAAGAGCTTTTGAGATGTGGGATTTGGCTGCTAGCTTCACTTTTGGCTTCACTTTTTAGTTTCTTTTGATGTCAAAATCTCTTCCACCAAAGGAAGTGTAAAAAAAATATGGATTTCACAATTAGTTGGATAAAATTTTGACTGTGACAGTGTGAGCCTGTAACCTACTACCAAGGCACAACAACACAAGGTTTTGGCATGGTTACACGGTCCATACCTTTTCCTTTGATGTCCTTTTCTCACGCTTATCATCATTCCCTTCCCATTTGACCTGTAAATTGTCTAGAAAGGAAGAAATAACTGTGGGCCTATTATGATATTGAAACTTCTTAAATGTGGATTAATGAGTTTACGGGTATTATAACATGCTTATCTTCTTCATTGAAATGTTGTTAGTGATCAAATATGAACAAGTGAAATATCTTAATAGATATTATATAGAATGTAAAATATAGTTGGAGACCATGTGAAGTAAGTAATTGTAGAAGTAGAACTGCATTAAATCTGTGTGGTTATTTATTGGTGCCACAGCCGAGGGATGCGGGATTGTAAGCAGTCAGTTATTATGGCCTCGCACATCACGAGAATATTCCCCAAAATGAGACAAATCACAAGACCCTTCTCCCTCTCTCTCTCTCTCTCTCTCTCTCTCTCTCTCTCTTATTTATAAGAATCATAAGATCCCTCTCCTCTATTTCAAAGTTTAATATGGCACACCAGATACTCATCAGAGAATCAGGTTACATTTGCAGGCCAATCCAATATGGGCCCGATATAAATTTGGGTCTAAATATCAAGAGGGCCCACATCCCATTAAGCCCAACAAGGGAAGGTAATAAACTATATAAGCTTCTTGACCAGAAATTTACATGAGCTTAAGATATTGGTTCGGTTTGGGTTGATCAAAACAGGAGTTGATGAAGTAAATGACAAGACAGCGATTGTTGCCAATATTTTAAACAAGGGTAGTGCACCATTACTTTTTATGCGGCAAATCACAGGAGTAATAGAGGGAGATTAATCTTGGTTATAAATTTTGTTGTTATTCCTCATGTGGCTCATGTCATAAAACCATGACAAGCTAGGAATATTGAAATGAACACACATTGTACTGGGCTAACTGGTCATGCAGGAAAAATTGGTGACTACAATTCTTAACTATTTAGTGCACTGATGTCCGTGAAGATGGACTGTAACCAAGTTCCAGAATTTCGGGGGTTGAAGTCTTAGAGTTGTGCCACTTGCCATTCGTATAGGACTTCACCAAACCACCATTAAGACTAAAATAACACGGCTTATTCTAAGTAATAGTCCTGTTCCACCTGAATTGGAAAGGTATGGAGCTTCGAAAATTCAGGCCAGGCACTATCCATGAATATGATATACCACCAAGACTTTAGGTTTGCTCATTAAGGAACTTGTATAGTTTGAGTTAGCCATTTCTTAAAAATGACAAGTCACAGTGGAGTCTTCATGTGGGACAAATAGTATTGCCAATGATGCTAAGCAGCATAATCCATTGTTTGTGGATATATGATATTGTGTAAGTTCTGTTATGATGGTCCTTCTATTCTGTATGATTGTCATTGCCTGTATTATGCTTAGCATGACCTGTTATTCTGATTGCTTGTAACAGGAACAAGTGGAATGTAGTGTAGAAATCTTTGATGAATTTTGGTCATCTTATGCTATACAATAGCCATTGTCCTTTGTCTGATTGATTATGTTTTGATATAGTTTGAGACTTAAACCTGCTTCTAAATATATCTTATGGTCCAAGACACAATGGGTTATTTAACTACTAGTTTATCTGTGCCAAACATTCTTTCAGGTTTGGTTAGTTCGTGTTCGATTCTGGTGTCATTGTTACCTCAGATTATGCATTATCTATTCTATTGTGATCATCTACCCGTTGACATCCAGGATTTCCAAACTCTATTTGTGATCATGCTGAGGCCGCGTCCCTTAAACCACGTCGTGGAAGTTTTCCAAATTACCTTCTATTGTTAGTTTCACACAGATACCAATTTATTTTGTGCAAGTTCCCAAAATTTTATGCTTTTCCTATTAACCATTTTTTAAGTGGTGCATATTTTGGGGAAATAAAATGGCGCTCGGAGATTAGACACACTAATCAAAGCAAGGTGAACTAAGGGTTCTCAAGACTCAAGAGGATCGCCCGAGCCCCTATTTATTGTTTCCCTTTCCATTTTCATAGTTCGGGGCATACCAAAAGTCCAATAAAAATTTTATATTCTTGTAATACCTACTTAGTAATTTATTTTTTTTCACTTTTGATTAAAAAAAGTAAAGTAGGAAAAATAATAAATGTACAGTGAAAGAAACATGTAAAATGGGAGGATTTTTCTTTTCAGAGCCAGGCAGTTCTGAAACTTTTTATATGAGCAATTTGTATTCTAAGAACCTTTGTAGTAATTTGTACTAGTATCCATAAGTTCTACGGTGGTTAACGAATACTAACATAACTTTTCTCTTTTATCCAGACTTGGAATCTATTATAGGACCATAAGTAGAGTTTTAAAAGAAGTGCAACACCAAGATTTTCCCATGAAGTTACTCATCCTAATATGACTCTAGTCTAAACACGTTTAATTGCAGAGTTCTAATGAAATATAGTGCATTAATACGGGTTGATCAATTGCAGAGTTCTAATGAAATATAGTGCATTAATACGGGTTGATCGCACCTCTCTACAACAGAATTATAGTTTATAAAAGCCTCCGTGTTTAAACCCAGTGAACCCCGTCGCAATGGAAGTACTCTACTTGTGATTGTGAATGAAGATGCCAAGAAGCTATACAACAGTAGTGCCAAACTGCTAATAAAAAGCTACGTAAAGAACTGCACTATTAGAAATATCAAATTAGGGTTCAGCTTCCAATGGCTCGTTGATGTAATAACCGTGGTGTCCTACCTTTGAAATAATAGAAAGAATAATTTCACCCTGGTCATGACTGATATTCTACGTCGAAATCTGAGTACAGTGCAATTTAAAAATAATCGGACAGTAATGATTCGGATTAATGGGAGAACAAATTTTATAGCCTCTAATAATCCTTGGTGCACATCACCTCACACCAAAGTGAGGCACGGAAATCGAAATGAGATCAGCTATAATTAGAGAGTGAAAATCGAATTAATGTGAAATGAAGTATGTCTGTATGTGACATTATCCTATAATCTCAATGGGTCATCAGAGAATGACTAACTTGGGAAGAACCACCTTATGCTCCCAATAAATCAAGCATATCAGAAACTTTGTTTGTGTAGTAGTCGGGCTGAATATTATTTGAAGGATCTTGTAGAGCTGATTGAGTAGTGACACCTGCTTGCACAATGAAAATAATCACAAAATGTTGAGAGTTTTGCAATATAGAAAAGGATACGTCCCATTACCTGAAAATACTAGGAGAGTTTTGCAACCAGAATTTTGTCCGAACAATATATCAGTATCTAGTCTATCACCCACCATACACATTTTGGAGCAACTCACGTTGAATCTGCTTAAAAGAGTAAGTCATATACTGAAAAATATAAAGTAAAGCACAAAAACATAGCGGACAAAACCAAAAAATTTATGTTTCCCACTTCTTAAGTAAAAACTCCATCATAAAGGCTGATGGTTTCCCCACCACAACAGGTTCCTTCTCGGTTGATCCACACATAGCAGCAACCATACTCCCTGCACCTGAAATTCAACTTTTATCAGTTATGAGGCCATACAATAACGTGGCATACTAATTCTCTGTATCACTTAAGAATAAAATGGAGTTAAATAAAGGACCAGGCCATTCTTGCAAAGCAGTCATATTTCCAACTGCATCCCGGTTGGTGGCAATGAAAAGGCATCCTGGATTTTCACGTATGCAAAGGGTTCCATACCTATAACACAACATTGAAATATCAAAATATGAATCAGCTAAAAGCAAGTAATAACATAAATGTGGATAGAATTCTCAATGCAGGACACGGCTGTTAACACACCAGAATTTAAGAGGATGTTTGCCTATATAAGTATATGAATGTTGATGATTCATATCCATCTATTTTGTAATAAATGAAATAAAATAAATCTACCTATTCACCTAAAGCATGCTAAAATTTATAGGCAGAGTTTATTCTTAACTTTTCAAGTCACTCACTTTAAGAAAAGTTATTCTGCTGGGTTAATTAGCAATCCAAAACTACTTTAATACATCATTAATGTTTTCAAAGAAAAGCAATTTGTTCATTACATCATTCTTGCAGTATTATGACCTTGTTAGTTATTACAACAATGGAAAAATCTATACGTAGAAATCTTTAACATAAACATTTGAAAGAAATTTCAAAACTGTCATGCGCTGATGAAGACAAACTAGGATCATTAAAAGTTAATGTGAGCTTGGTAAAAAATAAGCAATGTGGTGGATACTTCTTGTCATACTAGCAACTGGAATATAGCTTTGATAGCATCAATATTCTTTTGGGACTCCATGGTCCATATGTTTATAAGTCATCAAGGGTTCTGATATTTGAACTAAAATTTTGGAGACACAAGTCACTTTCAGAAGCAACATAAATCAGAAGATAAAGTGCTCAAGAAAAGGGCAAATGAAAAGATTTTCTTACTGAAGCTTGTAATAGTTAATGTTTGGATCTATACCAACCACTACAGCTCCAACCTGCACAAGTGAACCCATCAATTAACTGCAAGCAATAATCTCAATGCAGATACTCAAAGTAATAATGAGCAAGGTGTTACATTACACTCTTATCATGTTCAACAAAGCAGTTCTGCTTCAGGTCTATTGTTTTATTTGCATCTCCCTGCAATCAATGAATGCTTTAGTGAGGATAACTTAAACAACTTGTGATACTCTTCCATCCGTCTTTGTCTAGTTTGAAGCATGCATTGCTATTAAGAAAACGTAACCTAATAATAGACTTGAATTGATCAATTAAGCTAAACAATTAGTGGAAGGGTACAAAATTTACAAGCAAAAGAGAACATGAATTGAAAAACTAATCTGTTAGAACAGCAGTGCATGCCTCCAAAATAGTTCTTCAGACAAGAAGAACTTCAATTTTATTAAGGAAAAAAGAAAATAAGAGAAACAGATTATAATTTATAAATATGCAGAACTCACGGGACCACCAAAAGCAGTGAAGCCTGCAAGCTGCAACTCTTCCAGTATGCCTTCCCCACCAATAACATAAACCTGAACATTGAGAACAACGCCAATGGCAAAAATATCACGTAAATGTATGCAGGTAGGTGACTTAGGGTTTGTTCAGTTTAATTTATACACGTATCTCAATCTCACTCAAAGGCTCAAATTCAGTTTTACACAACGTTAAACCAAATGGCCACTTCGCGTGACAGCACAAGTCTAAAACAAAACTGAAATTAGTGGCATGTTTGGTACAAATTTGCTAATTATGCTTTCTTGTTTTCATGGATAATTACAAAATACCACCTGAATTTTCTTTTGTTCCTCATTTTCAAATATCATCCAGAGTTGTGTCCATTTTTTGAACAAATATTTGAAATCAGAAAACAAAATAAAACAACGTGTCATTTTTTCAATCCAAACAAAACAACCCTATGGCATCAGTAACATTAACATAAACGTAACCAAGCCATGTCATTTACCATTCTCCATTCACAAGTCTATACATAACTAATAATTAAGCGGTAAAAGAGGAAACAGAACAAGTTATGGCTTAGGAGCAAAAAGAAAAAGAGAAAGCGAGGAACCTTGTTTTGTGAAGGGAAATTGTTGACCTTCAAGTACATAGCAGCAGCGAAAGAGGAGGAGAAAATCTCGTCCTGCGAAACGGGAATTCCCAAGGATCGGAACTTTTGAGCGTATTGACTCCGCGACTTCCAAGAATTGTTGGTGACGAATACGAGCTTCTTGCCTGTAGAGCGAAGCATGTCCAGGGTTTCTGAAACGCCATCGATGAGTTCGTCACCCTTCCAAATCACACCTAACAAGTTAACGTGACCCAGTTCATGGTTCAATTCCGCAAAGAGAGAGAGAGAGAGAGAAACGTTAAAACGTGAGAGAGAGAGAGAGAGAGAAACGTTAAAACGTGAGAGAGAGTATAGAGTACAAACCATCGCAGTCGAAGAGAAAAGCTTCGACGGAATCGAAGAGATCTCTGAAATTGTGAGGTGACAGAAGCTGAGGACTCATTGGAAAAGAAGAATCTGAGAACAAAGATGTTTTCGCTTCGTTACTTTGCCAGTCATAACGCTAATTACTACATTCTATCACGTTTCTCTAAGTTTTTTTTTAATTCTAGAAAAAAAAATATTAACATCAGCACTCCACGTGATTAAAAGTTATAATTTTTTATTAAAAAATATTTATTTTATCAAAAATATATAAAATATTTTTAAAAATCACTTTTAAATGTTTAAAATTAATTTTATAAATTTTTATTAAAAATTATTTTAAGAAATAATGTTAATAGAATCCAAGAAAATAAAAGTATAGCCTTAACCGATACATAATAAAAATATTTAAAGACAAACACGCACACACTTCCTTCCTCTAAATCTTAATATTAATGAACAGACATTTCAAAAAAATATGTATATCTACTTCTCTCTCTTTTTTCTGCGTGCGTTTAGATATGTTTCAACTAAAAATTAAATATTAATGCTTTTAAAATGTTGAAATCACCAAACCTCTCTCAATAAAATATTTTACTAATTTTTAATCAACATATTAAAATTTATTAATTATTTCAAACTTCTTTAATACTTATCTTTCTTATCATATGTGTAATATATACATAAAATCTAACAAATATGTAGGTAATGCTTATATTTAATATACTTCTTATTTGCAAAAATAAGATTTGATATGATCTCTACGAAAAAAAGTTTTAAACAAGTTAATGTTATATAATGTGATATAGTTTTGTGAATTACTTATATAAATGTGTTTGGTTTTGTATTTAAAAATGTTAAATGTGCATTACTTTAATGCTATGCAGAGTAATTTACTCGTGAGAGACGCCTATATACTCAAATCTCATCGACGTTCCAAACACACTGTAATGTGATCAACAATTTTTAATAACGTGATTCTAACATGTGTTTAACTAATTATGCGAAATTAAAAAATTTTGAACATATATAATGCTAAATTATAATTTAATCCCATATGAATAAGTTTTAAAATTAGTCCCTGTAAATTTTTTTGTAATTGTTCGCAATTCAAGCAGCCTACACGCAATCCAGTGAAATTGTTTACACAAGGTCCAAAATATATATAAAAAACTATTAATTCATGAATAGTGCCTGACATGATTGAATAAAATAGATAAGACTGATTAAAATATAAAAGAAAATAATACATTTAAAATATTAAAAAGAATTTAGTCATAAAAAGTTATTGTTAATGTTTTGAGACCATTATATTATTTTTATATTTTTCTGTCCTGTTATGACATTTTACGGCTCATGCTACACATTTCATGGCTTTGAAAACAGGAAATTAAAACGATGGATTCCGCTAAAATTATTGAATTTCAGTGGAGAATTTCAATGGATCCAAATCAAGGAAGGAAGTAAACGAAAATTTTGATATTTCATCTGCCCTTATTTCAGCCCACTCTATTTTCAATCCATGTAAATATTTTTAAGACTTGTCAGATTATGTGTTGATTTAGTTTGAGACTTAAACTTGCTTCTATAAAAAGTTTAATGTCCAAGACCCAGGGGTACTTTAACTACTAGTTTATTTGTGCCAAATATTGTTTATGTTTTGGTTAGTTTGTCTTCTATTCTGGTGTCATTATTACCTCAGATTATGCTTATCTCTTCTATTGTCATCATCTGCCGGTTGACATTCAGGATTTCCAAATTCTTTTGTGATCATGATACGATGCAGCGTCCCTCAAACCACATTCGTGATGATGCAGAAAGAATAATTTCACCCAGGTCATGTCTGATATTCCCCGCCAAAATCTGAGTACAGTGCAAGTGCAGTTATATGTACTAGATGCTATTTAAATTAATCGGAACAGTTATGATTCTGATTCACAGGAGAACAACTATTATAGCCTCTAATAATCATTGGTGCTCATCACCTCATACCAAAATGAGGCATTAGAAAACGAAATGAGATCAACTATTATTAGAGTGAAAGTAGAGTAGATGTGAAATGATGTTGTCTGTGAATGTAGCATCATTCTATAATTTCAATGGGTCATCAGAGAATGACTAACTTCGAAAGAACCTATTTATGTTCCCGATAAGTCGAGCATATTAGAAACTTTGCTTGTGTAGTAGTCAGGATGAATATTGTTTGAAGGGTCAAGTAGAGCTGATTGAGTTGTGACACCTGTTTGCACAATGAAAGTAATCGCAATATGTTACGACGTACTTAATATAGAAAGAGATACATCCATTACCTGAAAGTACTAGAAGAGTTTTGCAACCAGCATTTTGTCCAAACAATATATCAGTAGCTAGACTATCACCCACCATACACATTTTGGAGCAACTCACGTTGAATCTGCTTAAAGGAGTGAGTTAAATGCCGCAAAGTAAAGCACAAAAATCATTGCGGACAAAATCAACAAATTTAAGTTGCTCACTTCTTAAGTAAAATCTCCATAATAAAGGTTGATGGTTTCCCCACCACAACAGGTTCCGTCTCGGTTGATCCACATATAGCAGCAACCATACTCCCCGCACCTGAAATCCAACTTTTATCAATTATGAGGCCATACAATAAACTTGCATACTAATTCTCCATATCACTTAAGAAAGAAAAAGGAGTTAAATAAAGGACCAGGCCATTCTTGCAAAGCAGTCATATTTCCAACTGCATCACGGTTGGTGGCAATGAAAAGGCATCCTGGATTTTCACGTATGCAAAGGGTTCCGTACCTATCAGATGACATTGAAATAACAAAGTATGAAACAACTAAAAGCAAGTAATAACATGAAAAAAAAAGTAATAACATAAATGTGGATAGAATTTTCAATACAGGACACAGCTGTTAACACACAAGAATTTAAGAGGATGTTGGCCTATATAAATATATGAACGTAGATGATTCATATCCAACTATTTTGTAATAAATGAAATAAAAAAAAATCTACCTAATCACCTGAGACATGCTAAAATTAGTAGGCAGAATTTATTTTTGACTTTCTAAGTCGAACTCACTTTAAGAAAAGTTATTGTGCTTTGGGTTAAGTAACAATCACAAAAACTACTTTAATACATCATTAATGTTCTCAAAGAAAAGTAATTTGTGCATCACATCATTCTTGCAGCATTATGACCTTATTAGTTATTACAAACGCACGAATCTATCCATAGAAATCTTTAACATGAACAAACATTTGAAAGAAACTTCAAAACTTTCATGCACTGATGAAGACAAACTAGGATCATCAGAAGTTCAAGTTATGTCAGTTTGGTAAAAAATATGCAATGTGGTGGATGCTTCAAGTCAACAAGCAACCAGAATATAGTTCTGATAGCATCAATATTCTTATGGGACTCCATAAATATAAGTCATCAAAGGTATTTCTTAACTAAAAATTTGGAGACAAAGTCAGAAACAACATCAATCAGAAGGTAAAGTGCTCAAAAAAAGAGCAAAGGTAAAGATTTTCTTACTGAAGCTTGTAATAGTTAATTTTGGTATCTGTACCAACCACTACAGCTCCAACCTGCAAGAGTGAACCCATCAGTTAACTGTAAACAACGATCTCCAAGCAGATACTCAAAGTAACCACGAGCAAGGTGTTACATTACACTCTTATCATGTTCAACAAAGCAGTTCTGCTTCAGGTCTATTGTTTTATTTGCATCTCCCTGCAATCAATGAATGCTTTAGTGAGGATAACTTTGGTGTCAATCTTGTGATTTTCATCATTCTGTCTTTCTCTTGTTTGAAGCGTGGATTGCCAATAAGAAAATCCAGCCTAATAATAGACTTGAATATGATCACCTGAGCTAAACGGTTAGTGGAAGGGTTTCCTTTCTAACAACATACACGTACATATTGTTTACCCCCAACTAGTTCCTACTCAATAAAGGTGACTAATCATCCAAACAACAAAAAGTACAAGCAAAACAGAACATGAATTGAAAACTAATCCGTTAGAACAGCAGTGCATGACTCCTAAATAGTTCTTCAAACAACCAGAACTGCAATTTTAAAGAGGAAAAAGTTAAAGAAGAAGATAGATTATAATTTATATATATGCAGAACTCACAGGACCACCAAAAGCTGTGAAGCCAGCAAGCTGCAACTCTTCCAGTATACCTTGTCTACCAATAACATAAACCTGAACATTGACCAAAACACCAATGACAAAAATATCACGTAACTGTATGTAGGTAGGCTTCTTGGCTTTTTGTTTTTGAAGTTATAAAATCAATTCTCGCACTTTTATATGAATTTTGATAAAAATGTGTAGTTCAGATTAATTTATGCATGTGTTTGGAAAGCACCACATATATTATAGATATTTATTGAGTCAAAGTAAGTATGCTGGATAACAGTGTAGGGTTTTTAATGGATGAAAGCCTGGGTTATTGTTATTATAGAAGATTAGGATTCCCTCTCCACTTTGAACACTCAAAACTGTATACTCTTTCCCTCAAAGGGCTCAATTGCTAGAGAAGGAGCAGGAGAGGAAGATCTTGTTCCTGATGTATATAAGTGCGTACACTTCTACAAATTGGCAAGATCGTCCATCAAAAGGTACGTAATTTATTCAAGTTATTATGGTATTCTAAATTCTAGTATATATCTGACGGAAATTACTTACATGTAGTATCATAAAGCCAGGTTATACTAGATTTAGAACCCTAAAATTCTGATTTCTAAATTTTTTGGTTTATCACTATTTTGTTGTTGATGCATAGAAAATATGAGTTCTCTTATAATGAAAATTTTATGTTATTTTCTCTTTAATATGTTTAAAAAATTGGAGCTGAATGAAGAAAAATTTTGGATAATTGTTTATTCTTGTTGAGAATTTTATTATTGAGGTCAGAATAAACCACTATAGTCGGTTATTTACAAAATTAATAAGCTTTTCTTAAATTTAATAAAATATTGTGTTACTTGAATTGGTTTTTGTTTTGACATATCCACAGAAGTTTAATACATTAATTAACTAATTGTGACATGTTAATTTTGGGAGGGTTTTGACAGCAAAATCCTTCTGTCTACAGGTTTTGAATTTTTGTATCTGTTGTTTTATTATAATATAATCTCTACCCACAAGAGAATTTATATTATGTGTTAAATATCAATTTTAATGATTATTATTTATATTTATTGTCCATGATAATAGTTTTATTATTATTTTTTAGCTCTTTCTACATTTTTCATGAATAACATTGTCAAATAAAATACCTTTTTTGTTCCTAAAACATCTTATGAGCTTGTTAAGGGATGAAAACTTAGTCTTAACTATTTTTGTGTGTAGGATTGTGTAGCCAAATTGAGAATTGATGACCCTATTGCATCAAAATTATGACCTAAGCTTGACTATTAAATGTTATTTCATTGATTACCCCACAAATGTGGGCTACAAATACTGTTGTCCTACCCACAAAATAGGGATAGTCGGGGCCCAAATTCCTAGAAAATGATATGAGAGAACATATTCTAATAGAAGTTATGTATCAACATATTGAAAGGGGGCCTAAATAACCACAACAGAAAGCTTTAGTGGATAAGCCACCACCAATTCCTAAAGAATCAATTGAGGTTTCTCCTCTTAGGCGATCACAAAGTGAAAGAAAGCCTCTTAACCATGATAATTATTACACCTTTTTTAAAGATCAGATTTCAACATTGGGTGTACGTCAATCTAATATTTTTTTGTGAACCCATATAATTAGGTGATCAATTATGGGTTTGGAAAGCACCACATATATTACATTTTAAATATTTATTAGGTTAAAACCTATTTGATAAGTATGTTGGATAATAGTGTAGAGCCTGTAATGGATGAGAATTAGGAACTATTATTATATAGAGTCAGGATCCCCTCTCCACTTTGAACACATAGACCGCCTAATCATCCTATCAATGGGCCCAGTTGTAAAAGAAGGAGCAAGACAGGAAGATATTGTTCTTAATGCATACAAGTGTGTACGTTTTTGCAAAATTGACAAGAACATTCATCAAGAAGTACGCAATTTATTGAAGTTAGTATGATGTTATAAATAGTATAGATCAGATAGAAATTGCTTCCATGTATTTCAAACACATTCAACAGGTCAAAATCAATTACAATACTGAACTTTAAACTAAATGGGCACTTAGGGTAGAAGCATAAATCTTGAAGGAAACTGAAAGTTAGTAGCCTGTTTTATTATAAGGAAAATATTTGCTAATTCTGTTTTCTTGTTTTCATGGATAATTGCCAAAATATCACCCGCATTTTGTTTTGTTCCTCATTTTCAATTATCATACAGTGTTGTGACCACTTTTTGTTTAAATATTTGAAAACAGTTACTCTTTATATAACTAATAATTTATCAGTAAAGGAGGAAATAGAACAAGTTATGGCATAGGAGCGAATAGAAAGAGAGAAAGCTAGGAACCTTGTTTTGTGAAGGGAAATTGTTAATCTTCAAGTACATAGCAGCGGCGAAAGAGGAGGAGAAAATATCATCCTGCGAAACGGGAATTCCCAAGGATCGGAACTTCTGAGCGTATTGACTCCGCGACTTCCAGGAATTGTTGGTGACGAATACGAGCTTCTTGCCTTTGGAGCGAAGCATGTCGAGGGTTTCTGAAACGCCATTGATGAGTTCGTCACCCTTCCAAATCACACCTAACCAGATAACGTCACATACTTGATGGTTCAGTTCATCACAGAGAGAGAGAGTTATAATGTGAGAGAATGTAAAGAGTAAAAACCATCGCAGTCGAAGAGAAAAGCTTCAACGGAATCGAAGAGATCTCTGAAATTGTGAGGTGACAGAAGCTGAGGACTCATCGAAAAAGAAGAGGTCTGAGAACAAACCACCTTACTAAGGATGTGTTTAGTAAAAGTAGCTCAGGATAAGCACAAACTGAAAGTTCAAAGGTTAGTTAAAAGTTAAAAAGAAAATTTGAAATGTTGATTTATTGAATTGAAAATATTATAAATTTAACCCTTAAACTAGTTTATCAAAATAAAATTATTATAATTAAGTAAATTAAAATTTACTAATTATTTATCTTTAAAAATGATAGTTTTCATATTTTAATTTATTTAAAATCATTATCATCTTTAAATTAAAATAATAAGTTTTTTATTTTACTTTTATTATTGTAAAAATAGGATTTACTGATTTTATTATTTTTTTCAAAATTTTATTAATTTAATATTTTTAATAATAAATAGTGTGATATTTATTTTTTTATTATTTACAAAAAAAAAAGTTGCTTTTTTATTAAATAAGTTTTTCAATTAAAAAATAAACGTTTAACTAACTAAAATATTTTATCAAAAAAAACTTTAAACGCTATAATTTTGAATAAATAATATTTATATCAATAATATAATATTTTAAAAAATACTCATAAATGTTTTTCAAATGTGCATCGTTTCTTAGAAAAATTACATATAAGAGCACTACATAAAATATGAAGGAATAATTAAATTTTTAATTATGCAGGTAATGCTTATTTTTTATATAATTCTTATACGCAAAAATAAGATTTAAAATGATCTCTAAAAAATTAAAAAGCTTTGTATAAGTTTATGTTGTTTACTGTGAAATAATTGTGTAAATTACTTGTCTAAATATGTGTTTGAATTTATTTTTTGAAGATGTTACATGTGCATTACTTATGCTATGGAGAGTAACTTAAATCTCATCATTGTTCCAAACACGCTGTAATATGATTAACAAGTTTTTATAACGTGATTCTAAATATTAATTTAATCCCATATGAATAAGTTTAAAAATGAGTTATTGTAATTATTTTTAAAATTGTCATCAATTCAAAATAACTTATAAAAATTATTTTAATCACCATACATCCAACACAAAAAGAATTAGCACAATCTATAAAAACAGTTTTAAACCTTATTTAGTTTTTCAATATTCCACTTTACAATAATACCAAATAAGTATTTAGTTTTTCTCTTTAAAAAATTATCTTAAACCTTATTTAGTATTAGTAGGTTTAACAAAGCTAACTATTATGGTTTAATTGATAGAGTTCAAGAGAATCTTTCTCTGATGGAAAATATTTTTTTTGTCCCTAACAAGTAAGACTATTTTATCATAGTCCAGCATCCTATATATTCCTAGTTATATTATGAAAATCCAAATAATTTCAATAACTGTTTGCAATTAAATTAATAGCAAGTGTAAAAATTTCTTTGAAGTTCTCTAAATCATAGGAAATGTCACTTGATTTCAAAAAATCTATAACCTCAAAAAAGAAAGGGGGTCTCAAGTTTAAAAAAATCCATGTATTAATAAGAATAGAAAAATCTCTCATATTTGAAAAGAAAATGACTCCATTTGACCTTAGTTAATATAAGGTATCGCATGAAAATCTAGGGATTGTTCCACTTCTATTTCTATATTTTGGGTGAATGATTGGATTCCTGGTATCTTTGTGTTGCTTTAGTTGCAATTCAAGGGATTTGGAATTGGACAAGGATTATGAGTAATCTCCTTATCTTTGTGATTGTATTGATAACATGTCTCCTCCCTCTAATTTAGGTAGACCTAATATTGCTAAATGGAATAAAAATTTAATTAATGGAATTTCAATTCAAATTCCTTATGATTTCTTATATAAATTGCACAGTATTAATCATTTTGTTGATGAAAGGTTTACAACCTATAGAAACCATAATGCATGTCTTAAATATTTGCTATTTTACAGCAAGGGTTTATAGAGAAATTATCAAATGTGTTAATTTTTTAACTCATATGGCTTAGAATTAAGACAACAATCGTTGTATTTTAGAGCAAGTCTCACCATTTTTAGTCTATTATTGAAGTTGTATTCTCTTATAGTCTCAAAGTTATTTAATATTTTTTCAGTTTTTAAGTCTCGTTTAATAATAATAACAGAATTTAAGTTTTATATATATATATATATATATATATATATATATATATGGATGAATGAAAGTTAATTAATTATTATTTTATGAATTCTAGAATTCACATATCTTAAATGAAAATATATTTTAAATAATACAAAATTATTAAAGAAACAGATTTAATTATAAATATACTTTTTTATTTCAAATTATATAATTTTGACATATATTATTTGTTGTTCGTGATATGATAATATCATGTGATAGCATAGTATCTATAATAATAATCACAAATAAATATACCACCTGAAACTTAAAAACAATAAATAGTTGAATTAATAATACTCATAATATATCTTATGTAAGTTTGCTTTGAGAAAGTGCAAATTTAAAAGTATATTACCATTCTCATAATTGAGTTAAATAAATATAAATGTATTTTAATTATTATCCTAACTTATGTCAGTAAATTTCAATTAAAATTAATTCTCACCTTAAATTTTTATTTGAATAAACATAATAAATTTATTTTTTTGCATTAATTTAAAGATATATAAATTTTATTATGTTATTTTGTACAAAAAAATAAAACCATAATTACATCAATTTAACTTTACTTTCAAGTAAAATTAATATTAAAAAATTAAATTATTTCAACTTCAAAGTTATAAATACTGATTTGAATACACACTAAATAAAAAAAATGATATTTATTTGCTTTAGGCGAACTTAAGAGGATAAAAATAGAAAAAATAAAAATAAAATATAAATATATTATTCTATAAGTTTGAATTTTCGTTAGAAGATTTACATTTACCTAACTTTAAAAAATGTAAAAATTTAAATATGTGATGCATTAGAAGTGAGATAATGTCATGTTTCATTAGAAAAAATAGTTAATATAAAGAAAAAAAATTCTTCATTTTATTATTGTAAAGTTGAGCCTTTTCTTTTTAAATGTATATATTTTTATAATTTTTTTTATTAACATATATGACATCTCACTGAATATTTAACTTTTTATTCATTTAAAATACAATTACACAAGTTTAACTTAATTTTAAATATTATATCATTAAAATATAACATTGAGAAATTATTTGTATTAATAAAAATATATTTTTATTTTTATTAATATACCTGTTTATAAATATTATAAATAATTTTTTAACATAATTTATTTTTCATTGTTTACTCGTTTGAATAAATATTTTTTTTGTCTTCCAAACAACACTTTTTCATTAATTTTTTTACTTCATTTCACACTTTTATTTATTTATTTTTTCCCTATTGCATTCTTTATTAAACATATCCGTGGTATAATATTATAAATAAGTTTAATACTATTCTGTATTTAAAATTTTAACTTTACTTCAATAACTAATATAATAAAATTTTAATTTTTTAATTAAAAACAGCATTAAACTCCATAAAGTACTGTATCTATTAGTTATCGTAATTCTTAAAACATCATTAACAAACTACTGCACAATCTGCATAGATATGTACTAAATACTCTTTCCGTTCATATTTTTAAGCATATATTAAAAAGCATTAATTATATAGTATAGTATTATATTTTTATTAAAATTTCTTCATTTATATCTTAATTATTTCATTCATTTTTCTCTAACATCTTAATAGACACATGTAATAATAAATTATTATTACATTTATTCTTCTATCATGTGTACTTTTATTAAAATGAGTTTTAATGATAGATTTTTTTTCCATATCTCTTGGTTTATGAAAGTATAATTCATATTTTATTTCCCACCAATTGGTTAATTTAAAATTTTCCACTCAATCTAATTTTTAAATATTTTAAAATTTCTTCTAAATTTGTTTATAAAGATCAAATGTATGCTCATAATAAATCAAATATAGCTACAAGCTAGAAAAGATAAACTTAAATCATTAAATAAAAGTAAAATTGAAAAACAATTAAATAAATCTCAAAAATTTAACAACAAAACATATAAAATAATTAAATAACAAAATATATGAAAGAGAATAAGTAACTATTTATCTTTACAAATTTTCACACATTAATCTTAAATATTTATATATTTTAATTGTTAATTATATTTTTTATTTTAAATATTTTCACATGATTAATAACAAATAAAAAATAAAAAAATACATAATTAATATTGTATTTATTTTTAAATTATTTAACATAAATCAACTAGCTTGTCAAATAAATTTAAATTTATAAATTATTTTTATAATTACAAGCTTTCAACTAAAAATTAAAATTTATAATTCCATGAACTTTAATTTTTTGTCATAAAAATTAATAAATAAAAGACAAAAAATAAACAATTAATAAAGTTTAATTGTACAAAATTTGCTGGATATTCATTAAATAAATATACCACGTGAACCATAAGGACTTGAAGGGTTGAATTAATAAAAGTAGTTGAACTTTTCTGCCTGATAACAATCTCTGTCTTTCTTCCGCTGTAAACACACAACAATCACGAGATTCATCTTGACCTTGCTAAATCAGAGAAGTAGCTCAATCAAACGGCTAGATTGCCTTATATTTTTTAAATTGTTTTATACGCAAAGTATTTGATCAAATATTCTACTCCAACGCACGATCCTCGTGGGAACAATTTCAAAGGAACGCAAACCATGCATCCAATTCCAAGCTGTCACGTTTTTTCACTTTCACAATTCTATCATAAATCACAACTAAGCTTTACTTTGCATTGCTTTTCAGTTCAATATTTAGTATTCTGTTGGTGTTAGAAAATATTTTTATTTTTAATTATAAAACTATTAATTTTTATTTAAAATTTTGTCTTAATTTCTCTGTTTTCATACACATATTTTAAAAATTTGTTAAAAATTATTCTTATAATAAAAATAAACAAATAAAAAAAGAACACATTTTAACTATAATTATAACTAAATTTAAGTTTTGCAGGAGACAGTTACAGAGAACACATTTTAACTAGTAAATAACCTCCAACATTTTAATTTCACAACAGGGTTTGAATAAATACCCTAGTCAAAGAGAAAAAGCAACTTAATTACTATTATTTTTATTACTTATTCATTTAATCATGTAGTATAATAACAATACCAAATATTTTAAATTTTAAACTAAAATAAACATGATTTAAATTTTGAATGCGCCCATTATTTTTTGAAAATAAAGGCAGTAATGGGTGGTCATGCATAATACATAAAAAATCAAACTTTTGGCATTTTCCCTGTTTCCCCTCACATCTCATCAAATACACACACACACAACACTCACTGGGTGAGTGGCTCCAAACTGGTCATTCCTGAAATTCCTCTTCTCTTTCTCTCTCTTTCTCTGTTCCCTTTTTCTTCCATCACCACCACAATTACAATTGCAGTTTTAGGAACCTTTTTATTTGTAACCTTAATTGATTATTCTCTGTCTTCTTCGGAACCATGGCGGATCTCAAGTCCACATTCATGAATGTCTATTCCGTTCTCAAATCTGAGCTCCTCCACGACCCCGCTTTCGAGGCCTCCGATGATTCTCTTCAATGGCTCGACCGGGTATATCTATCTATCTCTATCTATCAAATATTCAGTTTTAATGTGATAATTATGTTTAAGGATGGGGAGTAATTGCGTGATTAAAATTGAAAACAAAATTAGAAAAGAATGATTTTTTAACTTGTTCTCCTTTGAGGGTTAAAGTTGGGGGTGTGAACTTGTTAAGCTTGTTGATGTGTGTGATTGGAGGAAACGAAGATTCGTTTTAATTACCGTATTAGAATGTGAGTATGATGGTGGAAAGTTCCAGGAAGGAGATTCAATAGCTGAATGATTGCTGTTGTTGTTACAGTACTATCTCTTTTGCAAAGGGGAAAAATTGCCTAGGATTCTCTTCTAAGATAAAAACAGTGGGTTTCTTTTGGTGCTTTTGTGTGCATGAAATTCTATTATTAGTCTGGAAACACTATTTTTAAATTTTAGGTAATTGTCCAAGTATACGGCGAGTTTGCAAAAATTAAATAAATGTACTTAGAACATAGATTTGGAAAAAAATTAAGTTATTGAAGTGGTTAAAGTTTTTTTTTTTTTTTTTATGTGGAATGTTTAAGTTGTACCTTCTTAAATTATTTGCAATATGCTCAGAGAACATTCTTTGTTTCTTTTGGAAATTTTCCAGGGTTCTGTACTTCTGGTGCTATTTTTATGTTTTCATGGGTTACTGAATGTAGTACTCCACACTTCCTTATGTGTGAATGCATTGTAACGATGCATGTGCTTGAACATTTGGTTACCATTTCTTTGAAATAGGCTTATGTATTTTGTTCTGTTGCTTACCCTGTTGTTTACTTTAATTTATTACAGATGCTGGACTACAATGTGCCTGGAGGTGGGGCTTGGGAATTTATTTTAAGTTTATTCTGAGTAACTTATTCATTTTTTGTAACTATTCCCTGCTACGAAATTGAAGGAAGGGGCATTCAGGAAGCATATTTGAAAAAGATAAAGTTTATTGACATAAAGATGAATTAAAATTTATATTGCAGGAAAGCTGAACCGTGGACTGTCAGTTATTGACAGCTACAGATTGTTAAAAGAAGGACAAGCATTAAATGATGATGAAATTTTCCTTGCCAGTGCTCTTGGTTGGTGTATTGAATGGGTATGGCAATTGAAAGCTTTTACTTTTCTTGTTTGAATGATTAAACTAGTTCTAATCTCTTCAGAAGTTACTGTGATGGCATCATAGATTCTTACAATTGTCTGTTTGATGAATTTTGCAGCTTCAAGCATATTTTCTTGTTCTTGATGATATTATGGATAACTCACACACACGTCGTGGTCAGCCATGCTGGTTTAGAGTACCCAAGGTTTGTAGAAAAAGTAGCGTGTTATCATGTTATCTTTTTGCTGCTGTTGTGATAAGGTAATAACCTCTACTTACTGTATGCTGAAGGTCGGACTGATTGCAGCAAATGATGGAGTTCTACTACGGAACCATATTCCGCGTATCCTTAGGAAGCACTTCAGGGGAAAGCCATATTACGCTGATCTTCTGGATTTGTTTAATGAGGTTGTACAAATGTTGAGTTAAGGTTTGAATTATGTAGCTCTCATCTTGGTTATATGCTTAAACTTGACTATCTTGATTTTTTATTAGGTTGAGTTCCAGACTGCTTGTGGACAGATGATAGATCTGATCACCACACTGGAAGGAGAAAAAGACCTGTCCAAATACACATTGTCACTGTGAGTATGGGAAGACAAACTTAAATGCTGGGTCATATTTAAATGTACTGTGACTATAATAACTATGCAAAATCAAAAAATTCTGCCAGGGAGCAATATCATATCCTTTCTATAGTTTCAAATCAACAGTACTTTTGCCTGAGATAGCAGCTAGCCTATTATATATATATATATACTTTGCAATCTTATGAAATCAGAGGTGCTCGGTGATTCTGCTACCTTGCTACAAATTTGTGAATGCTGCTTGAGATTTCCAAAAGAGCAATGTCATGTTCTTTTTGGCTGGGAATGCTGAAGGAAATGATATGAAATTTTCTTGTTACTGATTCTTTCTCTTGCTAAGCTAGCAATGTGCTAAATTTCAATGCAATTTTATATATTCCACTTCAGTTGCTTTTTCACATTTTCTTTCTGTCTTGGAAATCAATACTAATTACTAGCATATGGGCTTCTGCAGGCATCGGCGTATTGTCCAGTACAAGACTGCCTATTATTCATTTTACCTTCCAGTAAGTATTATTATCTTACATTTTTTTATTGCCTCCCTGGTTTAGGTTTCTTCCTTTCCCTTTTTCCTTGAGAGAAATGATTCTTCAGCCATGTTCTATTTAATGCTGCTAAAGTCTATATTTTCTGATTAAGCAAGAAAACAGATAATAAAACGCATGTAATATGGTCTTCAATTGGAAGTCACATATTTTCCTTGTAACTTCCTCTCTTTTTAATCGCATGTATGATATTTTCGGTAGTCCTACCACACTGGAATATACGAACTGTTATTTATCTTTGTATATGTCTCCTCCTTATGCAGGTTGCTTGTGCATTGCTCATGGCGGGTGAGAATCTTGATAATCATGTTGATGTAAAGAACATTCTTGTTGAGATGGGAACATACTTTCAAGTACAGGTAATACTTTGACCTCTTCTCTTTCTTCAGACCATTAGACTCCAAAATGCTGAATGTCTACACATTGTTGCTATCAACTTGAAACCCTTTTAAAAACTGTATATAACCTATGTTTCCTTGTCTTTTTTCCCTCTCATTTTAGGATGATTATTTGGATTGCTTCGGTGATCCTCAAACAATTGGAAAGGTGAGCTTAATAGAAAATGGAATTTTCGAAACATCAAATTCTTTTTAATCTCATTCTTGTTATCTATGCGTTCAGATAGGTACAGATATTGAAGATTTCAAATGCTCTTGGCTAGTAGTGAAAGCCTTGGAACTTAGCAATGAACAACAAAAGAAAGTTTTATATGTAAGTGAGCTTCTTATTATTTCCTGCCAGTTCTTTCCCTTTTTTACCTTGCCATGATTTAACTGATAAATCACTAATTTTTGTGGTTTGCAGGAGAACTATGGGAAGCCAGATCCAGCAAATGTTGCTAAAGTGAAGGCCCTGTATAACGAGCTTAATCTTCAGGTTTGAACTTCAATTATGGCTAGCTCTCATTGAAACACAACCCTTAACATTTTGTAATTTCAACATATTAAGAAGACTTATTAGCCAAACCACAAGGAAAACAAAATTAAGATGCTGAAAGAAAAGAGCAGTTCCTCACATTTTGCAAGAAAAGTCATGCAGACTAAGTTGAAAACATTTATAAATATCATGAGAGATGTTGATTTTCTTTGAATTATTTACTCATAATTTGAATGAATAGGGTGTATTTGCGGATTACGAGAGTACGAGCTACGAGAAGCTGGTAACATCCATTGATGCTCATCCTAGCAAAGCAGTTCAAGCTGTATTGAAGTCCTTTTTGGCTAAAATTTATAAGAGGCAGAAGTAGAGTCACTGTAAGGTCAAAACTAATTGTTGAAGATGCAATAGAAGCTTCATCATGATTGGTGGCCAAGAAATTTTTAAAAATCGATCTTCCTAGTCTTTTTTTTCTTTTTTTTTTGTGATGTGATCTTCTTGTATTTTATCATGTAGACTTTCTTGGGATACTTGTTTGACTAGTAATTTTTTTCTCTTCTGAAACTTGTTGGATCTTATTACTATCATTTGTGGTTCATCAGCAAACCTCAAGTTTGCCAGTGAAATAAAAATATATATACATAAAATTGACAAAATATCCAATTGTAACTGGTAATTGAAATTAACAGATAATATTTTGATTATTTCATAATTTATTATTTATATATATGACTATATTTTATCACAATTAAACCCTTTAATATAATAATTCTTTAACAAATCCTACTCATTGCACAGTAAAAAATGAGGCCACCTATTATGACATGTTAATGGTTAGCTACCCTTCATATGATGATGTCCTTAGAAGCAAACTTCTCATTCCCTCACATATATACATAAATTTAAATTTTGAAAGAGTTTAATCTTTTTTAAAAATATGTAACTTAAAAAGCAATTTATAAGTTATTTTTTAAAATCAAATTTTAAGCGAATTAAATTCTTTTTTGAAAATTAAATTTTAAAAGTACAAAAAATGCTTAAGAAAAATGTGAATAGTAAAAATGGGAGATATGAAAAGAAATTCCAACTATGTTCCATCAACTCAACATTGACATACCTCATATACAAACCGAGAGCAATGCATCACAATCAACACCTACCTTTCCATGACAAAAAATAGAAGCACTTGTCTTTCCAACTTAGCACCTCAGGAAGGCAAGTTATGGCGTTTAAGATGAAAATAAATAAATAAAGCAATAATAAGTTATTTTAAATTTATTATTTTAAGATATATATATATATATATATATATATATATATATATTAGATTATTAAAGTTAATTTCATTCACTTATTTAATTTATATATATATTATTAATCTGAAATAAGATTATTTTTATTTTACTTTTGGAAAAAATTAATTAATAGGATGTAATATAATCGAGTTAAATTAATATTTTATTTATTTTCCAATCATTAATTTTAATATTATTTTTTTTAAAAATTGACAAATTGATTAAACTTTTTAATCAATACTTATTATTTTAAGAACATAATAGGATAGATCAGTAAAGATATTATCATTATAAAGTACGTCAAAATGATTATGGAACACTCAGAGAGGAGAACAAGAAATTACAAAAGGAGCTCCAATGGTGTTTTTAATCTATTTTATAATAAATTTAAAAAGTGGTAAAAAAAAAACTTAGAAATCACACTCTTATTTGAAAAAGATTCGAGAAATTAGAAATAACAAGATTGTCTTCTTACAGATTAAAGTAAAAAAAAAAAAAGTTATGTAACGTGATAGGTTTAACTTAAATTTAGAGAAATTGTCATTTATTTATTTTTTTTCTTAAAAAATTGAAAGAAATAAAAGACTAATTTTTCAAAATTATAAGAACCAAAATACACAAACTTTAAGTTAAAAATGAACAATTAATATTTAAATAATTACATGATTGATTATACATGTATACATATTTAATTATGATTTTAATAATTAATCATTGAATCAATAATTATAAGATAAGAGGCTTCTTTTAGAAAAATATATTTAATTACTCATGATAAATTGTTACTATATATCAAATAATTACTAAAGTAATACTTTACTTAGTTCACCAATAACCATAGATTATTAATATAAATAATCTAAGGAGATGCTACCAAGTGAGGCCGCCCCAACAGTATATTGTCACACTCTTTTAAATAATTTTTACACAAAATATTCTTTTTTATTGCTTGATTAAATCAATAGTAATAATATTTAATATAAAATATCTCAAATAAAGTATGATAATAAACATTTTAGATTAATAACAGAGTCTTCTTTTGTAATTCTTTAACATGTGCCAATGCTACACATTAGAAAAATCCACGAATATTCATAAGATATGGACATAAACATTAAAACTGCTAGCCACATAGGTAGGCATTTAGATATGGTTTTTTTTTTTTTTTTTTTTCTCTTGAACATAGCTATGAAAACAAAAATGTCTCATTCCTTGACGACAATCTCTTTGAATAGTTGGTTTGGGTTGGGTTGGAACCTTCTTGCTATTTTAGTTAACATTTTTTATCTTTTATGTTAGCTAACTGTTATACTTATTTTAAATTGTAAAATTCCTTTTTATTAAACAATGAAGACCAGAACATATGACCTATCAAATACGACAAATTATCATACTTGGCCATTTTCTTGGTGTCATAACATCTCATGTTTTACTCATCAAAACATGACAATTAGTGCACGGAGTTTCATGATTTGTAGACTTACAATCATAAATATAATTTAATTTCAGATTAATTGCATATAGGAGGAGCATGCAAAACATAAGAATAATTAGTAATTGCCGATGAAGGTTAAGAAAGGGTTCTGGCAACAGTTATTTAAAAAAATAAATTTCTTTTAGTCTTTTAAAATAAATAATAATAATTTTTTTTCAAAACAAATTAAACAAAACATTAGTTAGGCACATTGCATTCCACTGTGGCCTTTAACTGGAAGAAGTTAAGGAGAAGGACGCCAAGGAAGCTTCAAAAAGTGGCACAACTTTTTCTTGCTTGACCAGTGGTCCAACTTGTATTAATTATCTTCTGCCTATGAATATATAAATTTATTTGATTATTCGAAACTATACTTTATATTATGAAAAAAGCTATAATATTTAAGAAGGTTAAAAAGAATATATGTTGATAGCATTTTTTTTCTTATGCATTGTGATCAGAAGGGGAGGAAAACGCGTCAAGCACATTCATATGTCATAATAGCCACTCGTTTTCAGTCATCTCTGAATGGACCCCTCTCCATAATTTTGATTTTAGGGTGAAAACAAAGTGTCCCATGCAACGTAAATTCATGAAATAGAAGAGAGTGGTGGACAAAAATATCCATTGCATTAACCACTAATCAAGATAAGCCAAATGGGTCATCATAACTTTGCTTCAAGAGTTTATGCCTTGGTAGTTGGGTTTTATAAATTTTTGTTGTACTTGTTTTTTACAAAATTGTCTTGGATAAATCGCTAGCATAATTTCTTTAGACAATCTATAATCATATTTATTAGAATTCAAACTCCATACCATATGTTAAATGGAATAACTCTTTTAATTCACATGTTTGGTGATGACATAATTTCAAACATACTACTTGAATTAAGCTTTTTAAAACCAAGAAAATATCATATTTTTGAATGAAAACTCGTATCATAACCAGAGTTTGTCTTTCATTGAAGAGTATTCATAAGTTAACCCTTTGCTCATAGACGGCAAGGAAAGGTGGGTGTCCTCCAAATTGGACCCCATTATGACATTTGACAAAAGGGTGGCTGACTCCTCCACTCAATATCAAATTCATAGCCATTTCAGCACGAAACAGTAAAAAGGGTTCAAATAAAACATTCGCATCTATCTCTATCCAATCTTCTTTATTACATCATCAATTGTGCACAAAGGTTTTTTTTTCATAAATTGTTATTGTAAGCATTTTAGATAAGCTCTTTCTTCTTCTTTTTTTGATAATTTTTTTTAATTAGATAATTCTATTAAATAAAAATGAGTTCAGATTATATAATGAAAAACATACAAAATTTATCATGGAAGAATAGAGATGTTGAAATGAGTGCAACAAAACACATTACCTTCATTTTTTATGTACGCATAAGCATGGACTTAGCAAACTAAAATAAATATTTAATAAGTTGGTGAAAAAAAAAAAACAAGAAAATAAAACTTACCTCATATAGAAATTATTTAATAATAATGCATAGTAGAAAGGTAAACGGTGGAGGCGTATGATTTACATATTGATCTTGTCGATGGTCCAACTCAAACGCGCTGTGGCCTCCATTTGAACAAAATGGGGTCAATTTAATGAAAGAAAAGTGCATTAACTTTAACAAAATTACAAATTTGATTTTGTTGCATCTTTTCATAATTTCGTATCCAATTTTTCCTTTTGTTAAATAGTCCTAGTTTTTTTTTCCGCCCTCAATCAATCATTCCATTAATTTTGAAACTTTAGGTTCCATCAATATCTACCTGATTATCCACTCTCAATGTCTTTTTTTTTATTATTTAATTTTAATTTTTGTTTTTGCCTGGCTCGTTGACAAATTTTTTCTGCTTCCTTCTCAACTGTTTCAACTGTTCCGATGAATTCGCCACAAAAATTATATTTTTGAAATATATATATTACATAGATCAGCAGTTTCGCAGAATTTCTTTGGGCACAATCAAAGATTCTTCTATATATGTTTTCTGTCTAATTTTTGGGTTAGTTTTTCTTCTTCTGTTCACTGAAGAATTTGAGCTCTGTTGGTCAATTTGATTATTAGTTTTCCACTTCAGTTCATATTTTCTTACTTCTTAGTCATAAATTGCATTACCCTTTTGGAAGATCTTGGTGGGGTGCTAAATAGTTTCTGGGTGATTAAGAAAGTTGAGATTTTTTCCTCAAGGTTTTGGTGCCCTTTTGAGTTTGATTACATAATGAAGCTTGTGGTTCGTGTGATTGAGGCAAAGAACTTGCCACCTACGGATCCTAATGGGTTGAGTGATCCGTACGTGAGGTTACAGTTGGGGAAGCAGAGGTTCAAGACAAAGGTGATCAAGAAGAGTTTGAATCCAAAGTGGGATGAAGAGTTTAGCTTTTGGGTGGATGACCTTAATGAAGAGTTGGTTATATCTGTTATGGATGAAGATAAGTTCTTCAATGATGACTTTGTGGGTCAACTTAAAGTGCCAATCTCACTTGTTTTTGAGGAGGAGATCAAGTCCCTTGGCACTGCTTGGTATTCTTTGCAACCCAAAAGCAAGAAGTCCAAGAACAAGGAATCTGGTGTGTTATGCTGCTGAACTGTACTTTCCTGTACCTTGTCCAATTGTTTGCTGATTACTTAAGATTTGAGTGGCCATGTTTGTTTTCTCTCTCTCAACTAGCACTCTTCTTGTTTGGTTATTTTATGAATAAATTCTTAGCTTGGTCCTGAAATATTAGTAACATTAAATTGCACCTAAAATGATTTTTGGTCATTGTATGCAATCAGTAACTTCTAGACTATTTTGATGTCAAGTATCGTTAGAGGACCAGCTAATTGATGTTTCAAAAATCATTCAAAGACCGAATGAGGGGTTTACTCTTATTTTATTGAGTTAAATTCCTGTGGTTATTATATTAATTGTGCACTTGATTTAGAAAATCTGATAACCTGGTGTAAATTGCACAATGTCTAGGCTCAAATTTGAGTTTGAGACTGCGGATTGTACATCCCAAAGGGGCCATTCACCTCAAGTCTTATTGGGATAATAATATGCTCACTAACTGTGAACATGATTATATTATTCATGGTTTTGCCTCTATCTTGAACTTCACTTCTGACATTTTTTCCTTTTCCTGGCAGGTGAGGTTCGTTTGAGTATATATTTTTCACAAAAAAATGCTTCCATGGAGTCAAATGGTAGTCCTTATCTATTACATCCAACAAAATTTATTGATGTAGTGACTGAATCACCTTCAAGGTCTTCCACAGGCCATTCAAGCTCACCTTCTCCTGTAAGGGAAGAATTTACATCAGTTAAGGATGAAAAATCTGGTACTCAAAAAACAATTACAGGCAGAATTGCTCAAATGTTTAATAAGAGCTCTGACACATCTTCAACCACATCACGTAGGAGCGTTGACTCAGATCAATCTGAAATTAGTAAAGTAGAAGTTAGTGAGATCAAGACTGAGGATCAGTCCTCTAACGAGACTTTTGAAGAAGCTATGAGAAAAATTCAGTCTGCAGATGAAGGCAGTGAAATTCCTGCAAATTTACCAGGAGGAGTGTTTGTCGATCAGCAATATATTATTGCACCAGAAGACTTAAACGAGTTACTGTTTTCATCAAATTCAAATTTTCTCAAGTCATTGGCAGATGTGCAGGGTAATACAGAATTAGAAATAGGACCTTGGAAGTTTGAGAATGGTGGGGAGAGCTTCAAAAGATTAATTACTTACGTCAAGGCTCCCAGTAAATTAATTAAGGCTGTCAAAGCCTTTGAGGAGCACACATATTTAAAAGCTGATGGAAAGAACTTTGCTGTTCTAGCCAGTGTCAGCACTCCTGACGTTGTGTATGGGAGCACCTTTAGGACAGAAGTACTCTATTTAATCACACCTGGACCAGAGTTGCCATCAGGTGAAATGTGTTCACATCTGGTTATATCGTGGCGAATGAATTTTTTACAGAGCACCATGATGAAAGGAATGATAGAAAATGGGGCTCGACAAGGTATGAAGGACAGCTTTGATCAATATGCCATTTTGTTATCTCAGACTGTTAAACCTGTTGATCCAAAGGACCTTAGTTCCAGTAAGGAACAGGCTTTGGCATCATTACATGCGGAGCCTGAGTCAGATTGGAAACTGGCAGTGCAGTATTTTGCTAACTTCACAGTAATCTCAACAGTTTTCATGGGGTTGTATGTGCTTGTCCATATTTGGCTGGCTGCACCCAGCACAATTCAAGGGCTTGAGTTTGGTGGGCTTGACTTGCCAGATTCAATTGGTGAATTTGTTGTCTGCGCTGTCTTGGTTCTTCAAGGTGAACGCGTGCTGGGTTTAATCTCACGCTTCATACAGGCCAGAGCACAGAAGGGTAATCTCACACTGAGTGAATTAAGATATTTCACGTTTCATCAATATGGCTTTCCTTTTTCTCCTTGACTCTGTTGCATTTAATGGAGTGACCATGAGTTTTTTCTCTTGTCTTTTAATTGTTTAGTGCCTAATGCCCGTGTTTCCATGCTTATATTATTTTTTGTTTGCTTCTCCAATATTAGGCAGTGATCATGGAATTAAAGCACAAGGAGATGGGTGGTTGCTAACTGTTGCTTTAATTGAAGGAAGCAATTTAGCTTCTGTTGATTCTAATGGGTTCTCTGATCCATATGTGGTGTTTACTTGCAATGGGAAAACAAGAACCAGTTCAATCAAGTTCCAGAAGTCTAATCCTTTATGGAATGGTGAATATCATGTCATAACTTATTATTTCTCAAATAATATGGAACAAACCTTTGAATTCAGTGATCTAATACATAACTCTAGTTTTCCCTACACAGGATCGGTATCTTATATGATTGTTTTTTCATTAAGAACATTGTCTATCTTTGCAGAAATATTTGAGTTTGATGCAATGGATGATCCTCCTTCTGTGCTGGATGTGGAAGTTTATGATTTTGATGGACCTTTTGATGAAGCTGCATCTCTAGGACATGCTGAAGTTAATTTTCTGAAAGCAAACATCTCAGATCTTGCTGATATATGGGTTCCTCTTGAAGGAAAGTTGGCTTTGGCTTGTCAGTCTAAGCTGCACCTAAGGATTTTCTTGGACAACACTAAAGGTGCTAATGTTGCAAAGGACTATTTAAGTAAAATGGAGAAAGAGGTCGGGAAGAAGGTATGTAAAACACTACGTCTTTTCTGAGTTATACTTATGTTTTGTTACCCTTCTTTCTGGCTTATTTTTATGAAATTTAAAAATTTGTAGATTAATTTGCGGTCACCTCAAACAAATTCAGCATTTCAGAAACTCTTTGGGCTTCCACCTGAGGAATTTCTCATCAATGACTTCACCTGTCATTTGAAAAGAAAAATGCCCCTGCAGGTGTGGTTATTCTGTTAATGTGATGTTGAAAGTCATGGTCTATATTTCATGTCTTGGTATTTACTGGTATGTGCTTCTTTATATTATCTCATCAAGCTGCCAATATTTGTTCCAGGGTCGCCTATTTCTGTCTGCAAGAATAATTGGATTTCATGCAAATTTGTTTGGAAAGAAGACAAAATTCTTCTTTCTTTGGGAGGATATTGAAGACATTCAGGTCATTCCTCCTACATTTTCATCAATGGGGAGCCCAATAATTGTCATAACTCTTCGGCAGGGTAGAGGTGTGGATGCAAGGCATGGTGCTAAAACACAAGATGAACAAGGCAGGCTGAAGTTCCATTTCCAGTCCTTTGTGTCTTTCAATGTTGCACACAGGTAGACAAGGGACATTATATACTATCTTACAAACTTAATTTTCCTATATATACATATCTGCAACTTGTATGAAAATCTTTCCAGTTCTTTGTTTAGCCTTCTTTTTTCTTTTGCCATGTTTGTTAGGGTCTATAACAACAACTGCATTTCCTTTTTTGATCAATTTTATTGTGTTTTGAATCTAGACCGTCGAGGTTGTTCCAACAATGCATTGTGAAAACGATGTCAGCATTGGCAATTTAAAGTTGAAACTCTTTTGGTTGATTTGTACCTGAACATTCTAATGAAAATTGCTGACTTTTATTTGTATCTTGACAGTTACTGTACCACAACAGAATGAAAGTTATCTGAAGTTGTTTCCTTCCACTTATATTTGATTTCACTATCATTTTTTGACAAAATCTAGTTGCTTCTCAATAGATTTTGGTGTGAAAATTTTCTTAACCTTCAAAATTGTTTCCCTATTTTTGAGAAGTTTCTTTTGACTCATACTTCATATGATGCTTATCCATAGTTGCTGGCATATAGAAGAAATTGTTTGAGAAGGTATAGTGATAGAGAATAGTATTGATGATATCATATGTCACTAAGAAAAAATTTTGGGGGTGATGTAGGACTATCATGGCTCTTTGGAAGGCCAGATCCTTGAGTCCTGAACAGAAGGTCAAGTTTGTTGAAGAAGAATCTGATACCAAAAGCCTTATAAGTGAAGAGAGTGGAGGCTTATTCCTTGGCCTGGATGATGTTAGCATGTCTGAGATCTATTCTTGTTCACTTCCAATTCCTGTAATCTCTCTCAACTCACAAACACCATGCATGCGTGCACACACATTACACATACCTACATGGATGGCCTAATCTGTATATTATTGGCACAAATTATTGGTTCTTTATTCAATTTTTTTTCAACTTTGCAAGTAGTTCTGTTTGATTATAGTTGTTTTCCTTTTATTAATTTAGGCGAGTTACCTTATGGAGATATTTAGTGGGGGTGAGTTGGATCGCCGCGTCATGGAAAAGTCTGGCTGTCTTAATTATTCTTATACCCCTTGGGTATCAGAGAACAACGATATCTTTGAGAGGGCAGTGTATTACAAATTTGAGAAGCGTGTTTCAAGTTATAAAGGTGAAGTAACAAGTACTCAGCAAAGATCTCCCATTTTGGATGGAAAGGGTTGGCTAGTGGAAGAGGTCATGAACCTTCATGGAGTTCCTCTTGGTGATTATTTCAGTGTAAGTGAACCAAATTTAGCTTGTTTCTACACTTTTTTAGTGCCTGATTGTTATATCTTTGTTTTCTATGATTTACCCATTCTTATCATCCTTGTGTTGGTTTTCATCTCATGCGTCACTGAGTAGTGTCTCATATATGCCACAGATACACCTTCGTTACCAAATTGAGGATTTACCACCAAAAGCAAAGGGATGTAGAGTGCAAGTATTATTTGGAGTTGAATGGCTGAAAAGCACAAAGAATCAGAAAAGGATTACAAAGAACATCCTACAAAATTTACAAGAACGTTTAAAGGTGACCTTTAGTCTAGCTGAGAAGGAGCTTTTACCAAAATAACAAATGAATCTTCCTGGATTTGACTCAAACAACAAGTATTGAATTGAAGCTAGCCGAAATTTTGTTAGCACAAAATTGTTATTTCGATTCATGGACTTGGACTCTGGAATATATGATGCATCAAGATCATATGGTTCATGTGATTGTGCTGTTTGAAGTTGGTTCGCTTGCATGACAATCCCAACTTCATCGGAAAAAAGAGGAAAGAACCTGTTTGAAGTTGGTTCGCTTGCACGTGATTGTGCTCTTTGGTTGACTTGCTACCAAGCTTGTTCTTTGAACCAGTTTACTGATACCCAATTGTTCCATTGTATATACACGATTCGTTTAGAAGATGCTCATATTGCATCACAGCTTAAGATGATAACTTGTCAACTTATTACAATGGTTGGCAACAGAATGTTCCCTCAGATAGGGAATATGCTTTTGGTCATATAGGAAATGTTGTAAACGATTTTTTAGGCCTGAGAATGTCTTGACATGAAGCACGGGCCCTTTAACTCCATGCAGATTTATTTGTTCAAATTTGAAATACATTCATAACTTTTTTTGTCATGTAGAATTTACGTTGATCTCTGATTTTCCAACATAGCATTTTCTTTTATTCTGGTTTGAGACGATTATGTGCATACAGTTTCGTTTAAACAAGCACAAAGAATGTAAATTCTAAACTCGATCTCTAATGGTATATTTCATAACATTTGCTTGATTCAATTGTTTTTTCTTCCTTTATTACAGTTAACAAATGCTTTTTTTTAATAGCCATTAAATCCTCCTAAATTTCCATTGGAAAAATTAGGTACTTAGTTTCATGTTAATTACTCACGCAGGTTTGTAGATTGTTTACATACATGTAATGACACTACTTTACTGAATATGGGTTTAAATATGTTGTTAATATTCATAAATATGGTTAAATTTAATTCTTTTTTTTTTTTGGTTAATTTTAATTCTTGTAAACTTTAAATTTTTTAGGACAATTTCTGTTGTTATAAATTAATGATGTGACATGCATCTAGCTATTTTATGTTACTAATCATCTTATAACATGATTTAGCATATTTAGATACATGTTATGTTTTTGTGGTGTGATAATAGTGACTATTTGAAAATCAAAACTAGATTTATCTTAGAGAATCAAAACTATAGTTAGATATATACCAATTGCAAACATATTTTACCATGTAGTAAATCATTTGATTGGACTCACAGGTAACTGTAATATGTTTAGACAGTTTTATGTTTAATTTATTTATGTTCGGAATATGAATACCTTACTAGAAAATTCATTAAGATGTCAAACCATTAATTGTCATATTATGTATGTAAATCTTTGGGTTAGTCATTAACTTGTACTAGTTATTAGATAACAGATTGATGATTACTATCAAAATTTACTAGAGAATTGCATGGCAACATTCATAAATTATTTGTAGATACAATAAGATTGCTCTGTACGTATCTTTTATTAATTGAAGAAACAACAATTCGATGCTCATTTTCCGTTGCAAAATGTGGCTAGCATATACCAATGCCAAACAATTTATTTAACTTGGTATTCTTATTTTAATCATGTTTAAGATTGGAAGTCTTTACAATAATTTATACAGAGTTTATTTAATTTTATAAAAATGATTTATTATGCTATTAAGAGTGTGTATTTCAAGATTTACTTTTATATTCTCTAGAATATTGAGATAGTTATAAAATGTTCTTATATCTTTTCGAGGTTTGAAAATATATTCTCAAGTAAAACTTAGTCTCAAGAATACTTTTCAAAAAACATTCCCATAGAAAAAGGTGGGCATAATTTACTTCTATGAGAATAGAAAATTGTTTATAAAATAGACTGTGGATTATGCAGATAGTGGATAAGAAGAGGGACAAAAAGAAAATTCATTTATTTTATAAAAAAACATTCTTTAAAAAATTAGGATATAAAAATAACTTAGCAAAATTTTCTCATATCTGCAGCAAACATAAATCACGAATAAAAATTCGTCTTAAACTATTTAAAGTTAAAAAAAAATATTCGTGATTTGACTTAAAAGAAAAACAGATTTTTTTCTATCCACATGTTAATAATTTGATAGTAATTTTATGGCAAATTGTGATATTTTTATATTGATATATGTTTCGGCTATGTGATACAAAGTACGATCCATTATTCTAGTAAGATCAAAGAAAACAAAATGCATTTTCTATATAAAAAGAATGCTGATTTCTGTCTATTTAATTAAGATATATAAAATTAACTTTGACAAACCAACTCCAGACAATTTCTTGCCATTTATTTAATCGGAAAATTTGGGCTCTTTACAATATCAATTTTGAATGAGGATTTTTTTAATCACATTTTCTGTTTATAGGAAATTATTTTATTGAACTGAAATATTTACGAAACAATAAAGTTAACTTTCTTATTAAAAAAAAATCTTTTTAGCTTTATTCAAGGGACTTAAATATATACTTAAATTGCAATTGAGAATTATAGATTAAGAAAAAACAAAAACATTTTTAAATTTTAGTTATAATTAATAAAATACTTCTCGAGTTGAATAAAGTGATTACAATTTTTTTTAAAACTATTGAATATAATTATATTTATTAAAACTTAAAATCAAAACAAAATGTTAAGCTCAATGAACTAAATTTTGGCTTTGCGACAGGGTTAGGGAGATACTGGTAAAAACATAGTAATTATAAGCACATAATGACTATTACAATATTAACCGAGAAAATTAAATTCAGCATCTCTCTATCTTTCTCATTCTCTCTCCACTTCCCAGAGACGCAGCGTTCTAAAACCCTAACAGGTACGATTCTCCAACTCCCCATTTCACCAATCAATCCAAGAAAGCAAGAAAAATTTCCCCTTTCTATGGATTTCGGAAATTAAACTTCAATTTGTTTTTGAATGGCAACGGTTACGGTTATATCCCTTGTTAGATTTATCCCCAATTTTATAGGAGAATAATACTGTATTTTTTTTTATAGGGTTGAATGAATCATGTGTTTTTTTTCTTCTTAAGTTTTGATTACCCATTTGTCTTCTAATCGTCATGTGCTGTTAATTTTCTTTCTGAACCAATTTCTATGTTGTGAATTCTGTGTCCCTTTACTTACTAGATATATTTTGGATGTTGTGATTTTTTCCCCAACAACCTTTTAGGGTATGTGCAAAGAGAGCTTTGTAGCATGTTCTTAAGGTATGTTTTAAACACTGCTTGTTTTGTTGCTTCCTTTTGCTGTCATGGTGGCATTGTGATGCAACTTGTGAGCTCATACTGAAAAGGAGCTCATCCATTAAATCTGTTTGAAGAGAATGTATGGACGAGCATCAGGTCTTGATAGGTTTAAGAAAGCTCAGACCCTTGAGCCATTCTCTGTTTCTGTCAACTCATCTTCAAGAAATGATGCCCAACAAGCTAGTAAAGTAGTTGGCCATTCCTCTGCTTGGCCACCACAGTCTCAAGCTTCTGTCCACCAAGCTCAACATCAGCCACAACATGCTTCTCAGAAGACTGTAGGAGTGGAGGCAGCCCCATTGTTGGGGCAGAATCAGCATGCAACTCAGGTTGGGGGAGGGCAGTCGACATGGCAGCCGCCGGATTGGACTATTGAGCCTCGACCAGGTGTTTTTTACCTGGAAGTTTTGAAGGATGGGCAGGTGCTAGACCGGATAAATCTGGATAGACGGAGGAATATCTTTGGGAGGCAAATCCAGACTTGTGATTTTGTGCTTGATCATCAGTCTGTCTCTCGACAACATGCTGCAGTCGTTCCTCACAAGAATGGGAGGTTAGAAGATTTCTCTATTATCTTTAATAATACTGAAATGGATACTTTGCGATATAGATGTCAGTGTTGTTTTCTATATGAACAAATTGTCTCAAAACAAAAGTATTCAAGGTTGTTAATTTCTGTTAATCAGCGATTCAGAAAAATGAATTGCAAATAACTCAGGAGTCACTTCAGTGTTTAATATATGAAAATAAAAATACTACTTATAATGATGACAAGTGTCTTTGAAAAGAAAATAAACCATATTGTCTGATTGAATGGCAGACACAATCCATGCCTTGAAGTGCACAAACTAGTTATTCCCTTTTGGGGTGTAATTAGGTCCTGCAAAGCTTGAAAACCCCTTGTAAATTGTGATTTATTGGCATTAACATTTTTTAAAATTACAGCATATATGTAATTGATTTGGGATCTGCGCATGGGACATTTGTTGCAAATGAACGGTTGACTAAGGATTCACCAGTTGAGCTTGAAGTTGGACAATCTTTGCGTTTTGCTGCATCAACAAGAACATACATATTGAGAAAGAATGATGCAGCTCTTTTCCCTCGTCCTCCGCCACCAACAGAGATTAATTTTCCACCACCCCCTGATCCATCTGATGAAGAAGCGGTTGTAGCTTATAATACGCTGCTGAATCGTTACGGCATCAACAAGGCTGATCTGGTGTCCAAATCTGGTGAGTCTGGTAGTTCAGCAAGTGGAAAAAATAAGGATTACCAAGCAGAAAGAGCAGCTAAGAGAATTAAGAAGACAAGAGTTGCTTTCAGGGATCAAGTTGGGGGAGAGTTAGTTGAGGTTGTTGGAATCTCAGATGGTGCAGATGTAGAAACAGAACCTGGTCCAGTTGGTGTTAAAGAAGGAAGTTTAGTTGGTAAATATGAATCTCTTGTACAGATTACTGTAATACCGAAGGGGAAAGAGCAGTCCTCCATTAAGGAGGCAGATTTGTCCCAAAAAGGTGTTACTGATAAACTACAAGAAGTCTTAAAAAAGATCAAAGCCCCAGTTAAATCTGGGGGGATTTATGATGACCTTTATGGAGAATCGTTATCAGTCAAAGTTGGATCTTCCTGGGCATATTCACCTGCTGGTGCTGGTGAAGGAGATCCAGATAAGGAGGATGGTGAAGGTATTACATCAAGCGGAAAATCAGACAGTAATCCTCACGCTGTTGATGGAGATGATGATGATTTGTTTGGGTGACCATTGAACCTATGCAGACTGGATTATGGGACAGATTTGTGATAGTTCTGTATTGAGCTTGACATCATAGGGAGTTGAAAACATGCAAGATATTATGTTGCATGCTTCTTTTGTCGTCTGGAGTTATTGTTCAAATGCATCCATAATTATTGATGTTTTCCACTGCATACCCCATCTCTCTAAAAGACTGCAGGCTCATGGTTAAATGGTTTATTATCCTTGTTTTGAGCCGTTAAATAGCTCATTTAAGTAACAGTTTGCACCAACCGTTTGGTGCAACCTAAGTGCTCTCAGAGTGGTTTGGGGACTCCTCGACCACGACTTTCCTTTGCAACTTTGTTTCCCATCCTCTGTGCATGACTATCCTTTATTCTTTCATGAATTTGTCTTTTTTGACTTGCGCTGAGGAGAGAAAATGAGGGGAGAGAGAAAATCTCATGGCAAAAACACCAGCTGACAAGTTTGATTTCTTTTCCTCCCTCTTTTCAATCTGTTCCAATGAGTAAAAGATGCCTTGCCTTCAATTGTTCCTTACAAGTTACTTCTTTTGATCCTTGCGTGCATTTTCTGTTTGCTTCTTTCTCAGCGTTTTCTTTTTACTTCCTTACCCGCCATTGCTTTGTATTATTTTTGTTCCTTTGCTGCGATTTTATCTCCCTTCTCCCCTTCGTTGCCACGAGTAATGGCTGTCTTGCCCTCATTCTTTTTACTTTCTTACCCTCGTTACTGATACATTCTTTGTTTGCTCTATTCTCTGTTATGTTCAAGTATATACCAAAAGATTATTTATGCTAATATTTAGGTGCTGAATTCAAAGTATAATAGTAAATTAATGTCAAGTATCAACGAAACCATTTGTTGGAATAAGTTTGTAGCTTTGACATGAATTCACTTAACAAAAGAGGAGAAAACAAAATATTTGTTTGTTATACGAAATAGAATTTGGCATGCAAATTTACAACGGAAAACACTTGGTAGCACTTGAATATTTTTTTTCCTCTTTTCTTTTCTTTCCTTTTTTTTTGGGTACGCTCTCTTACCGTAACCAAGCCTAAAAAGGTTGTAATTTACCAAAAGGGAGATGCTTGAGATGTAGATCCAAGAGGAACATAGATATAATCAATTGTATTCATTTTCTGTACATTTTATACAAAGTTTAATACAATTTGTGTGTATATGTCGAGGGTAGTTCAAGAATTAATCTTGACTTTATTTCCTTCGTTGCAAATCATAATTACTAGTAGTTCTAAACAAAGAAAAAGCAACCACAAAAAAGACAACAAAAACAAAAGGGGACAGGGAATCCAAAATATGTACCAGTGGCGGACGGGAATGAGCATGATTGGCTATGGTTTCTAAGATTTCTAATAATTCAAATATGTCTCGCCCAGAAGTGAATAGGTGAACTGCACACTCGGAGTCAGTTTCCAACACAAGTTTTAGTATTCCCATTCATAGGCCAACTTTAGAGCTTTTTACTAATGCATTCGGACCTCCATTCCCAAAAGTTGATCTTTTATCTCCTTTAATAAATAAATCCATCTAAAAGCTTTGAAAATTGGTACAATGGAAGTCGTAAATGCTTAACCAAACAGACATTAAGTCTACGGTATTTGCCAACCTGCTTCTTTTGAAATGATTTGCTGTCTGAAGTTAACTATACTAAAGATTCCTCTGTTTGGCCGTGAATATACTATTCATCACCTTTTTTTGGCCTTCAACATACTACCATTTTGGTCAAACTGCTTATTAATATCATATGCTTCACATTTAATGAGTAAATAGCAGATAAATTTATGAAATTTCCTTCTACAATTGTAAAAAAAATAATATTGGCATTTTAAATCCTAGAAATTACGATGTCTAACACTAATAATTTGGAGGACTAAATAAGAGAATTACTCTTCTTGTATCTCCCTTTTACTAAATACACCACTCCTTATAATATGTATCTTTTGAAAAAAAAAAAAAGAAAAAAAGAAATATGTTCATCATTTTTAAAAGCAATTTTTGGAATTTAACACTTGAAAGGTTAATACCAGAAAAGAGGCCCTAAAATTTTAATGATTCACAAAGACATGGACCTAGTGCAGTTCTCTTAGAAATTCGATTTGATCCAGCCCAAATCTCGATGACAAAGGATAATAAGGAAGGTCATACCAGATTCTAAGACCTTGTTATCAGTCTGATACACCTTTCAGATTTATAAAATAAAATTATGCATATTCCGCCTTCATTTAATGTATAATCATTTGCCAGGTAGCTTATATCTTTGAAACAAGGAGACAAAAACAGTATATTAAGGGAGATATTAGAAATTTTTTTACAGAACTTAAACTATATAAAACACGTGTTTAGTTAAAATAGCTTATGAACTTGTTTTTAGTTTATTATAATAAAATATATCATGAATCTTATCAAAGTTAAGCTTATTTTAGTACTTATTATAGACAAATTTTAAATTTATCTGTAATATATATATATATATATATATATATATATTTGTAATTTATAAATGAATTTTTCTGTTTGTAAACATTTAATTTATTTTTTTCTTTTGTTTACTTATATAATTTTTTATTTTTTATTATTACAATAATTTGTAAACATAAAAAAATTATAAAATCAAAATTTAATATTCAAAAAATTATTTTAAAATATTAAATTAAAATATCATTACAATTCAAAAAATAAATATTTAAATTAATAATATAAAAAATAAAATAATAATATCTATTACAAGAATTCAGTATGATTATAGTCGAGAGCACCATCATCAGAAAAAGAGAAAGATATCCATTTATAAAGTTTACGACAAATCTTATCAAATTAAGCTTATTTTAATATTTTCTCATAAATCCCAAGTATAACAATTTCCCACAATGACTTAGAAGTTCATGAGCTAAGCCAAGTGCCCCAATGTAAAGTTTTTATGGACTAATTATTCAATCAAGTTATTTATTTGAACATACTATATATAAGTGTTTTAGATCCCATGTTAATTACTCAGCAAATATGAATGTAAAAAACTTACACATACACCGAATTCCAACAATGTCTCATTTAATATAACAATATTATAGAGAATCCTTTACTGGTGATAGTCAATTCCTAATTAATAAGGAACATGATAATTTATTTTAATAAATCGTATTTCATTATAAAATAAATAAATAATTCCTCCTTTTCTTTTTATCCATCCTTTTAAAAAAAATATTCTCATTTATTTGTCTTTTTACACATCTTAGATAACAATGATTATAATTTTTGTCGATTGTTATACTTGTGTTCTACTGGTTCTGAAGTAATAAATTGCAGGGAAGAAAGTTTTAGAGAAACAAACAAGGGAAACATCAAGTAATAAGAGAGACCAATAAATAGAGACGAGTTTAAAACAAAAGAACGGTATAATAGGAAGTTTAAAAATGATTTAAAGAAAACAAAATATTAATTATATTCTTAATCTATGTATTATTAACTTTAAAGGACGTATAAACAGGAACGATGAAGTAGTGAATAATATTAATATGTCTCCTTGTAATATAGAAACCAACAAAAAAAAATTAAATTATTTAAAGAAAAAAATTTATTATATTTAAAACAACAAAATATTTACGTAATTGAACATATTTCATAAACTAAATTAAATAATCCTCGATTATTATTCTTCACGCATTTGCTACCAATAGAATCACAAATAGTTAAGTTATATCCACTTTTTAGTCTACATCATTTTCCTTAATGCAAATTCCAACTTGAGTGTTTGAGTTAGAAATAATGCAATGTAGGATTTACAATAAGAGTCTTTGACAAGGGTTCAAATAGGATTAATGAATGAAATCCGTTGGCTAAATAAAGAAGAACAAAAATGTGGGATGTTTAGGTTACTAGTGCTTGCTAAGGAATGCATTAACTTTTAGAATTTTTTTAAACAAATAGTTCAATTAAACTTTTTTGTATCCCTTCAAAACATTCTACTGTTCTAAATTAACTTGTCTGCTCAAATGGGATGCAAAACAACTCTAATTTGCGAAGAAGTTAGAAGTAGTAGGCCCCTTGTGATGAAGTAGCAATTGACTATGGCCATCTTATGTTAGGGGTAGGGTTTCCAAACTATTCTCATCAGTTATTACTCAGTACTGTATTCATTAAATGGGGTTACACATATAATGTCATTGCCATTATTGATTATGTCTAGACCTATTCATGTTTCATGCCAAGTTTAAATTCCCACTTAAAAAAATAGACACAATCATCAATAATTAACTGATATTATGAGATATTTTAATTGTTACAATTGAAACACGCCTATATATACTTTCATCATTTTAAAACTCGATATTCGTTTATATGTAATAATATACATGAATAGATCATGTATTTATACTCATCTCTCACCACTTTTTTTAATTACCTGATAATTATAATAATAGCAACAACATTATAGTTCGTAGCTAGTGGTGGTCAAAGTCACTTCCTCTACACTGCTTACACATAGGAGGGAAATTAGGCAACTTATATGATTAGTTATTATTTTTGGTTCTTTTAAACTATATCCATTGTTTTTGTTCTTTTAAACTCCTCGTACATGTATGTAGGTAAAGTATGCATGAAAGCGGAGCCAAATGGATATATAAAATTAGGCAACTTATGAAAAGGCATGAGCATATAAGGCTATGGCACACTGCTTATTTTAATTGAAATTGACCCTATAAGTATAATTTCTCATCCATCTGTTTTAACATCACATATCGACAAAAGCATTCAATGTTGATGTAGCAAAAAGTTATAAGTTTCCCTTTTGTCGAAAGGTAATGTATATATGATCATCAACAAATTCCAAACTGGGGTTAGCATAAATTAATTTCTTTTATGTTTAAAATAATTTATAATTAAAATCTTTCCAAGAATGTTTTTTGAAGAAAAGAATCTTAAAATATGAAGGATAAAAAATCAAACATAAAAAATGGGAGGTGTGGGAGTAAGACAGCTGGGGCTGCATGTATTAACGATCTATTTAAAGTAAGAGTACATCCTAAACTTGGGGTGTTTTTATTTCATTATCTCTTAAAAAATAAAAACAGCAAGTATTATATTAATTGCATGGATATTTATAAATATAAGTGAATTTTAAAAATGACAAATAAATTAATTTAATTGATAAACAGTGATTTTTTATAATAAAGAGTATGAATTCAAAAATAAAATACACGTATTTTAAATTTTTATTTTATAAAATTTTAAAATTAATCTAAAAAGATTATTTAAATTAAAATTTATAAATACCTCATTAACTATATCTAATTTTGATGGAAGAAAATTGAATATTAATTAATAAATATTGAATTAATTTGGTATAAACTTCAGAATAAATATATCATAAAATAAAATAAAAATACACATATCGTGTGTGTATGTGTATATGAATATAAATTATTTTATTTTCAAGAACTCCAATTCATCCCGTGACTTAACATGACCCTGGATCAAAATTATTTGGAAATATTTTCCTTCTGTAACCTTTCATCATGATGTTAGATGTAAGGGGAAATATAATTTTAGCAAGGTTAAGAAGAAAAGAAAAGCACATCAATTAAAGTGGTGCATGCAAAATAAACAAATAGGTTGATACCAAATTTGCAGAAGAATGACTGACAATCTTCATGAAAAGGCACATGGTCGGTTCATAAATTGGTTTGGTCACTGTATAATAATAATAACAAGATCTTATTTATAAACTCAAAAGAAATTGAAGATAATGATCACTATTATCATGATCATATGTTATTGAGATCATGAAGTTCATCATCATGGCCATCGACATCAACCCTTGGTCATAACATCATTTGGGTTAGACTTGGACCAAAAAAAGTAATAAAAGAAATTGCTTTTAGCTAATGTTTACACATTTTCTTTTGCTAGCTAGCTGTTTAAGATTGACACTTGACACCAAAACGGCATAACAACCAAACCATTATATATGTTTTTCTACCTTGTTGCTGCTTATGCTAAAGCCTCTTTGTTAATGGTTACCCCTTACCACATCCTCTTTCAGCTGAAGGGATTGGTAAGGGGTCCCTTGTCCTTGTATATCACATGAAATAGAATCATCTTGGGACCCTTAAGAGGATGTTAAACAAAACAATCCACGCACGAGTGAGTGAACAGAAGCATAGAGAAGAACCTCTTCACGCAAGAATGATTAAGCAAAAATAAAAATCATACAGTAAGAGGGATAAGATAGAGAAGTTTTTGTCTGTGTTTGGCCTTCAAAACAACCAACACAGAGAGAGGTCAAAAGGGTTGATGTAAACGGCATAGAGACTGACACGTGTCCAACATGCACACAAGGTGGCCCAACCATATTAGGGTTACATAATGGTCATTTAAACTATTAAAAACTAACACTATATTTGATATCATAAATAATAATAATAATATTTATTATTATTATTATTTTACACACACTTCACAAAATATACTTTGAAAATATAAAAAAAAACAACTAAAATTATTTCCAAGGTCATAAAAAATCATTTTTCATAGAAATAATAGAAGAAGAATATCCCAAGGTTTAGTGGGGGGAAGCATGATGATGAATGCACAGTGGATCCTTCACCTAGGTAGAGACTTGGCCCCACACAAGCTTCTTTTCAATTAGTATAGTAGAGCACTCCAATGCCTTAACCCACTTGCATTGCATGCTTTTTGTGATTTAATCATACAGCACCAATTTTGAAGCTGTTGAGGTGAAGACTGAAGACTTCTTTTTCAATTTTCACCATCTTGTGTTGCATTCTATTTCCTATTCAAAGGAGCATATCATAACATGCTTTTGATGCATTACCATGTTGACTAATTCCAAACGAACCACTTCTTCTCTCTCTTCTCAATGTTGTACTCTATAGCACTCTTGGTTAGGAGACATTGTGGTACTCGTTTTTTTCTTTACTTGGAGCCTTCCCTGGTTGTTTCTGAATGAGGCTTTTAAGCTAAAGCCTATCACTCTCTATTTCTTTGTCCCTGAGGATTACTTGCATGAAGCTAGTAAAGCATTCCCTTTCCTGCTTCACATGTCGATGCATATATGCTTGTTTCTGATTTTAGGCCACCATATTTATGCCTTTAGTTCAAACACTGATGCTTCTGCTCTATCTAATTTCTTCTATTTGTACAATTTCTTCAAAACCACAGCTTTTTCACTTGTGAATAGTATACTTTTCTGCTTCCTATCATTCAAGTAACATCAATGATATGTTCACGGGTACGTTTTCTGCTTTCTTTAACTTTTATTTTTATATAAAAAAAAAATTGTTTACACATTTCCAATGCATTTGTTTAGTGCTTTGATGAAAGACCTGATTCTGAAAACATAGGGAGATAACTAGGGACTCTAGGGAGCAATTTGATTAAAGCATTTTGTTTGACTTAACACTTCACAACCAGTTAAAACTAAAAAGCCTTTTTCATTCTGTTATAAAGATGAAGAGCACTTTTGTCAGATATAAAATTGTTTTTTTGAAAAAGAAGCAGCGCACTGTAGGTTCTGTTAGCTTGAAAATTCCAAGGGAAAAATGACAAAAAGAAAATGGTAAAACCTTCTTGTGAAGGGTGAGAGGAGGGTAAGTGGTAGAGAACTTTATCAATTCAAGAAGAGAAGAGCCACATAATTGGCGAAGTGCCTTGTTGAATGCCATCCAAGAATCAAATAGGGATGTCATTGATTCTGTGTTGTTGAGCAAAGCTAGCTGACGTTAACTATACACTTTCTGAATTTTGGCTATGATCATGGAAATTGGGATCTGTGAGACTTACCCCTAATAAAAAGGTGGCTTGCAAGACTTTGATGTCACATTATTTGGAAGAAAAACATGATGGCCTTTTTTTTTTCTGCCTTGTTGATAGCAGTGGGTGTGTGCTACAAACACAGTGCTTTTTGCTTTACCACCTCTTGTCTGTGAAAGCACAGACCAAACTGTATGTCAGATTTTAACAATTGAACGGTGGAAAAGGCCTAATAGCAATAGCACTAATATCATATATCCCTCAACCTCCAAAACCATTGTATATATTCTTCTTTATTTCCCCTATATTATGCGAAACATGTCTAAAGAGTTGCTTTTATGAAACTAATGCCGAGCTCTTTCATCAATTATATGAATACAATTGGGAAGAAAAAGATAAATAATGGAAGAAAAAAAAGTCGTCTTCCGTCTTTCTTGGTTCCTATTTACTTAATAAAGGGTAGGATAATTGAGAAGACCATGCATAGGATAAGGACCAATGCTGACCAATTATAAGTTTCAATAGATAAAAGTCTATATTAGTTTATATATATGTCAAAGTTCTTTGAGACTCACATAGAAAGTGACTAAGCAAAGTAACCTCATAATAAAAATAGTGCATGAATGATATTTGTATTATCTTAGGAAGCTATTGGTCAGTGGTCACACACTAGTTGTTTGCTTGGTGCATTACTTTCTCTTGGATTTCCATACTATTTTCTTTTAGATAATCATGCGTCCATATATACATGGAATCAAAATATCTTCTGAAAAGATCCCAGTGTGTACATATTTGCCTTGCATTTGTATACATTTATGATCCAACACTGTGACCTACTGTTAAAGCAATAGTAGGTCACAGTGTGGATTTCCAACTTCCAAGTACATCACAATTATCCTCTAATATCTACTCTCTACTTAGGTGACATTGGTTAAGGTAACTCGTATGTTTTGTAGCATAATGCATCATCGTCTTCAATGATGCCGCTTCTTTCTTCAATTATTATTTTTTCTGTTGGATGAATATTTGGTACATAAAATTAAGAAAATAATTAACTAGAAAAACCTCAGTATATATTATGTGTGTGTAATTAGTTCTCTGCCATTTATTAATTGTGGATTCTCACAATAAATAACTCATTTACCAATATCGTTGAATTTTTTATACGTTTTGTTAAGAAGTGTGTACAAGGTATTACTGTCCATTACCCTGTCATATTTTATATTACACACCATTTACTTTCTTGTAGAATACCAGCAGAAAAATTCTAGTAACATTAAAAAAGTTAGAAATAGGTATCAATTAAAATTAGTCAAGATTGAATGTGGCATATGAAGGTCTAAGACCAATATATTATGTGTGTGTGTGCGTGTGCATTATTTTAGAAAATTTACCTTGTAGAGTTGTCCAATTAACAAAATACTAAAGTTTGAAATTTGTAGAAAATTTTCAAAATATATGCAGTTTGCTGTATTGTACTTTAGAATAGTGTTTGAGTTTTTTTAACAAATGCTGATTGATGTCATGGTTAAAGAATTAAAAGTCGAAAAAAATAATAAATATACTTTTTCTTGTAAATTTTATCGTAGTTTAACATAATTTTTACTAAAAAAATTATTGCTTCCAATTGATTTGCAAGATTTTTCTATGGGGCCAATCAGCATCGAAGATGAAAAGATGCTGATGCATGCAATAGTCAAGTTTAAATCATGTTACTACTTTATCCAAAATGCATTTCCAAGAAAGAAACACATGCAGACATTGTTAAGAGAGTTTGGTACATATCCCTTAAGATATTTTGAATATTTGCCCAGATGAAAGAAGGCCAAAGCACTAATAAATAGAGGGTGGTTTCTTGTAAAAAACAACGTGCTATAACTACAACTATTAAGGTTAGCCACAGAAGAAACTTCACTTTTAATCAAAATCAAATGGAAACTACATTGTTGACACAGCTACAAGTGCAGGGCTTTATGTAACAGATATGGTATTATAAGGGTCTGAAACCTGAAGTAACTCAGTTAGAGTATTTCCACATCCATTTTAATTTTAATTAGCTTCACCCCTTAAACTTGAAGTTTGAAGTAACTTCCAAAGGTACGAGGCTAGAGACAAATTTGCATCAATGTATGGCATCTAGCACAAGTACCTTCTCTCTAAACAGTTACTGTTCTGCATACTCTTTCTCAGTGCATGAAGGCAAAAACTGGAATTTATTGTTATTTGTTTTCTTTAATCTATAGATAAGGACACCATCTTCTATAAATTGAAGGACTTGCAGAGATATATGCAAATCAATGAGATTGTCAAAGTCCTTGTTATATGAAAGTTGAGGTAACGCTTTCTTACATATCTTTCTTTGTTCTTTATTTTCTGGATTTTTCTTATACATATTAGAATAAAGATAACATGATATCAAGTGAATTCATGATCTGGTCTTTCTTCAAACTCCCCCTCACCTCGTAGTTTTCTTACTTGAAATAGAAGTTGCTGCTGTCAGGTTGGGGTGTTGCATAATCATGAACAGTACCATGATATGATTCATGTAATCATGTTCACCACTATCTTGAAACTACAAGGAAAACCTTTTGATTCACACCTGCAAAAGGGTTTCATAAAATGCATTCTGTTCTCTCTCTCTCTCTCTTTCCAATTACCTAAACAGTGTCATAATCTTTACCTTATTGAATCTGTAGTATCATTAGTTGCAGTCTTCAGAATTTGCGCAGGCTTTCAACTTTCAAGTAGAGGTTTTTCTTGACCATAGGGAATAGATCACAATAAACAGATATGAAGTTCATGAAACTTGGAACAAGGCCTGATACTTTCTACAGCGAACAAGCTACCAGGTATTTATAATTATATCAATGTTAAGTCTAAGAGTAGTGGAATACAACCTATTCCCCCCCCCCCCCCCCTCCCCTCTCTCTCTCTCTCTCTATATATATATATATATATATATTTATTTATTTATTTACTCACAAATTAACATGTATCATCATAATCATAAATGCAGGAGTCTGGTTTCAAATATACCTCCTGACCTTGTGATAAAAATCAATGATACCACATATCTGCTACACAAGGTATTAGAATTAGATTGAGTGTGGCATATGCAAAAAGAAAATAACAATTTAATCTTGGTTCATCTATAATTCCACTTTTGTTTCCTGCAGTCTTCACTTCTTCCAAAATGTGGCCTTCTACAAAGACTTTGTTCTGATTCTAGTGATTCTGAGAGTGTTCCTCTTGAGCTTCATGATATGCCTGGAGGGGCAGGTGCTTTTGAACTTTGTGCTAAGTTCTGCTATGGAGTTTCAATCAACATTAGTGCCCATAACCTCATGCCTCCACTCTGTGCTGCTAAGCTCCTCCAAATGAATGATTCCATTGAGAAGGGAAATTTTGTTGGCAAACTTGAGGCATTCTTCAGTTCATGTATTCTTGAAGGATGGAAGGACTCCATTGCAACACTGCAGGCCACTGACAAGTTACCAGAGTGGTCTGAGAATCTTGGCATAACAAGAAAATGCATTGATTCAATTATTGAAAAAATTCTTACACCCCCACCACAGGTTAAGAGCTCAAGATCATCAAAATTTTTCACATTTCTAAGAATGATACTTGAGACATTTTTTGCTTAAAATTGATGATTATGTGCAGGTTAAATGGTCCTACACCTACACCAGGCCTGGTTATACCAGAAAACAGCATCATTCTGTACCAAAGGATTGGTGGACCGAGGATGTGTCCGATCTAAACATAGATCTTTTCAGGTGTATAATAATGGCTATTAGATCAACACATATGCTCCCACCGCAGCTTATTGGTGAAGCCTTGCATGTCTATGCCTGTAAGTGGCTACCTGGTATCACAAAGCATAAAAGTTCATGCAGTTCAGCATCACAAAAAGAAGAATCTAAAGCTAAAAATCGAAAAATTCTGGAGACAATTGTAAGCATGATTCCTGCAGATAGAGGGTCAGTTTCGGCTGGTTTTTTGTTAAGACTACTCAGCATTTCAAGCCATCTTGGGGTCTCTCCAGTGACAAAAACAGAACTAATAAAGCGAGCCAGCATACAGTTTGAAGAGGCAAGAGTGAGTGACCTGCTTTATCCCTCAACATCCTCTTTGGACCAAAACTTTTATGACATAGAGTTAGTTCTAGCCGTGTTGGAAAGTTTCGTGAAGTTTTGGAAAAGAATCTCCCCTGGTGCTGTGGATAACAGGCACTTATTAAAATCAATCAGAAATGTTGGTAAGCTCATTGACACCTATCTTCAAGTGGTTGCAAGGGACGATAACATGTCAGTGTCAAAATTTGTCTCTCTGGCTGAAACTGTTCCAGCTATTGGTCGATTAGAGCATGATGATCTGTACCAGGCAATTAACATCTATTTAAAGGTGACTAATCATGCCATTCATGCAATATCTTGTACAGAATCTCTACACTTATGTTGAATTTTCATAGTCTCTTCTATAGACACGTGACAAATACTCACGAGTGAAATTCAAGACATTTCAGCACTTTTTGAGTACATTGAGACACTAACTGTATACACTTACATTATTCACTTCAAAACACTAAAAACATTACTGAGTTAGCATTCAACATTCAAACTGCTTCATTATAAGCATTTAGTGGTGAGCTTTAACTTTTTTATTACTATTATGGTGCATTCATGGCATGACTTATATTCAATGCATACATACACAACGCAGGTGCATCCTGATATGAGCAAGGCTGAGAAGAAGCGCTTGTGTGGGATTCTGGAGTGCCAAAGACTGACTCCAGAAGTGAGAGCACATGCAGTCAAAAATGAGTTTCTGCCACTAAGAACAGTGGTGCAACTCCTCTACTTTGAACAAGAGAAAGAATCTAAGGAAACCACAAGTTCTAAGCTGCAAAAATCACATGAGCTACTTCTAGGAGCAAAAAAGAGACCAAATACTAGAGATAGCTATGATAAGCAATCTTTAGGCCTAAACAAAGAAGAATTCAAGAGAGGAGAAGTCACAAGAATAGCCTCTCATGCTGAAAGTAGAGGAAAGAATCAACACAAAACTAAAAGATCATCAGAGGGTAAGTTGGCATTGGACTTGGAAAAAAAGATGGCTATAAGAGGAGACACTGAGGAGATAAAGTCAGAAAAGTTAAGTGGAGGAAAAGTTGAAAGAATGTCTAGCAACAAGTTGGACTTGGATTCTATGAAAATCATACAAAGGGCAAGAAGCAATAAATCAGAACATGGCCGTGAAAAGGGAAGATAGAGATCATAATAGTAATTATAATCTTCGAAAATTTAAGAGCAATTTTCATTCCCCTATATATGCACCTAGTAGCCTCTATTCTTATTATTTCTTTACCTGTGTCATAAATGTAAGCAAAGTATTATCCTTTATACTTTCTGTTTCTGTGTTAAAGAGTTGTATATTTATCAAAGAGGTCAATGCAACAAATGCAGTTGGCTTCTCTCAGACTGATAGTATTTTCATCACATTTCAATTGCCTTATATAAACAGGAATAAAACTCATTACTGTGTTTGTGGCAGAGGAAGATGAACAAGTTTAGGTTTGTGGCAGAGGAAGATGAACAAGTTTAGGTTTAGCCCTTTCAACTTCAAAGGTCATGCATATATATATACACACACACTTTTTGGTATTGGTCTCCTTTTAAAAATTTCCAATAAAATCGGAATTTGAATTTATTAGTCATTAACAATGATAGAAATTTTATAAAATTAAAATCTTGTCACCTTTTAATAGATTCAACTACTGTCAAGACCCAACAATGTAATCATACATTGTTTGACATATTATTTTTAATTTACTTTTATTTTTATAATTAGGTGAATTTTATGTATGTCTTGTTAAATATAGAATGGGGTTCACATAATTAATCTCACGTGAATTTCATACAATAATAAAAAAGTTTATTTTTAACCTTTCTCTATTTCTTTTTGTTTACAAATAATGTAATCTTCTTTTTCTATTTTTAATATTATAATTCAAAACAGTTTTATATTTGATCTAAGAATTTAAAAATAGAAAAATTGATTTTTTCGCTCTATCCATATTATATATGCATTTTTTAATGTTTAAAACGTTGAATAAAAACAACAAAAGTGACTCAATTTTTATAGTAGCTATGAAAAACTCATTTTCTTTTTATTCTTTCAATTCATTTTCTTCTTAACTAACATATAATGCCAGAGAAATATCTACGTAAATTTCTAATATTTTTTTATTTGTTAAAATTCATATAAATTCTACTAAATCATGCGGGTCTCAATTTTATTAATAAGACTCACAGAAAATTTATTCAACATTAAATAATATGTAAAAAAATAATATATTAATATGTGTATTATTATCCACGTAAGTTGAAACAAATGATGATAAATTGAGCGAAAAAAAAAATCATAAAGATATTGCATAACATTAGTTAAGAGCCCGTCTAAATCATTGTATCGATGAAAGTAAGACAGAAAATTGCATAAGTCTAGTTTATTTGATAATTTTAAAGTTGAAATTTGTTCTATTATAGGTCATCAATTATTTTAATAGTTATATATATATATATATATATATATATATATATATATATATATATATATATGAGTGAAGATATATTTATATTAGATGTTAAATTTAGACATTTATATAGTTTAAATTTTTTATAAAATATAAGATTAATTAATTTAATTGTTAAATTTTCTTATATTGTTTTCATAATTACTATATTAAAATTTACATAATTTAGATAATTGTAAACATATTATTCAAAAGTCGATATTTATTTATATTTTAAAAATATACTACATATTAAAATAAATTAAAATAATAATATATTAATTTTATTTTTAATGTTTTTTTACAAATTATATAGAGAGAGAGAGTCAAATTTCATTCACATCACACTTACATCATTTAATAATAATTGATATTTTATAAATTGTAAGAATTTAATCATTAATTTGTGTATTTTTTAAAATAGATTCAATTGAATAAATTTAGTGCAAACAGTTACAAGCATTAACAAATGATACTGTAAATTCAGGACCATTCTTAACTCTCTTAATAACTTGGGTGTTATATGTTAGTGTTGTCGTTCTTATTGTTGATGTTTAGGGTAAGCACATCAAATCTATTGAAGGAGTTATTCACAATTTTTTGAAGTTCCTAATTCAAATTGTCAAAACAAATTCTCAATGAAACTAAATATTAGTACAAAACTTCGAAATGTCAATCTTACTTAAAGACTCATTTATTATTTTAATTATATAGATTGAAAGTTTATTACCAAAATTTTCATAAATTCTTGTGTCACCTCTTCACTTGAGAAATGTCGTGTAAGGTGATATCTGCAAATTCTTCAAAATTATCAACATGGCCTCTTAGCATTTTGGGGAAAATTATTTTCATAATTATTAATTTTAATGGAATTTATTGTTGTTATTTATCATTCACAAAAAAATAGTCAACATTTATTTGTTAATATTTTATTTGTAATTTTTCATATATATATATAATCTTAGACAAAAATGGAAAATCAAACTTAATTATTGTCATTAGGTGAAAATTTGAAAATAGTGTGCAATCTTAAAGAATGATGATAATTTGTATTGACTTTTCATTTACAAGCTTTTCGTAGATTACCCAGACTTCTCTAAATATTTCCAAAATAAAAAGCACACGGTAAAATACATTGTCACTTTAATTTTATGTTTATTTTTATAATTTAATTATATAATAATATTAAAACTAATATATTTAGTCACCTAATCTTATTTCATGTATTATTAAATTTTAATCGAATTAAAGTTAGGTTTAAAAAAGACTATCAAAATTGAGATAAGTAGAAATAAAAAAAAAAAATCATTCTAACCAGTTCAACGATATACATCCCTAATATTACTTAATGTCTTATATGAGGTAAAGAATAAATTATGAAGATAATAAAATAAGAAAATTAAAAAAATATTTATTTTAATTGTTTTTTAATACTAGTTTTTTTAATGTTTATTATTTAAAATAATGAAGAGCATATAAGGTAATGTGCCAGGAATATTAACATTATTTGTATTAAATGAATATTTTATTGATTTTTAGTAAATTATATTAGTCAACATCTCTAATTGATTAAATTATAAAATATTAAAAAAATTAAAAACTTTCAAGTTTCAAGACGTTACATATTTTTACATTCCAATCTAATATTGAATTTCTTGGTATAATTAATATTTACAGTTAAAAAAATTAGGAAAATATGAATGAGGAAAAATCTCTTTGAGTAATTAAGAAAATGTGAATAAGAAATAAAATGATTAGTTACACAAGGCAAAATAGCAATATATACTTAAATATTTTAAATACTTTTAATTTTTTACTAAAAACATAAAATTATTTTAATAATAACATATATTTAAAACAGAATATAAAAATATATATCAAGAATATATATATATATATATATATATATATATATATATATTTTGGGATGATAATTATCATCTTTACCAACAAATAACAATAATGATCACTATTAGCAGATACAAATTCCTTTTTTAAAAAAATATATATAATTTTTTTTTGGTTCAGCCACCTGTTAAAAACTGAAACCACCAGTTAATTGCCACGTGTTAATGACGATGACACAACTATGTCAGCCATGCCAATGGAGTTTCTGCTTTCCAATTTTGGCTTCTTTTTCTTTTCCCTTCTCACCAAAAATGATATCTAACATTAAAATTTTAAATACTTTATATTATAAATATATATATATATATATATATATATATATATATATATTAAATTTCCCTCTTTTTAATAATCCGCGTATTTTTTTTTCCATAATCATAATTCTCCTATTTTTGTCAATGAATTCATATCTATATTTTCTTTAATGCTCAATGATCATTAACTTTGCAGTCAAATACTTGCCTATGAAGGACATTATAAAAAAAAAAACCCATTTTCTTCCATAAATAAATATTTTTTAATAAAATGTAAATTTATTTTTATGCATAAATTTTAATTTATAAATGAGAATATATTTAATAATTACTTTAAACAAAAACATTTTTTAAGAGTTAGTTTCATTTTTTATTATGTTATTTGACTTTTTTTGCATTAAATATTAACAATAATTTTTTATAATTTATTTTTGCATATTAAAACTCTATCTTTAGAATTAATTTTATTTAATATGATAAAATATATATAAATTAAAAATATATAATCTATCTTTAATTATTTATTTAAAAAATTAATTTATTTCAAAGAGATTCACTAATGTAAATATAAATATACAGAAACAAAAATATTCATCCCTTTCAATTTCAGGCTAAATTAATAGACAAAAATATGTCCACTTCTCCTTCTCCTTTCTCTGGTTTTTCTGAAAGGTAAACCTTACACCTCCATTTTTATTTCTACAGTGCTTCGTCTCAATTATTTGCCACTTTTTTTTTTTTTGTTTATAATTAATATTGAGATTCGAATTTTTAAATTCGTATTTTTATCCAGTGTTTAATCAGTAATCAAAGGAGACGAATCTGTTTGATACTGCACCGTTCGTGGCACTGTTTTTTTTTTCTTTTTTATGCTTCTCTTAAGTGTCATTTCAAAATCTCAGTGGAGTTTCAATTCAGGGCCATCTGTAGTGTAAAAAATTTGTTGTCTTTCTTGCCCTGATTGTTGCATGTGAAGGTAAAAATCATATCTTTCTTGTGGAACTGTGTCTGCTGGCTGAAATTTTGTGCAGTGCTTCTGGAACTGTTGATTGTTTTTTTCAATCATTGTAATTATCTCTAACTTAATTTTTAACCTAGTTTATTGGGAGATTGAGTTCATGTGAGTTTTCTTCAATATCATGTTTCTGGTTCCCATGGTTGTGGATGTGTAGAATATTTGTTTCAAGGAGAGGTGGGTGAAATCTGTTTTGGAGGGTTTGGTGTGATTTTTAAGTAATGAAAAACTATTTCTCTTTAGAGGTGGAAGTGGCACTGCTTTCCCACTATCTCCTGTCCATATAGGTGTAGCATAAAGGTGTTTTCTTTACTTGTTGAGTTCTCAAGTAAGATACCGAGTAGATTGTTGAAATTTGAGTTATAACTTTCTGGATGATGAAACTGGAATTTTTTCTAGCTATTTACTGCGTGGGAATATTATGCCCGCATGTGCACATGCTTCAATTGATCAATGTACGGAATAGTATATTTTCTTCCTATTGTTGCTTGGAGAATTATAGAATGTATGCATAATTGCATATTAAATTCATGTGATGATGAAAATTGCTGGCTAGCTTCCTTTAGCGGTTGCTGAAATGGAATGTAATTTAGACCATTGACAATTCTATTGGTTCTAGCTGGTACTATGAGCAAACATTTTCGTTTAGTTATACCAATTATAAATGCATTTGTTGTGTTGGAATATACTTGTTTTGTCCTTAGAGACAGCTGAAGGAAACACTTGAATTACATGAGTTATATGAAGTTGTCAATCTTATATCCCATATCTTTTCCTATGCTTCTTGTTGTGAGTCTAAATGGTGATGGCAACAAAGTGACATTTCAAAGGGAATGGGTGATGAAGTTTTGATACCAGAAACTATGTATGTTGGTTTTGGATCTTTGATTAACATTTCTTTCGTTTTAGTCTGCTTAAGTGCAGCATTCAATTTTGTCTATTGCTTGTGAGATATTGCATGCTAAATGATTTGTCAAATTTAGTATTGTATAGCATTTGTTTAGGCTTGGCTTATCTTCAATGTTATCTAGACATATCATTGAAATTTGTTTGCTGAATTTTTTTTGTCTGCATCCCTATTGATGGTGTACACATGAACATACATGGTGATTTGGGGCCAGGTATTTCTTAAGATATAACTGTAAACCCTGGATCAGGAGTGTTAAATCACGTGAAATTAGCATTATTTGAGTCATTATTAGTGGCTGCTTACTTGTATTTACTATGCTTGCTTAGTTGGTATATTTAATGGTGTCAGTTACTATGATTGTGGAGTTAGTTTTGTATGTGTCAAGTAGTGGGTCAGTTATTTTGTCCACATCCTATTTGAATAGGTTGCTGCTATGTAATTTGTTGAATTCAGTTCTGTTAATGAAAAAGTGTTGCATTCTCCCATTTGTTTATCTTACTTTCTATCACCGAGATTACGACAAGGAGTACTGTAGCTCTTTCCTTTTCTGCTTCTGTCTTACCTGCATTGAGGAGCATACCATGGTTGTCTTTCAATGATATATGTGTAAATTAATTTTTGGATCAATTATATGATTTATGTAACCTAGTATTTTAGAAGGAAATCCATCTTCATTCCTGAAATTGTATATAAAATAAGATAAAGTTGCTAAAATGCTAGAAATTTAAATTTTGTATTGTTCCTTTTTCATTTAATACCAGTATTCGCCTAAATTATTAAATATTGGGATGGGGATATCAAGTTCATGGCAGTGAATGTGATCACAGTTTGGAATTTATATAAATTCTAAGTATTATGAAAATTGTTATTGATGTTACCTTATAAATTCAATGCCATTCAAAGCATGTCTACTTTATACTTTGATTGGCATCCCTCATTTTTCTGTGTATGTTGATAAATCTCTTATGAATGTTATATCTACCAGCAGATTTATCTTCAACTTCGTAGTTCATTGTTTTACATTTATTGCGTCATTTCAATGAAACAATTGGAATTCTCTCCCAGTCTCTTACCCACCGCTTCTCTCTTTTCTGTCTATGTTTCACCACATGTCTTTGAGCATATGGAAAGACAGCCTGGATTGAGAAACTGTGGAATGATAGTATGAAAAGTTCATCATAAGTTTTTATTCCCAAACTTCTGTGAACTTTTGCCATGCTAGGTTTATTTTATTCAAGAAATTTAATTTGTTTTCTTTAAAGTACTGGAGTTTTGCTTTGTTTACCCTTGCACATTTGATTTGTGTTACATTTTTTGGGGTGGCTATTTCAGGTATGGAGTGTTTTGACGTCTGGAAGAGAACATGGTGCAGTGCTTAGACGGATTAAAGCAGTTGTGTGCTGCTGTGATAAATTGTTGTGATGCTGATTTGTCCAAGCAGCCTAGAGGTTTGCAAAATCCAGAAGCACTCGCAAGAGAAACAGTGTGTATGTTATTATTGCCTGATATCTTTCCATTTTATGATATTAGGAACTTATATGGGTTGAAACTTGAAACAGACAAGTCATGCATTCTTATTTCAATTTTGTTGATAGCAGTTCCAAATTAGCTTGGATTGGATACTTGGATTTGCTCCAATTATGCATCTATTTCTTCTCTTGTAGCACCTTTTGTCCATGAATCTCGTTGCCCATTTGCTTTTTTGGTTTCACGATATATTAGAATACATTGGCAGAATAGATAAGTGCATGTTTGGTTGAAGATTAATTTCGGAAAAATAATTGCTTATTTGGTATGATCTCTCTTAAGAAGCTGACAAAAATTAGTGATGTTTTTTTAAAAAAATAAGCTGAACCAAACATGTAATAATTATTCATTTTTGGTCATTAACACTAAATGTTGGCCTTACATTATTGAGGATCAAACCAGATAACAAAGTAAAGGTAAAAGTTTCTAGGATGCTGTAAGATTCTACCATTTATAATTAAAACTGACTAGAAGTAGTTATAAAAATAGTTATAGGAAACCTTTTGAAGGCCTTTGAAGACTCTGGAAACTGTTAGGGAGGAATGAATCTGCATAATCTTACCATTTTTCGGTTACTGAGGTTCTTATGAAGACTTGAACATAACTTATTTTGATTTCTATGCAGTTAGTGTTAGTGAGATTGAAGCACTGTATGAACTGTTCAAGAAGATCAGCAGTGCAGTGACTGATGATGGACTAATCACTAAGGTTAGTAATTCCATCTTATGCTCAGTGCATCCATCAGTTTTTTTCACAACATTTTTATTTTCAACCATTCTGAACAATGACATTATTTCTAACCTATCCCTATTGACATAAGTGTGTTATTTTACATGGCAGGAAGACTTTCAGTTGGCCTTATTCAAGACAAGCAAGAAAGAGAGCTTATTTGCTGATAGGGTATGTAAAAGCTTTAACTTCTTGTGGTTTTGTTTCTTTTATCCTTTCCACCCTAGGGGAAAAAGTTACACGACACAACTAGTTTGATGAATTTGTATGAAAATTCAACTGTTTTAATATATTTCTGGTTAAAACTTTCGAAAGCAGGAGTAAAGCTGATTTTTTTTTTTTATAACCGCCTTCTTTTACCTGTGGCTTATTTGACCTATTTCACTGTTACTTTATAGCCTATTTTATGTGGCCTTATATGCCATCTTTTTATTTTCTGGTTTATTAGCTGGATGGATTAGTTATTAAGTGATCTCAACGGTCCACTGACTTTAAAGTTAGTTAGACACTATATGCATTTGTTATGAACCATTTTAGAATTTATTTGCCCTATTCATGATTTATATTGTTTATATTCTGTAGGTGTTTGATCTGTTTGACACAAAACATCAAGGAATACTTGATTTCAAAGAGTTTGCACTTGCTCTCTCTGTCTTTCATCCCAATGCATCAATTGATGATAAGATTGAATGTAAGAGTTACGAATATGTATTAAGATTTTAGATATCTTCTAGCCAACAAATTTATGAAGGATTAGAAAGGAAAGGATATTAATCGTTGTTTGCTGTAGCCCTTGTTGCATTTATTATTATTGATAGTAATTTTTGTTGCTTGTTGGGGATTCCTAATTTTCCCTTCTTGCAGTTTCATTCCAATTGTATGATCTCAAACACCAAGGATTCATTGAGAGACAGGAGGTAATTTAATTTATTTTTATATGATGTTGAATAAATTGGTTTTGACCACTCATTATTATGTAGCACTACTATTCATTAGTGTTTAGGTTTCCTATTGATCAGTTTATGAAATAATTATTTGTTGTTAACCTCATACAAATTTATTTTTTTCTGAATCCCACTGCTATATGTATTTTCTATTCTTTTGTGGTCCAAGGCCTTGAATTCAAAACCGAGAGTAGGTCATTAGTGTATTAGTGTTTTCATAGGTAAATTGGACTACCTATGTCTGAAGTCCTGCACTCAAAAAGATGGGTTGAATGTGGTCACAATTGAATGATTTTCCCAGTAACAAAATAACCAATTTTATATTCATAAAAAGAAAAGAAAAAAAGAAACCAATTTTATGATATTTCAGGACCTACATACTGCTTTTCTTCTTGACTTTTGCTTTTCTAATACTTAGTCTCTTTTTTAGGGTAAGATAAAACTTCGATCTGTGCTTGCGTGTAATTCCAAATAAAATTAAAATCTTTGTTTTAGAATCATAGCATAGTGCTAATTTTGTAATTGTTTCATGTAGTTTGTTTACTCCAACATGCTTTTGGTATAAGCATGTGTCTGATATGCACTGATGATCAATGTTTTTTCTTTTTGTATAGTTAAAACAGATGGTGGTGGCCACTCTAGCTGAATCTGGCATGAATCTTTCAGATGATGTGGTTGAAAGCATCATTGACAAGGTGTTCCATTTATCTGATAACTTCACTCAATTATCAAATTTTATGTTTTTAAGTCTAGGTATATTGAGGCATTGATAAGTTTCTTTTTCATTCATGTATTTTTTGCTTCTCTTTTTGTCAGGTTATGAAATTTATTATCTTTTATTGCTCTTCTTGATGGTCTATAGAAGTAAAGGAAGTTCTATCAATCATGCAAGTTATATATAATGCATGCATACTTTGAAAATAAGCAGGATAGGTTTTAGGACTGGCATAGAGTTGTCCTTTCCCTAATTTAAGTGTATGTTACTTTCATGGTAGATGTCTGCCTCTATGTCATACTTCTCTCTTTTTTGGCAGAATGGTGGCAATGAGGTTTGAACCTATGATCTCTTGTTACCCAAGCCCTCACCATTAGCGCAATTCTAGTGGCTTTTATATCTTGTACTAATATTGATCAACGGGACAATTAAGTGTTCTCTATATGTTGTTTTCCTCATATATGGACCCAAGTTTCTACTAAATTTCTCTTCTAACTAAAATAAACCTTCACTCTTGTTCTTGTGAACCTTATAAATTATGGATGTTAACTTGATGATTATGGCATATCAAGTTATTCTTGTGTTGTCATGATCTTCTCTATAGAGCTGTCACTAACAGCATTTAAGTTATTCAGACATTTGAGGAAGCTGATACCAAACATGATGGTAAGATTGACAAGGAAGAATGGCAAAATCTTGTCTTGCAGCATCCATCCCTTCTGAAAAATATGACTCTTCAGTATCTTAAGTGAGTTTCTTCTTGTTACTATAACTTCATTTCAATTTTGTAATTCTATTGCCTGGAGTGGAATGCTTGCCAGTTGTTTATATGTTTTATGTGCATGCATTTATTTGTTAAAATAAGTGATGATATTATTATAACTATTATGGCTTAATAATATGAACAGGGCATTAGCTTTCCGTCTTCACTTTTTCTATTTTCAAATTGTTATACCTAAAATTTCTTAAATAAATTCATAGGTTTATAAAAGAATTATTCCCCCAACTAATGTATCATTTTTCCTTTTGTCTCTACTCTTATCACCAGCACTTATTCTCTTATTTGATTGGACGTATATATGTGCCTCTTTCTATTTGTTAAGAGTATAGCAACTTAATCTGTGATTTGTACAGAAATAAAAATGAATAATGAACTCAAGGGTAAAATAAAAGTGAAAAAGAATTCCCAGGTAATGTATCATGTCACTAGAAAATATAATGTAGAAATGAAAACAAGCCTGCTTGGACTTTGATTTTGTTCAGGGTGGCATCTTCAATATATCTATATTCTGTATCTCAATTATAGTGTTTGGTTGACCATTGGCTTGAATATTGTTATCAAGCTCTAGCGCCTAACATCTCTCATATTTTTTTATTGGCAGGGATATCACAACTACATTTCCCAGTTTTGTGTTTCACTCACAAGTGGATGATGCTTGAGGCAGCCACATCATCTATGTCAGTTTCATTGGTCTTGACTGAGAAGAAGGCTCTTTTTGTTTCCCTCGAGTGTGGTCTGAGTTCTGTGTGAAGCATTCGGTTAAGATGGATTAGGACTTTTTATACTTTCATTGAATAGAACTTTACCTTTCTTTTTTGGGTAGATAAGCATTGTATATTGAATAAATGGATTTAATTATTTATTTGCTTCATCAGGAATGAAGGGGAAACATGATAGATTATATTGGTGTTTCAGAAAGCGTCAGGGAGTTTTGTATAGAAATATATCTGCCGTTATTATGCCTTGTAAATGGCTCCAGTTAGCTGGAAACACATCACATCTTACGTGCGGAACTAAGAAGTCTGCTTAAAATACAGGATGTGTTTGGATATATCATTTAATTAAGTTTTTATTTAATGAGTTATTTTTTTAAATGATGGTTTATGTTATAAATTTAATCACAAAATTTATTGAAATAATCTGAAAAATAGCTTTTTAAATAAATTATGCCAAGAAAAAACAATGTTATTTTGTGAATATACTTTTGACAAGAAAAAAAAAAATGTAAAAGTGCTTTTTCATAAGCCTTTGCGATTCTAAAGGCTTGAGATTTGGACTTCATCTGTGTAGCATAGCATTTGTCTTGGACTTATCTCTGTAGAATAGCATTTGTCTAGTTTTATATTTTTATTTCAACTTGAAAGTTATAATAGATGTTTGGAGAAATTGGTTGTTAATAATTAATCAATTGGCTTTATTGTATTTTTATTCTTCTTATTTCAGTTCTTCTATCCATTAAATATAAGAATTTAAGTATCTTCTTTTTATCATTTTCAAAAATCAAAACATCGAAGTGTCCAAAACATTTGTTTTTCAAAAACTAATTTAATATTCATCCATATACCACAAGTATGAGTTATGTTGATTATTCAATCCTAACTATTTTAGGCATGTAATTGAGTTTTTAAATTATTTAGGAAAAAATTTACTATATTTCATATATAGTTATATGTAATATGTAATTTAGATTTTAACTTTTAAAAGTGTACGATGAAGTGTTTTATATTTTTAAAAGTATGCAAAATTTTTTTTTTTTAATATATATTTAATTTTAAAAAAATATTTCTAAATCTTTATTCTCTCTTCTCTCTTTAGGTGGTCGACATTTTTAGAAATATTTTTATTCAAAAGATTAAAAAAATTAAATATTTGATTAACAAAAGATATATATATATATATATATATATATATATATGTAAATTATACTGTTAATTTTTTTTATTAAGTATTAGTTTAACACTTTCATGAGATATGTTATATTATTTAATTTTTTAATGTTTTATTTTTTAAAATTAATATTTATAAATAATTTTTTAAACATATTTTAAATATTTATAGTTTAGTCACCACTCATTCCCACATAATAACATATATGCTTCGAGAGCAACCATGTTGTTTCATAAACAATACTTCATTCCTAGTGATCATCAGCACCGTAGAAGCTTCTTCATAAACCATTTCCTACAAATTAAGTCCAACAATAACCTGGACAGTGGCAAATCTACATCAAATCATACAAAACTTGGTCTTGGACAAAGTGTTAGCGTTGGGATTGAGGGTGTAGGGTAAAGGGAAATGGGAAATGGGAAGAGGAAAAAAATTTATTTGAAAATATTTAAAATTTATTTATAAATATTAAATTTAAATAATAATAAATATTAAAAAATTAAATCACATGACATATAATGTGGAAGTGTTAAGTTGACTCTTTATCAATTAGTTCAGTACTTAACAAAATAAAATTAATAGCAGAAATTAAATCTTAACTTTTTAATATTTTAGAACTAAATTCTAATAAAAAAATTTATAAAGACTTATTATAAAATGTTCTATATTTATAGTCATCAATCATATATTTAAATCTACTTTTTTTAAAAATTACATAATTTTTTTATAATTATATAATTTTTAAAATTTTATAATTATCACCATTAATTTATGATTATAACATTTAGATATATACATCACCTCTACTTCTTTTTATTAAATACATCGTATATATATATATATATATACATATATAATTATTAAAGTTTAGATTGAAATATTAAAAATAAAGTTTTTTTTTTTACTTTTGATACAATATACTTTTTCTTTATAAAATTCAATAATTTTGAATTGCTTATAATTGACTTTAAAGGTTTGAGTTTAAACAATTAAAAATTTTATTTTTTATTAAAAAATAAATTATTTATTATATCATAAACATAAAATATAATAAATATTTTTAAATATTTAAAAAATTTTAAATATTAAGATTACACATTCTTATTTTTTAGAATACATATCTTAATAAACTAAAACTATAACTTAATGGTGATATCAAGCGAGTTTAGATAGATTTGGACTAAGGAAGTTTGAACTGCAGTAAATTGGTCATAATGATAGAAAACTCATCTTTGACCGTACTCTGTAGTGGGTAGGCAGTTCAAAGGCTAAGCGGATGAGTTTATTTGATTGTTGGCTAAAGTGTGCAGTCTTTAGATTTTTTGTTTGAGTTCTTATGATTGCAGTTGAAATGTCAAAGAGTGCTGAAAAAATAGTGAGAAAGAAATGATAAGATGAATGAAAGAATTAGAAATAAAGAGCAAATTGCAAATGGTAATAGCAGTGGCACAACACAAAAGTGCATGGACAGAGCCAAAGAAATGATAAAATGAAGGAAAAGACAAAAACAAGAAACAAAAAGCAAATTGCAATGACAAGAGCAACAACTTAGTGGCACAACACAAGAATAAGAGGTTAGAATACACTTTCAATGGAATGCAAATTAGGGTTAATAGAAGTTACATGGGTTGGGCTAGTGCAATTTTTTTAATGGACTAAATATAAATAGTCGAATTCTAAAAATTAAACTTGTATTTGACTATTTTTAATCATTTAAAACCAAAATTTTAACTTATTTGGTTCGATACTCCACTCATTAAGTGTGAGGTCCAGCACATTTTCAATTTCGGTGCCCCCTTTTTTGACTTCATAAACAATTAATAATATTTTATTAAATGAATAGTAACTTTATTTGGCTATAAATAGCCGTGAAATGAAATTGAAGGAAGCACAAGCAGCAACACACACAAGATTTCATCAAGCATTGTGAGTGTTTGTGAGAGAAAAAAAAATAGAGTGTTGAGTAAATCCTAAGAGTGTGAGAAAAATACACTGGGTGGGTATCATCTCTATTTCTTCTTGGTATTACAAAATTTGTAATATTTGAATAGGAGTGAGTCTCACTGTGTACACTATATTTTACACCTCTTGTGTGATAGAGTGTTGAAAAAATATTGTAAATATCCTGAGATATAGTGGAATATTTTTCGGAGTTTGTCCCGTGGTTTTTCCTCCACATTGGAGGTTTTTCCATGTTAAATAGTGGTGTTCTTTATCTGCTTATTTTATTCAGTTAAAAATAATTCTTAGTATGCTCTGTGGTTGCAGTTTAGTCTGATCTTCCACATCAGAAAAGAATTATTTTTGTTATCCTTCCGTGGCTGATTGTTGGATTGCTGGAGAAGTGTGTATTTGTATTAGTGTTGTAACTGGAAAGATTCTGGCTAAGGAAAGACCTGGTATTTAAGTGATTCGTTGTGATCCACCTCTCTTTCCTGGGAAGTATTGCAGTGCACACTTTACAAGTTACACCGCTGCGCTGCTAGATCTATTTATTAGGTCTGAATTATTGCTCGCCAGTTTACGTCAGAATTTTAATTTACACGTCCAAGTTATTCCGCATTTGAGCTCAACAAGTGGTATCAGAGCTTAAGTTGGGCTCTGTATCACCGAGTGTAAATTAAATGGAAGAGAACGTAGGTACCATGGTGAAGCTAACAGCAACAAACTACTCTATTTGGAAGCCGAAAATGGAGAACATACTTTTCTACAAGGACCTGTATGATCCTGTGGAAAAGGGAGATCAAAAGCCAGAAGACGTGAAGGATGAGGATTGGAAAAAGATACACCGGAAGGCCGTCAGTTTAATTAGGCAGTGGGTGGATATCAGCATATTCCACCATGTTGCCACAGAGACGAATGCCCAGACTCTGTGGAACAAAATTGAACAAATGTATCAGAGGAAGACTGCACAAAACAAAGCTTTTGTTATTCGGAAGCTGGTGAATTTAAAATATCAAGATGGAAGATCAGTTGCAGAACACTTGAATGATTTCCAACACATGGTAAACCAGCTAGTTACCATGGAGATAAAACTTGATGAAGAATTGCAGGCGCTGTTACTTTTGAGTTCTTTACCAGACAGCTGGAAGACTCTGGTGGTGTCATTAAGCAACTCTGCTCCTGAAGGAAAACTGACTTTGTCTCAAGTCAAAGACAGCATGTTTAATGAAGAAACAAGGAGAAAAGACTCTGGGGCAAGCAGTTCTCATGCCCTTGTCACAGAGAACAGGGGGAGAAGTAAGAGCAGAGGACGAAGTAACAAATCTAGAGATAAGTCACAGTCTCAGCCCAGAAGAAAATTCAAGTGTTACCACTGCGGTGAAGAAGGGCACATAAAAAGAAACTGTAAAGCCTGGAAGAACAGAGAGAAGAAAGACCGACGAAACTCTAGATCGGATGACGATGAAAATACTGCATCCCCTGTGACAACTGGGGATGTGGTAGTACTCTCTGTTGAAGAAGAAGAAGAGTGTCAAGTTACAGACTCATGTGATGAATGGGTCATTGACTCAGCAGCATCTTATCATGCAACTTCTCACAAGGAATTCTTTACTGTGTACAAAGCAGGAGACTTTGGTAAAGTAAAGATGGGCAATAGCAGTATCGCAGATATTGTGGGAATTGGTGATGTGTGCATTCAAACCAATACAGGATGCACAATAACACTAAAAGATGTGCGTCATGTGCCAGATCTACGTCTGAATTTGATCTCTGTGCATGCTTTGGATCTAGCTGATTACGACAGCCATTTTGGTAACGGCAAGTGGAGGCTTACCAAAGGATCGTTGTTAGTTGCTAGAGGCACAGTAAATTCAACGTTGTATAAAACTCAAGTAAAGCTGATCAAGGGAGGATTGAATGCAGTCGAGGATGATGCTTCGCCAAATTTGTGGCACAAAAGATTGGCTCATATAAGTGAAAAAGGATTGCAGATTTTGGCAAGAAAGTCCCTTATCCCGTTTGCCAAAAATACAAAGTTGAATCCTTGTGATCACTGTTTATTCGGCAAGCATCATAGAGTGTCTTTCAGCAAAACGTCAAAGCTGAAAGAGAATATTTTGGAGATGGTTCATTCTGATGTATGTGGACCCATGGAAGTGGAGAGTCTTGGTGGTAGCAGATATTACGTGACGTTTATCGATGATGCTTCACGAAAATTGTGGGTGTACTTCTTAAGAACGAAGGACCAAGTTTTTCAATGCTTTAAAAGGTTTCATGCAATGGTAGAGAGACAGGCTGGTAAACCTTTGAAGTGTCTTCGCACGGATAATGGGGGTGAATATACTTCCCATGAATTCAAGAATTATTGTGCTGAGCATGGCATCAGGCATGAGAAGACGGTACTTGGAACCCCACAACATAATGGTGTGGCCGAACGAATCAACAGAACCATTATGGAGAAAGTAAGATGCATGTTAAGAATGGCAAAACTGCCTAAGCCATTCTGGGGTGAAGCTGTTCTAACGGCAAGCTACCTGATTAATCGATCTCCATCTGTTCCTTTGGGCTTTGATATCCCTGAGAGAGTATGGTCCGGACATGATGTTAAATACTCTCATTTGAAAGTGTTTGGATGCAAAGCTTTTGCTCATGTGAATAAGGAACAGAGACAAAAACTTGATGATAGAGCCATTCCTTGCATATTTCTGGGCTATGGAGATGAGGAATTTGGCTACAGGTTATGGGATCCAGAAAATAGGAAAGTTATTAGAAGCAGAGATGTAGTGTTCCATGAGCAAGAAACTATGTCGGATTCTGCTTCACCAAAAATCAGAGAACCAGGTGGTAAGGTTGATCTTACACCAGTTGTTCCTCCTAAAAATGCCACAGTAGGGGGAGAGTGTGATGAAGAACTTAGGGTTGATAATGAGCCAGCAATAGAAGATGGTGATGATGAAGGTGTTGAGCAAGAAAACCCAGAAGCTCCACCTCAGCCTCGGAAATCAAGAAGACCACACCAGCCATCTACAAAGTACCCTAGTTCGACGTATATTACCATCACTGAAGAGAGGGAGCCAGAAAACTTTGAAGAAGTTCAGACTCATAAGGATAAATCCCAGTGGATGAAAGCCATGCAAGAAGAAATGGATTCTCTGGTGAAGAATGATACTTATGAGTTGGTCAAGCTCCCTAAAGGCAGAAAAGCCTTGAAAAATAAGTGGGTGTTCAAGCTTAAGAAAGATGGTGACAAGCTGTTGAAGTACAAGGCTCGCTTAGTTGTAAAAGGTTTTGGACAAAAGCGAGGAATAGATTTTTATGAAATTTTCTCTCCAGTTGTGAAGATGAGCTCTATTCGAGTTATACTCGGATTGGTGGCTAGCTTGGATCTGGAGCTTGAACAACTAGATGTGAAGACTGCGTTTCTTCATGGAGACCTTGATGAAGAAATCTACATGGAGCAACCAGAAGGTTTTGAGGAAACTAGAAAGAAACACATGGTTTGCAGATTGAAGAAGAGCTTGTATGGATTGAAACAGGCTCCAAGACAGTGGTATAAGAAATTTGACTCGTTTATGACGAGTCATGGATATGCCAAGACTGATGCAGATCATTGTGTATTTGTCAAGACATGTCCAGGTGATAAATTCATTATCCTTCTGTTGTATGTAGATGATATGTTGATAGTGGGACAGGATGTGAAGCTGATTGGTGATTTGAAGAAAGAATTGTCAAAGTTTTTTGATATGAAAGATCTGGGCCCTGCAAAACAAATTTTGGGCATGCAGATCATGCGAGACCGAAAATCCAGAAGGTTGTGGTTATCGCAGGAACGGTATGTGAATCGGATTCTGGACAGATTCAACATGAAGACGGCTAAACCAGTTAGTACACCGTTGTCAAATCACTTCAAACTCAGCAAAAGAAGTTGTCCCACAAGTCAAGAAGAAAAAGAAGCTATGGCGGGTATTCCATACTCCTCAGCAGTCGGGAGTTTGATGTATGCCATGGTTTGTACGAGGCCGGATATAGCTCATGCGGTCGGAGTTGTTAGCAGGTATCTTTCCAATCCTGGAAAAGAGCATTGGGAAGCAGTGAAGTGGATCTTGAGATATCTGAAAGGTAGTTCTAATATGTGCTTGAGCTTTGGAATACCTAACCCAGTTCTTGAAGGATACACAGATGCAGATATGGCAGGTGACCTGGATAGTAGAAAATCTACTTCAGGACTTGTGTTTACCTTTGCAGGGGGAGCTATATCTTGGCAATCCAAATTGCAGAAATGTGTGGCCTTGTCAACTACTGAAGCTGAGTATGTTGCCATGACTGAAGCAGGAAAGGAAATGCTTTGGTTGAAGAGGTTTCTTCAACAACTGGGAATTGAGCAGAAAAGGTACGTTATCCATTGTGATAGCCAAAGCGCATTGGATTTAAGTAAGAATGCGATGTATCACTCTCGTACGAAGCACATTGATATCAGATATCATTGGCTGCGTCAGGCAGTGGAAGAACAAGAATTCAAGCTAGATAAGATTCATACGGATAAAAATCCTGCTGATATGATGACGAAAGTTGTTGCACGAGAAAAACATCAACAGTGTGCCAAGCTGATTGGCATAGATCGCATGTGAAGATTCCAAGAGTGCACCTTTGTGCTGGAGGGGGAGAATTGTGAGGTCCAGCACATTTTCAATTTCGGTGCCCCCTTTTTTGACTTCATAAACAATTAATAATATTTTATTAAATGAATAGTAACTTTATTTGGCTATAAATAGCCGTGAAATGAAATTGAAGGAAGCACAAGCAGCAACACACACAAGATTTCATCAAGCATTGTGAGTGTTTGTGAGAGAAAAAAAAATAGAGTGTTGAGTAAATCCTAAGAGTGTGAGAAAAATACACTGGGTGGGTATCATCTCTATTTCTTCTTGGTATTACAAAATTTGTAATATTTGAATAGGAGTGGGTCTCACTGTGTACACTATATTTTACACCTCTTGTGTGATAGAGTGTTGAAAAAATATTGTAAATATCCTAAGATATAGTGGAATATTTTTCGGAGTTTGTCCCGTGGTTTTTCCTCCACATTGGAGGTTTTTCCACGTTAAATAGTGGTGTTCTTTATCTGCTTATTTTATTCAGTTAAAAATAATTCTTAGTATGCTCTGTGGTTGCAGTTTAGTCTGATCTTCCACATCAGAAAAGAATTATTTTTGTTATCCTTCCGTGGCTGATTGTTGGATTGCTGGAGAAGTGTGTATTTGTATTAGTGTTGTAACTGGAAAGATTCTGGCTAAGGAAAGACCTGGTATTTAAGTGATTCGTTGTGATCCACCTCTCTTTCCTGGGAAGTATTTCAGTGCACACTTTACAAGTTACACCGCTGCGCTGCTAGATCTATTTATTAGGTCTGAATTATTGCTCGCCAGTTTACGTCAGAATTTTAATTTACACGTCCAAGTTATTCCGCATTTGAGCTCAACATTAAGTTTATTTCTTTTTTTTTCGATTGTCATGGGTCCAGTTAATTTGTTAAAAAATGTTCACTCCACTATAACTTATTAATATACTTCTTTTAAAATTAAGTGAAATAAAGAGACGAGAAGAAATAATTTTTTTTTATTTTTCAGTCAAGGATAACGAAAAATAATTTTTTTTAATTTTAAAAACTTAAAATAGTATAAAAAAATATTACACAAAATTTACTTAATTTTATTGGGAGACGATCTGATCCCTAGTTGGCCTTATAATATTTGAAGAGTTGGAAAAAAATCTTTAAAAAAAATTATAAATTCCCAAATTGAACATCCTAAAATGAAAAGACCATCCCACCCTTAGTACAAAGTGTTTTGCATTGCGCACAACTCAGTCCGACTCAAATTCACGTTTTGTTGTGCCTCAGCGGTCTTTCTCTTCTCCAGCTCCACTGCACTCCTGTGGCCTTTTCTCTGCGGTAAGTAAACCTTAACTTCAACCCATGTTTCTTTTCCTCCTCATACTCATGCATGTCCTACAATTATCGTTTCTTTTCATAATCGGAATTCGATAACGTACTGTGAACCCTCCAACAAAACTAGCTCTTGAGATCATTTTGTTGTTTGTTTTACCTGCATTGCTTTGTAATTGAAATTTTGTAGGTTGAAGCAAGTTTTGACGATGTCAGAGAAAGGAGGAAAGGGTGGTTCGTTGTTAAGCAACAAAGGAGGTATGTGTTGGACATTCCCTCGTAATCTGTTTTTGCCCTGCATATCAAGTTTCAATTTTTTCTCCTTTTCCCCTTTTGGGTATTTGTTTTTGTCTTGGTTGGGGTTGAATTTTCTGTTAGTGTGGTTTATTAGGTCACCTTGCGTATATACAAGGTTGGGTTTTGACTTATGGGATTCTGGGTTTTGCTCTGCTGTCAGATATGAGATGATTCACCTTATTATTATTGTTATTGAAAGGTATTTATATGCCTCTACCCTCAACCCCTTTTGGTTGGAGATGTCTTTGATATATATTATCCTTTGATTTTTGGTTATCTTGTTTTGTGCCTATTTCTTAATTTTTCTATTTATTTTGATTACTGGTGTTAGATTACGTTTTGATAACTTAACACGTGTGTTCATTTTACTTTCATCAATAATTAGTAGCACATGGCGGGTGGCAATGTTTTAAACCAATTTGAGTTTTAGGCACTTGTTTGTTCATAATTTTTTTTTTCTGTATTTTTCTTGGTAGGATCCCTAAAAGGGAAAGATGACAGTGCAACAAAATCATCTAAGGGAAGGAGGGTTCAGTTTTCTAAAGAAGGTTAGCATCATTATTCTATTATCTTTGTTCCACTTCTTGTCTGTGGAGTATCCAAGTGCTAGAGCTTCTTTGGGATGTAGTTGCCACTTAAACTGAAGACTTTGTGATGCTGATCATGTTTACAACTAGTTGTGCTTTCACCTAACTGAAATTATTGCTTGGTTGTTTATTCTAGGTCTGTTTGGTGACTTTGCATTCCATCTCATTACAATCTTCAAATTAATTGCCCATTATTTTCTTGCTTTCTTTGTCATGTTTCTATTACTGAACTAGTTTTTTTATTTTCATGGTGATTGTTAAAGGAGGTAAAGGCAACAAGGTTGCAAACGGTGGAAAGAGTTCTCTCTCAAAAGACTCACAGCCATCAGAGCCTAGAATTGATCAAAGTTGGTGCTTGCCTTCATCATTTCTTATGTGTTTTTTCTGTGAATTTTTGTGAATAATATATTATTAATTTGTACTTGTTTGTTGACTCACATTGTGATTTATCCATTTAGGTTAAATCACCAGATCATCTTACTTTTGCCTTTCATGAGAATCCTTTTTTTCCTATTAATAACCAACAATATTAATTTTATGCAGGACTCCCAGAAAATGTCAAATGCTTGACAGACTATGAGGCTGCAGATGTTTTACAAGGAATTCAAGAGCAGATGGTCATGTTATCTAGAGATCCAACTATCAAAATTCCTGTGTGAGGGAGACTCTAAGCTTCTTTTTTATTAAAAAGGATGCATGGGTTTGGGTTATTTACAGGTTTATCATTAGAGTACAGGATCTATTTCAATGATCTGAACCTTTCTTCTTCTTCTTCTTCTTTTTTTTATTATAGATCTTTTGACAAGGGACTGCAATATGCCAAAAGCAATAGCAAGTTTACAAATCCTCTGTCCATAAGATGCATTCTTGAGTATCCTTAATTTTTCTGCCTAGTGTTGTTTATACATCTGTTTGCTGTCTCTGTTTGGGTTTGTGACTCAGTTCACATGGATAAATGACATTGCTGTTTTGTATTATATTACTTTTTGCTCTTTTTCTCCACAATGTTCATCTTTTGACTCAAATATTAGCCCTCTTGCAAAGTGTGGTCTCACTGACAGTGAGGTACCAGAATTGTCCTATTTTCCTTTGTTCTTATGATCATCTATACCTTTCTTGACATCGTTATCCACTGCAGATATGCGTGATTGGTAATGTGTGCCCAGAAAGTGTTGACGAGGTTCTTGCTCTTCTCCCATCATTGAAGGTATGGCATGAAGCATTTTGTGCTCCTTTATTTTAAATCATTAATGGAAGCAGGTCTAGGTTGTTTTCTTTATTATGTAATAAGGTTCATTCACTGTTCGTGAACTTTTATTAAGAAAAGGTGTGGTCTTCCTGGGAGAAGTAACTAGAGTTGCAAAATTGATATAATGTTAGGCCAACAATCTTCAAATAAGGTAGGTGTCATTTGTGTTTTGGATATTCCGGTGATAATTTAACTTAATATATGAAGTACTTTTAGTTTAATATTTATGTACGAAAATATTTTGTAACACATGTCTAGGTATGACCCCTTTCTTAACCAATTTAAGATAGAATTCCTCCAACTAGTTTTCTGACTATTATATTATATCCACATCTACATTGGTGACCATTGTTATGACATCATAAGACCTAGTTATGAGCTGTCTGTTGCGTTTGCCCAAACTGCTTCAGAGGACATGAGATTCCCACTTGTAAAGAAAAAAAACTAATAAAAAGAAAACAATATGCCAACTGGACAAATACCTTCTTATATTATGTATCTATTTCAGGATAAGAGAAACATTGATACCGAAATTCTTAAAGGTGCATTGAGTGAGCTTGCTAAGGTTAGACAACCAATGTAAAACCACACAATGAAAAGGCTTATGGGTGAGTTTTCTCCTATTTATGCCTGTTGCAGTACCTTTTATTTGTATCTGCTTTAAAGGTTTTTTTTTTTTATATGCATTCTGAGTGCAGGTTTTCCCTTTAGGGGACACGTAAATGTAGCACATGTGAAACAATGAGTTACTGAGACATTGTAATGTAAAACTTTAATCATGTGTTATATTCTTTTTTAGTTTCTAGTCGTGTCCTCATAGAATTTGTACATGCAAAGGTTTTACGTGGATCTTATATATCATCCATCCATTACCTAGTTCAAGACCTTGTAATTACTTTTCCAATCAAAAACCATAAAAGGACCGTTGTCATGCCACTAAGAAAAATGGAATTTCTCATGTGAGTTTTTCACGTAACGGTAGGTCGAATAAGAATCACAAACTTAGACAAATTTTGGGGACTGGAAGATTTTATATAAATTTTTCACATGGTAAGGAAGAGAAAAGATTGGTACGGTACGACAAACAAGTGGAGTTTAAAATTGGTAAGATTATATTTATGATCTGTGTTTATTTATTTATTCGCACTCATGAAAATTTCATACGAAATGATCAACCTTTTTTGATGTCTCTACCTTGTGGCAAAATTATGTGATACTCATCAGAGAGAAATCGAGAATACGACAATCAAATGTTTTGATTAATTGTTTTATTTGACGACAAATGTTAGTAACATTCTTTTACATTGAAAACTGTGTTTTTATTAATAGTTAAAGTTTATTGAAGAATGTTTGGAAAGAAGAACGGGGAAAAAGGATTGTAAAATTTATTCTAAATAAAATTGAAATTAAATAACTCTACTTTAGGTAGATTAATATACTCAAGTATATTCAAATTTAGATTCACATATTTGTTTTATTCTGATGACTTATGCTGACTTTTGATGTGTGAATGATCTATATGTGGAGTAAATAAGTGGATTGAAATCTTAATAATACATATCCACTTGGCATATGTGTAACTTTGTTTTTACTTGAAATCAGTTAAAACTCTGAAAAACAAGTATATTGTTTGAAAAGGTTGAGTAACAGACAAGAATATATTGTCTTTTGAAGTCATTGTTTTTTCTTTCACCTAAAAAATCAACATAGCATTTTGAAATGAAATTTTTAAGTGAAAGTTGCAGTTCGAGTAATGTCTACCAGAATGAGTTTATCAATAAGACAACTAGTATAGGAACACCAACGGTCTCAAGATATCGTCATATAGAGAATATTAGTAATTACTAGTTTAACCAATTCTTTGATTATTTAGGTGAATGGGATATGATTAAAATAAGATTTAAGGAAGATAGATGAAGATAAATTGGCAATTGTAAAAATAATTTAATAAAAAAAATATTAAAAGTGTAGTAATCTTATTTGAGCCGGATAAAATAACCATTGATAATAAAACTTTTCTTCTAAGTATTTAACATAATTATATTTACTAAAACTTAAACTCAAAATTACAAACCAAGTTAAAATAATCTACTATTAGTTGATTTACATATTCAGTGGTTATAATGTATGTTTCTTTCTAATTATTAATAACATATTTTAAATTTATTTTATTAATAATCAATTATTGTAAAATAATATTTTCTCCCGTATATTATTTATTCATAAAAGACATGCAATGTAACTAAAAAAATATAAAATACAAACATATTTAATAGTTTAATAACTAATTAAAAGGGAATATGATTGATTATTTTGTTTATAGTTTTACCAATTAATTGCAATATAATTATTAATCAGTTAATTAACTGATTAAAGTAGAGCAACAAAAAGATTTAACACACAGAATTTACCATAGTCTATGACTATGACTTTAATTATTCATAGTCATATAAAAGCATAAAACATTAACAGATATCTTAAAAGAATTAACAATGATTGAAAAAGGAGTAAGGAAAAATCCTCTAACAAAATAGATTTAATACTAAAGACACAGATGCTCCAACTCTTTGCAAGTCATTTTCAAGGAGAGTATGATGACTTCAGGGAGAAAAAAGTGTAAAGAAAGCATTTTTAGTCTGAAAAATAGAGACATAAAATTTGTACAAGAGAAATAGAATAGTGGGTATATCTTTTTAATTTAAAAAATTATTAAAATTTTGTTTATGTAATGAAACTTTTTTAGTAATAATTTATAAATGTCTATTATACTTAAATGTTGATGGAAGAAATTTTAATTATAGTCACATAATTCTCTTTTATTTAAATAAATAATTAAACATAATAATTTAATTCAGAAGAAATGTGTCAAATAAAAAAAATTGAATGCAAGGAACATTTAAATTTTTTATTTATCATTTCAGATATGAATTGAAAATTGACACGACTTTACACTTGTTTCATTTTGTAAAAGAAAGCACAGGCCGTGATCAATGATTAATTTTATATATATTTTTTATAAATATTTAAAGATTAATAATATATATATATATATAATATTATGTATGATTATAGAATTTAATGTAATATAATACATTAATATTATTATTTTATTAAACATTATATATATATATATATATATATATATATATATATATATAAATGGACGGTCAGGGATAAATTGCGCCACGTGTCGAGATCGTACGTGTATCGACTCTGACACGTCGACTAGCTTATCGTTGCTTTGTGTGCGATACTAGTTGGGACTGCCACACCTAGAATATTGGAACCGATGCCGCCCAAGCATCTTCTTCTCTTCCCTTCCATTATAATCTCCATTAACGCCGGCGTTGAAGGTTTTTTATGCGAGTTTGTAAAATTTTTGTGTAAAAAGTTCATTTCGTTTGCATTATTCTCTGAAATATTGGAAGGTAAAAATTATTTTATTGAATTGGTGATATTTTATTGAGTTTCATTTGAAAAATAATAACCGATTTCAATCTGTAATTTAGGACCCCATATTGGTGAACTGGAATAGTCGTTGCTGCCGGCATTAAAGGTTAGAAATCTATATCAAATGCAGTTTGACTTTTTTTTTTAAATTTTTTATCAGATTTTAGTAATTACATGTATGAAATGAAAAATCTGAAAGTTTGTATATGTAAAAACTGTGCATTTGACTTAGAACCGGGAAAAAATGATTTTTTTTATTATTTATTGTAATTTAATTTCTAAATTTGTTTCTAAAGTGTAATTTATAGATATATATTAATTTGTTGAGTGTAATTGATATATTTATTAATTTGTGATAAATAAATTATATATAAAAATTGATTGATATAAAAAAAAATAGATATATAAGTAGTGCTATTTTGTTATTGGTTGATATATGTAATATTATGTTTAGGGAAAAAAAATTACAAACGTTATGATAGATAAAATACATTCAAATATAGAATTTTAGTTAAATCATAAAATATTAAAATACAAATACATAACTAGTAATATTTAGAAGATAATAAGATAATTATATTTAGAAATAAATATGTATTACGTAAAAAGTATGAGAAATTAGATTATTAGTGTTGATTAGTAAAAAGAAATAATTAAAAAATGATATATTTTAAAAATGATTAAAAAATGGGAATAAATTAAATTAAATATATTAGGTTGTAATAAAGTGAAATTAAAAAATTGTTTTTGATTTAATATAAATAAAATAGGAGAAGTAAAATAAAATTAAAAATTTAAATAAAGTAATAATGTAAGTATTGCATAATTTCATTAATGGTATGTATATCCACATAACTTCTTATTATTTTTTTTGCCTAAATTTTCTATACAAAGTATAATGTTATGTTTGTGTAGGGAGGTGCACACGAGAGGGCATACTACTTGGCTACTGATGGCCAACAGTCATTTACTTTTGAGGAACTACGGTCATTAGCTGAGACCATGTTGTCTTTACAAAGTGAACAGGCTCGGATCTTAGAACCGTCATCCGAAGTTGACCCACCAGTCCAAAGTGGCCACACAGAGGAGCCACATGTTGATCTTGGGCAGCCTGAGGGACGCAAAGAGGGTAGAGGTTTGCAGAGACGGAGGAGACCGATGCAGGCTGCCACATGGTCTATACCACCTTTGCCAGTTAGACAAGATGGCGTGTATTTTGTCCCCTCACAAATGCCTTGCATTCCATCTCAGTCTACACAGAGTACATACTTTCACTCATCACAACCTACCACACATCCCGCGTCTCCATTCAGTACTGCAGAAGACTATGTTCCCGACTTTCATCATTTTATGACCCCGCCTCCGTATGATCCATCACTATTCACACCCTCCGCTCCAGGTCCAGTTATTGAGTCACTAGGGAAGCCTTCTACAACTTCTAGGGGGGATTGTGGCATTGATCTAAATGCCCAATTTAGGGCAGTTGCAGATACTTTACAGCATGATATGAGACGTAACCCTCATAGGGAGGCTAGAGATCGACCTCGTCATTGCATCCTCAGTCCACATGATGACCATGACCGGCAGGGCAGACAACAGTGATACAACACTAATACAACACTAATAGATATTGTTTAACATAGTGATACAACACTCATGTAGGTTTAATATTAAACAATATCTATTAAACGTGCAATTACAATAACAAAATACTAAACATAATACATCATTATAGTAAAGGAAACAATTTACAAAAAGTTTCATGTACATTCATTTTGCCTAGGACAATGACGTTGGTTGTGACCAGACTGTTTACACCTACCACATCGTTGACGTGGTTGAGAGTCCACCTAATCCATTTCATTCCTAATACGGGTAGATTTAGGTCGACCTATTCCCCTTGATCTTTCGTCGTCTGGTACTAACTTCCACTCATTCGATCTTAAGATATTATTGTCATTTCCAAGTGGCCACCACTCAGATGAGTATGCATTAACAATAGATTACGCAGAATAAACAGGATCAACCCATTGCCAATAATCTATAATCACCGATGCACAAGTAGCTATGACATGTGAGCATGGGTATCGATATGTCTGAAACTTTCCGCATTCACAAAATCTATTTGATAAAATCACAGTCCATTTGTTACCACCACGTTGGGTGATAGGATTAAAAGCCTCTTCTACTTCAAACCTTGTTCTTTGTATGTCATATCATCGAACTTGATGTGAAGAAGCTTCCTGCTGATTTTTCTCCATTTGCTGCATTAACTTACGACAATATCTACCACCATTATTAAGCTCTGTTGTTGCTTCTTCACCACGCTTCACAAAATACTCGACTAAACGTGCATATGTACATTTCACCAATGCTGTAATTGGCAAATTTCGTGCACCTTTTAAAATTTTATTCACTGCTTCAGATAAATTGGTAGTCATATGCCCATAACGTCTTCCTTCGTCATCATAAGCCAAAGTCCATTTTTCTTTGGATATGCAGTTAATCCAGTTTCGAATGTCTTCTGATTCATTACAAAACCGTTCAAGTTTTTCTTCAAATCTTTGCTTGCATGTTGTATATCCTATAATAAGTTACACAAAATAATTATGTATGCAAATAATATATACGTAATGAAATGGCACTTAATTATGTATGCAAATAATTACATTCGTACCTAACTTGATTAGCTCTTTCTTCAACCCTTCATTCTTGAATCGCTGATTAAAATTGCTTGCTATGTGACGAATGCAATACACATGATATGCGTTTGGTGGTTGCCACCCAATATATGGATTAGAAATGGCACTTTTAATACTTTGATGTCTATCAGAGATCAAACAAATACCTGTCTTTTCAGTGACATGAAGACGGACCAGAGCCAAAAACCATTCCCATGCTGACAAAGTCTCCCCTTCCACAATGGCAAAGGCAATTGGAAGGACACAATTATTTCCATCTTGTGCGATAGCAATAAGTAAAGTTTGCCGGTACTTTCCATACAAGAATGTACCATCTACTTGTATTAAAGGTTTGCAAAAGTTGAAAGCAGTGATGCACTGTTGGAATGACCAAAATAATCAATGAAACACTCTATATCTGTTATCCACTTGGTGGCCCCTCACATAGTCATTAGTTTCAATTTTGTATACTAACCCAGATGAATGTAATTGCATGTACTCCAACCATCTTGGCAATGTGGCATACGATTCATCCCAATCACTAAAGACCTTGACTATAGCTTTCTGTTTTGCCTTCCATGCTTTCTTGTAAGAAACTTGATAGCCAAATTGACCACTAATTCTTTCTTGGATTAATGTGATTGGCACAGATGGTTGTTCTTTTACCATACCTACAATAAACAATATAATTATGTATAATGTTCTTCAATAATATACAGAACCATCAAACTTATTACGATAAATTAGTGCAACTTACCAAGAACGCAACTGCAAATGAAGTTTGAATCCAATTTTTTGTGGTCAAGAGACATCATTGCATGAACACATGTATGTGGTCCACCACACCTTGTGATTTTCTACTTATCAAAATTCTTGCCCAATGTTGCTCTAACCCTCCAAGGACATCCTGTACTATGATTTGGACATTTCACATGAAATTTGGTCGGTTTTGATTCCACCACAATATAACTTTGATGTGTTTTCAATGCAAAGCTTTTAATAGCCATTTTAACATCTTCTTTAGACTCAAATTTTTGACCAACAACTAATGCATCACCCTCCCTCCATGCTTGATCAGGATCAACATCTATATTTTCCATTTCATCATCAGCATGTCCCCAGTTAATATAGGTATAATGTGGACTTGAATTCCAAAAAAGAGTTTCAATCAAGCCTGCATATTGCATTATCATTCACAAATTTATTTGACATGTATATTAAAACGTATTTTATAACATTTAAATGTACATAATACCTTGGACTCCTGCATTATCACTTATATTCAAGTTACTATGAGATCCACCCTCTAAATCAGATTCAGATGAAGTTTCTTCAAGATCCCCCCATTCACTGTCATTGTCATCATCATCCTCATTCTCATATTCACAATCTACACAACCATGACAGTATTATTATTAAGTAAACATAAATACAATAAAATTAAATATATATTCTCATAAGAAAATATATAATTACTAACACCTGATACCAAAGGGAGTTCATCTGCCTCAGACATGTTGTCACGTGAACATGATAAATTTAAGTCCACACCTTGTGATTGAATACAAGAACTTTCACCATACGCAATATCTGCATATACTTCGATTGCACTTCGCTGATTTTGTTGAAGAAAAGCACTTAACATGCAATCAATATCTTCATTATCACATATATCTAACATTGTGTATTGTCTAACAATCGGGTCTACTAAAAATCGTGAAATCAACCTAGATATAACCTGACTAGTAGACAATTTCAGTTTTGTATGAATTTTTCTTTTCAATGTCTCCAAACTTATTCCACGTTCAATCTTAATCATTTTATTATTTCCTTCAAACGTAACACCTTCATTACTTGAAAATATTTGACCATTCCAATATACAATTATCACAAAATCAGTCATCCTGCATCAACAAATTATACTACTCAATTAGAACATATATATTAATTTAAATGTTAATTGTAAATAACCTCATTCATATTCTAATTATAATTACAAAATTTCACACTTTTTCCTATATTTTAATAATTCACTTATACTTCATTTTATTGTATTAATCATCTTTTTAAATTTTTAAAACTTTCATATTTATATAATCTACATAATATTTATTGACTTATTACCTATTTGTGCATCCTAATTTACATAATTTTAACACTTATTCTTCTCAAATCCTATTAAATATGAAATTAATATTTCTTAATTTAATTAAAAATTACAACAATAACTACATTTACAATATAGTAAATTTTTCATTACAAAATTTACACTTTACATGTGTACCACAATTTTTTCCTAATTTTTGTCCATAAATTTATTAGAATAAAATATATAAATACATATTCTCCAACAAATCTACATAAACATGATATTAAATATATTTAAATCCTTCCATTATTTTACTAATTTTAATTAATAAATTAATTTAAATTTCATACTAAAATTTTAACATTATTAATACAAAAATTTTATATAATTAATACCAAAATTTACTAACCTTGATACTTCTTCTCCTGCTTCTTGCTTTCTGTTTCCGCTCCTCCAACACAAATGTACAAAGTGAAATTGAAGCCATCGTTTGCTTATATATAGTCCAACCAATGGATTTTTACATGCACCGTGCCACGTGTCGGTGTAGCAATAGTATCGCTCCAGTCAAACCGATACAGCTGACGCTCGTTGACTAGCGACAAAACTATCGTCCAGTAAAGTCCGATACTACTGCCACGTGTCGAATCGTAAACTAGAGCGGTTCCTTAAAAAAGTATTATTTAAGTAAAAAAAACATGACTTTTGAAAGCGGTTCAAAAGGAACCGCTCTCTAAAATAGAGTTATGAGAGCGGTTTTAAAGTAACCGCTCTAAGAAGTTATATTTCGTACTTTTATGGCGAAATATTAAAATAATAATAAAAAATGAGTATCGGTTAATCTGCAGCGATAGTATTAAAATTGATTAAAAAAATATGAGTTTCAAATGCTGGACGACGATAATATATTAAAATAATAATAAAAATATGTTATTGTTTCATTTTGTCCGATACTCATGCGATTTTGATAAGTGTCTATTTTTTGTGTAATATCAGTAATATTGGAACGATACTCTATTAAAATAATAATAAAAATTTGCTATCGTCTATGCATGTGCGATATTGCTGCTGATTTGAAAAAAAAAGCTCCAGACAAAGAAATAGTTTAGAATAAATCTTATTTTAAGAATTTATTTTTAAAAAAGTATTATTTAAATAAAAAAGCCAAAAAGGAGGGTGGGAATCTGTCTTGTTTCGGAGGAGAATTAGCCATTGCACTTTAATGAGCACTGCATATAGAAAGAGTAAAACAAAACACCATAAAAGCATAATAAAGGTATTCACTTTGTTTCATACGTGATAATTGGTCAATGGGTTTGGCAGTGGAAATCTTTTAGACCACGCCACCGAAGCACCAGTGCAAGACTATTCATCAAAACAAAATGGATAGAAGAGAATTTGACAATGATGACGACGATGATGATGTTGACACTGATGAGGATGATGAAGAGTTAGAGTTAGAGTTAGAGAAGGAAGAGAAATGGAAGAAGCATTACTCATCAAAGCAAAGGATTCTCCTTGTTGGAGAGGGTGACTTCTCTTTCTCTCTCTCTTTGGCAAGAGCCTTTGCTTCTGCCCACAACCTCGTTGCCACTTCCCTCGATTCCAAAGGTTAAAGTTCTTTGTTTTCTCTCTTTTCACCCATGGAAATGCTAACAAAAACAAACTTGGAGGCTTTGTACATCATACCCTTTTGATTTGATTATTATTATTATTATTTGCAGAGAACATTGGAAAAAAGTACAGTAATGGGTTGAGTAATGTGATGGAGCTTGAAGAAAGAGGTTGTCTCGTCCTTTACGGTGTTGATGCTAAGGAAATGAATCAACACTTCTTTCTCAAGACTCAGAGGTTTGATCGTGTTGTCTACAACTTCCCTCATGTTGGCTTTCTATATCCAGAGAATAGTTACTGCCAGATCCAGTTATGTTTTCTTCCTTGTTATCTCTTATAGCGTGTTTGGATTAGCATTTATATGCCTATAGATTCACGTTTATTTTAATGTTATTAGTTGTGACTTCTGTAATAGATCCTCGGTTCCAAACACACTTGTTTGTTTGCCTTTTCTTTTTAGTTATTGTACATTGTTTGTGATCCTTCCTTCTACATGAAGCCCTCAGTGAGGTTCTTATGAATCTGTTTTCAAATAATTTGGTTTGTTCGTCAATAACTTTATTCTGTGAAAGCAAAGTCTGTTAGAGTCAACTTAATCACTATTTATAAATATCTACATTTACCCTATCCAAAGTCTTATTATCTAGGACTTGGAATTTGAACTCTTTCTACTCTTCCAACAATTTGAACCATCTTTCTACTTCCTAAATTAGGGCAAATGAGTATAGCCTTAGCAATAAAAAAATTTGCACTAGCCTCCTCTGAAGTAAAAGCAAATAGGAGTGTATTCACTCTAAATTTTGGTTGGTTAAATTGATAAAATTTAGTAGGTGCCAAGTGGAAAGTGAGAAACTTGAAATAGAAATTATTTTTTGCTTGCTTTTTATAACAAAATATAAGATGAAAAATGACTCATTTTTACCGTGGACAATAGCTTTTGTTGAAATTCATTTTGACTTCATCCTCTGTATTGTACCTTCATACTTTACACCTACTCAACCAAATAAACCCTTAGATTTTCCTTTCAACAACGGATTTTGGGTTTTGGAATTGATGCTTGACCTCTGATATCATCGCGTAGTTATGCTTAAATTTTGATATATTTAAGATCACAAATGAGTATTTAGTGATGCATACATTCTTGTGTGGTAACACTAAGGACTATGGATACATGCAAACATTTTGGTTTATTTTAATTAGAATTTGTTCTTTATCTTTTGAGCCAGTGTGTGGTTACTGATGGATCTGAATTTGTGACAACCAAGCAGGTTGAACAAAAGATTGTTGAAGGGTTTTTTGGCAAATGCCAAAGTTCTAGTGAAGAAAGAGGGAGGGGAGATTCATGTAACGCACAAGGAGGGTGATCCATACAACAAATGGGATCTGGTAAAGAAGGCAGAAAAGAGAGGACTTGTCTTGCAACAAGTTGTGCCATTTTTCAAGGATGATTATCCTGGTTATGACAACAAGAGAGCACATGGAAAATCATCTGATGCATCCTTCCCTATTGGGGAATCTAATACTTACAAGTTCAAGCTCCAAACTTCTCTCTGACACTGATAGTAACTGGTTGAAATTAAGTGTTGGATTTCATGTGGAAGATCAAAGTCATTTTAAAAGACCTCTTCTTTTCCCTAAACTTTCATGTACCAAAACAGATAAAAAAAATGCCAATCTTGGATTTGCATTTGCGGAGATGGTGATCTTTCTGTAAAAATGGATGTGGTGGAGCTTAGTCTGTTATTTTTTCAAGGGGTTGTTTTGCTTTGTTCTTTGTTGCAAATTGTGTTCAACTTCACTACAAGATGTGAATCTTTTAACTCATGAACCCAGGTAAGAAAGTATTGAATGATTAAGGGGATAGCGGAAGCCTTAAATCCCTGAAATTCAACCCAATATACCCTTCCTCTTGTGAAAATAGAAAAACAAAGAAATTGGGAGATATGTTGGTGTTAGTTTTTTTACAATGAATTGAAGAAAAGTTAAGAACTAAGCAAAAAATTTTCCTTATTGATGTATATTTGTTTTTGTTTACTTTTTAATTTTGGTAAGAACATGAGTGATTGGGTGTTGGCCTAATTTGTCAAAAGGAGTCAAACGTGATGTCAAAATTATTGACTTAGCGTTACTCAGCTATTACCGTATTAAATTATATTTCAAACTACATTTAGATGTCAAAATTTGTTTCAGAATATATACTTCAAATTAATGTGTAGGAAAGTAATGATAAGTAGTAGCGTTGGAAAAACGTAGAAAAGGAAACTTTTTGGCGGTGCGAATATTGATTTGACTTAGAAGTAAAATTGATGAACCAGATCCTGCATCACTCCCTTTCATTTGCAATGGTTATTGCTATCATCCGTATATTCCATGATTTTAACTTTTAAATCCATTTTTTTCAATTACATCCTATATTTATCAAATTTATCTCTCAATATTATATGCATTCAATTTGATCAACTTTGAAGTTTATCTCATTACCTCTTTAAAATGCTAGGCAAGTTTTGCTACTATAAAACGACGAATGGCAAGGCCAACTGAAAAAAATTTAAATTTTAGTTTATGTGTAATTTTGATTATTAGTTTTTAATTGTTTGTATTTACTTCTCATAATTTTTAATCATTAAAATATCGTCACTCCAAATTTTTCTTGATTTGTATTGATTGTTTCCTAACAAGGAAGTCATTCATTTGTTTAGATTGACAATTAAAAATATATAAAAAAGGACAAAATCCTTTTTACTTTTTTTTTATTTAAACATTTTATATTTTTTATTGTCAATATATACAAGTCAATGTCGGACACATTATTATTGATTATTAGATGAAATTTTAGGAGACTTAATAATGTTAATAATTAACAAATTGAATCCAAATAATTAAAATTAAAGACCAAAATCACATATAAACTAAAGTATGACGATTAAATGTAGTCTTCTTTTTTTTTTTTGTCAAAGATTAGATGTACAGTCAAATCTTGAAAATAATATAGCAATTGGAAACAGTAAATTATATTTTCGTCAATATTTGGAAACAGTAATTGGAAGTCCAAACTTTGTTTAAGACAAAAATTTGGCCCATTGGTTGCTTGTCCCATCCGATGATCATGTGCTCTGCCCCACACAGCCCAATCCTAAATAGAAAGGTCAGTGCAATTCGAGTTACAAGTTCATCTGCTGATAGAGATTGGGTTTGTATTGTTTAATCAATGTTACCCTTTTGCTATAACACAATTTTCAGTCATACCGATTGGTTGCTTTTGATGCAAAACGGCTCAATGGAGGGAAATCATAGAAATAGTAGAAAATGAAATGCATTTCATTTTATTACAAGGTCATTACATTTATGTGATGTTTGGCAACAAATATACTTAAACATGGATCCATTTCATCGTTATAAATGGAAGTTTTTATGTTGAAACCTGGCTTAACATAATTTTAATTAGTTTTCAAACGCGTAATTATTGATATTGTAGAGTATACAAGCTTCAAGCTTATGCAAAAACAAGGCGGGGCCAGCACAAATTGGTTGAACTGCTTGTTCATGGAAGAAAGAAGGGATTAGCACATTATATTAGTTTTGTCAATTTGTTATACAACTAAAGATTTGTCATTAGTGAAGGTTTTTGAGCTAGAAAGTTGTATGAAAATGCTGGGATAGTCAAAATTGGCGTGCATAAAAGGTGAAGACCTGTGAGTAACAGACAACTAGTGCCCATATTTCAAGTGGAAGATATGCACCGCTAGCCAAGATATCAACAAACTAGTTGCAGAAACCTCCACTTTTTGGAATTACTATTGTCCAAAAGAGACCTGCTATAAATAGGCATGCAAATAGAATATAATACATAGGCAAGGTTGAGAAGATGGTGAGAAAAACAGCTTTCTTTATTGCATTCTCATGGCTCTTGTTTGTGGCATTCATAGTTGTTTCTGCTAATGCAGACAACACAAAGGGTGATTCCCCAACTTCTAATCATATGGTTTATTTTCCTCAAGGTAATTGAAGTCAATGTGATCTTATGCTTTTACACTCACTTTTATCACCGGTTTATATTACCACCAAAGATTCTCAAATAGGCTAAAAGTAACTGGTATGTCATTGTTCTGTGAAGGTTGCCGATGCTGCTGGTTCATATTCAAGCCAATGATCAAGTGTGGGCAAGTATGTTGTGGAGATGGATGTTGCTCTTCAACTTGACCATCACAATGTTGAATAAATACAAGTTTTCCTATATGTTTCTCTTCACCACCTAGACGCATAAATAATGTGATGCTAAATAAGTATGTTGGAATCCTAAGATTTGAATTCTGCATTGAACTGTTTTTGATATATATAACTTTATGTATTCAAAGTTTTCCTTTGAATATGACTTTCTCCAAGAGCTTTCAATTCAAACATCATTTTCAGATGGGCATACCCCTCTATCAACCATCCAAGTAATTCTCAAAGAGCACTGATGTCCCTTTCCTATGAGATATAGAATTGTTTCAAGTTATTGAGAGTCATGGACCGTGCACATAAAAGGTGTTGACCAACTTTCGGAAGGCTTATGAAGTCATGGACATAAAACACTACTTCCTTAAAACTGCATAAGTTGGATGACTCTCAAGTTAGAACGTGCAAAATTTTTTAAAAAAACAAGTAAAAATATATTAATCTTGATTGAATCAAAATATCTAATGAACTTGTCTTCCAAACGAACAATAAATATAATTTTACTCTTTTCACTTTATACCCTTTTTAACCACTTCTCATAAATGTAACACACTTCAAATTAAAGACAGATATATCCTAACCTATTTCCCCTACACATTCTCACTTGAGAAAAACTAAATCCAAATAAGATATGAATTCTGTGAAACCATACTTCTGCTAGAAATCCTTCTTCCCGTGGAGTTGAACCAATAAATTATATTCTGATTCATTCAATTAATTAAATAGGGTTCCCCAAAATAAATATGAGTAATATTCAATACATAGTGACAATGTTTATACCGTCTATTATATGGTACAATGACTTAACCACATGCTGGGCTGCAAACCATGAATCTTTTGAATATTTCTAAGCTTCAGTAGTATATCAGCTATTCTAGTTCTAACAGTCTCAGAAGAGGGGACCGTGAAAAAACCCACTTATGAAACCTCAGTCACATTGAAAGCAAAAATGTCCCGTGTAAAATCAGAAGTAACACTAGAATCCACCACTGACATGTTGTTTGAGATGAAGACGAATTCGAGCCTTTATCTGTAACCCCTACAAGAAAACGACAATCACCAACTGAAGGGTCTAGGAAAGTAACCATACCAAGGCCATCAAAATCGCAGCTTCGGGAATCTTGCATTTGCAGCTGATAATAACTATTAAAAGCATAAGATATATTACCCTTCTCACCAATTTCGTTACATGAACCTCCATAGTTAAGAGTGGTGCAATCTGCAACACTACATGCAAGTCTCATATGGTTTACTACATTAGTCAAATCACTGGAGGGGTTTGCCACACACCATCTAGATGGAAGATACTCAACATTCCTTGCATTTTTCAATTCCTTGTTTCCAAGTAGAAGGTTTAATGGATACTTTGCCTGTCCATCAAAAGAGAAAATTCCCCAGTGTCTTTCAAAGTTTCCAGGAAGTGTGCTCTTAGCGCCTTCATCAAGCAGACTGAAAAGATAAACATCCATAGGTGGAGCACCTGGCCTCAAGGGGGTCCCTTTGTTACCAGCAATGTGATTGATAAGGCCTTGATTGAAAACCTTTGCAGCAGTGATATTTGCACCAATGGCTCCATCTGAGGGCCAACCAATTTCTCCAATAACTATTGGCATCTGACCATATCCAAGTTTGTTGAGGGCTGCAACTAAAGTGTCATAGTTTCCATCAAATGCATTGGTGTAAACATTGGAACCATCTTGAACAGGATGAGTAGTTCCCCCAAAGAATGCGTAGTCTTGGGGGAAATCTCCATTGTCATAAAGGCTAAGAAATGGGTAGATATTAACAACGAATGGGCAACCATTTGAGTTGAGGAATTGAACCAGTTGAGTCATAATTTGAGTCAATTCAGGCCGGAACGCCCCTTGGGAAGGGGGTCCTGAGGATTCATAGGCATCTGCATTGCAAGGAACAACTAGCTTTACATAACCAGCGAGATTTGCTTTGACTAAAGACTGTTGTAAATTGAGTATTGCAGGCATGACCAAGTTCTGAAATTGACCATTATAACTTGAAAGGAAGGGCTCATTTCCAACAGCAACATATCTGTAATACAAGTATAACGTTAAAAGGCTTGTAGAAATCTAAATGTTCTGCACTTTTTTTTTCCCTTAAAAAGAATCTAGTTACAAGGAATAATTTGAAAAGGTATAAATGCAAAAGACATTTAGGCCCAATATGAATTATCTTCTAGCTTATGGGAATTTTTTTATTGTAAAACCCCACTACTATTAAGATTTTTCTAAGGTAAGAATGCTAATGAGTCATTTTATTTCTTATATTAAATTAGAGAATATTTATTTGTCAACGCCTCCCTTTCCCCTTAAAATCTAACCCCAAACATATCCTAAATCTACCATAAAAGAACATTTTCAACGGAACTGAATACATGTTATGCAGATTTTAAACAACTGAATCCAATGAGACATAAACCGCAGGTGTTTGCTGCGATCGAAAACTTCGTTGTATAAACAACGCTGCTCATGGTCATGATCATATAAAATTTGAATATATTATAAAATCTCTCAACATCACCAGTTTAACAAACCGTTTACCGAAGAACTGCCAATCAAAGCACCACCCAGGAAGGGACAAGAAAAAAGTGTTTTTTTTTTAACCACTAGCTAATAAAATTTTGAATAAAAAGAAGGGATGAACAAATATATTATAAAGTAAAGATTTGATACATAATACTAATACAGGCACTAATTCTTTGAAAAATAAAATAGATATAGAAAACATTCTTCATTGTATAGATAAAAAAATAAATAAAATATTGGGTTATTTCCATTTTTTGAGTAAGTTTAAACCTATTATGACTTAAAAGTTAAAAATAAATCTGAGGCATTGGAATCCTAAAGAAGAAGATAGGAACCTGATATCAGCACCCCCTTTACCCATATAAGCAGAGACATTTTGGCGAACCCACAAATCAGTAGAAGAAGGTGATGAACTGAAGAGTGACAACATCTCATTGGGGATCCCAACCATCACCTGAATCCCACTCCCTATGAGTGCTCTTAACACATCAGAATCTGCCTCAAAAAGCTTCACTTTTGGGATCTTGTTCTCTCTCAGAAGATCAACCACCGTCGATGGCTTCAGCCTGTGGGATGAAATGGTGCCCCAGTTCACTCCTATGGCAGATTCCGCCATTGGAACCAAGCTCCAACATAGAAGCCACGGAAAAAGGACACTGCTGAATCTGGGTTCCAACATGAACATGCGACTGAAAATGGTGATGATCCTAGGTGTGAACAAAAAGACAGTGTTGGAGGTAGAAGAAACAAGACAAGAACTAATGAACTATGAATGAATGAATCGGTGTTACATCACATTGCATTACAGTTGTATGAGTAAAGTTGAAGATATAATTAGAGTGTAGTTCATCACTAACAGCTCCAAGGTTATAATTAAGCGGGATGCATACCAATTTACCATAATGCCCTAACCTCCTTCTTCTTTTTTTTATGTCGGTATCACCTAGAGGCTTTTAAAGTTCTGAGAAAAAAAAATAAATACTAAAATATAGAATTTTGTAAAAATTTATAGAAATATGATAAATTTTCAAAAATCATCTAACGCTGAATATATGTAATCATAAATTTTGTATGATTTAATTTTTTTAATTTTTTTAAAAAATTATTATTATTATATTACAAAAATTGTCATGAATATTTTATAGTTTTTAACAGTTCTATTTCTAAATTTTTATGTGTATGCCAAAAATTATTATTATTATTAAAATACTATATTTTTATAATTTTTAAAAATATCATATTTTAATCTATTATTTTTAAATATTATATAAAAATTAAAAAACCTCATCGAGAGTGCTTAGATATTTTGCGGTCTAATTTTTCTTTTGAAAAAACATTGATTGATAAGATAGTAAGAACAAATTATGCTCATACACTGTGAGGTATAATAAAAGTTCACACGATATTTTTGTATTTTTAAAATTTATATAACAATGTAATAATATATATATATATATATATATATATATATATACAATTATACAAATTATCTATTTATTATGCAAATAAATAAATATTAAAAATGTATAAATCTTAAAGAATGTGAATATAATCTGTTTAAATAATAATATTTTAAGTCAATCTTAAAAACGAACTAGTATTAATTTAATTTTTAAAAATTATAAAAAATATTTTAATCTTTTAAGATTTAGCCTTAGTACAGCACAACAAGATGAAACTACATATATATAACTAAAACATTGACGTAAAAATAAAAATATTGTATCAGTATTACACAAGCCTCAACCATATGTTGTTTTTGTTGACCGGTAAATGAAGAGGATTTTGAAGAGAAAATATTGCATTTATCATGATTGTGAAATATTTTTAATTCAAATTAAGAATATATATGTTTTTATTTTCTCACTATATTATAAAAATAATTTTATTTTATTAAGAAAAATTACAAATATTTGTAATAAGACACAATTATTTATTTATTTTTTACCCAGAACGTGCTTTCCCGTAAAAGGGGTGCAGAATAAGAGAAAAGGGTGAGTGTAAACGCAAACGGGGTTATAGAGAAAGATGTGTGTGATTGTGACACAGCAACTAGGGATGTTAAAAGGGACACAATTGTAACTTCACATGGGAAATCATTAACATAGTCAAGAAAGTTCCTATGAGGTTTAAATAGGGTGATGTGTATAACCCAAACTTGTCATTTAGCAAAGAAAGAACAATACCATCACACGAATACTGCCATGTTCATTGCTTTGTGACTGCAATGTAATGCCTCCGTAATACCTTCAAAATAAAAAATAATAAGAATATACCTTTTTTTTTTATCACATTCTTAATTATTAGTTTAAATTTATTAAAAATTATAAAATTTGTCAAAACACGATCAACATCACAAGTGTCAATTGAAGTATCCACTCTAGTGAAGCTCACATGCATCAGTTGCCTTCCCTCACAACATGCATGATTGGCTTTAATTCTATTATAGCCCTTTTTTTCTTTAAATGGGATGTAATTTTATTGATTAGGGGTGATTTTGATTTTTTTTATTGGTAAGTATTAACTAACTATCCTGCATTTTGATTTAATTATAAAATAGTTTATCTAAAAAATAACTAAGAATAATTTTATTTTCCAAAAAAAAAAGTCTAATTTTTATAGCTTTATAACATTCCCTCTGCTGTAAAATATTATCAACAGAACATATGTATGACCTATCCTTATTTCTATATCTTCCTTAACCTTACGAGGACTCTTGTTTCCTGATCTCATTATTCTATGTTGATTTTTTTTTTCTCCTTATGAAAACAGAATAAGATAGAAAATTATATCTGATGAGAAACTGAAAGGGATATATGGTGGACCCAGCAGAATGAGATTTCCTAAACCAATAGATGAGTGTTGAAACAACAACATATTTATTTTTAATATATTATTTAACATGTTATCCATTATTAGCTTGTAATTGTTAATAAATCATTTAATTGTTTCAATAATAATAATATAAATTTAAATATAAAGAAAAGAAGTATATATCTGAAGGATATTGACAATTTTTCTTATCTCATAGCTCATAAAATTGGAGTAAAATGAGTGAAAAGAAGAGAAATAAAATGAAAAAAAAAAATAAAGAAAGAAATATGAAAAATCAGAATCCAAAATCTAATATGATTATTAATGTCGTCACCTCTGGCCTGTGCAAGACATTGATCTATGTGAATGCAATCACAGTAAAGGAATGTTGGGCTAAGGGAGATTAAAAGAGAAACCTCTCACTTATTCTGCGAATATTTTTGAGTCGAATATGTGATAGTTCCTTGGAAGGTTATGCTATAGAGAGTCCATTTTCATTAGCTGATTACTCCACGATACTTTAATTTAAGAATGATTACATTACATGCATTACAAATTATAAATTTGTTCAATCAATTTTTTAATGATTAAGTGACTTAATTTTTTTTATATAAACTATGAGCTTTAAAGAAGTCAAATCTTAGATATAAATAAGGAATATTGAAAATAAGCATCAATAATACTAACTTTATATCAGATAAATCTTTATCTTTTGTAACAGCATTTTTTTTCTTGATGCTAAATTCAAATGCACATGAAAGAATGTCATAAAAGCACTTAGACCCAGTGAGTGGCAACCATAGGGACCCAGCAGCCATTACCATGTATAAGATACATGTCATTCGTGAGGATAATTGGCACTTCTAATCAATAATTTCATTTTAAGGTATGTTTGAATTAAATTATTTGGCATTTTAAAAAATTTTAAAAAATGTTATAGATAAATTCTTTGTTACTGCTACTACTGTTATTATTATTATTATTATTATTATTATTATTATTATAGACTTGGGGAATAGACAGATTGCCCTTCCTACATTTGGGGATCAAGGAATGGTTCAGTGTACGTTTGTAAAATATTCCACACCACTTTGCAAGCTTTTGAAGAATTGTAAAAGGAAACATGTCGTTTTCCAAGGCAAACGTAAACCTAGATATTGATATTCTCAACCAACCCAAAAAGGCCAAATAATGAAAAAGAGAGGGAAAAAAAAAGGTATTTTTGCTAGTATTTTCAGTTTCTTTAATAAAAGTCAGCATGGCAAAGCAAGATTATAGGAGATTCTTCATTCAGCAAATGGTATTGGTGATTCCTCATTGAGAGACACCTTATCCTTTCTTTGATCTTTATAACTTTCTTACCAATTTGAGGGAATCCAAACATCAATTGGGCTGGTTGGTATAGAATATAAAAATATTGAAAGCTTATTTAACACTCATTGTTGAGTAGCTGTGTCTGCCACCATAAAAGGGTAGAGAGAAAGAGAGTAAAGCAATAGTGGCACATGCTTATCACTTCCATGTTGCTTTTGTATCAACATTGCACCTAGGACCCTGAAATTTTTCCATATATAGATTCAATAATCATGCAGATATCTATGGCCCCAGAATCCAATCACTACTTTAGACACTATCTTCTTTAGACAATTACCAGAAACATATAATTCCAAAAACAAAATTCTTAATTTTCCCCAGACAATCATTGCCTAATAATGAATCATAAGAAATAGTAATTATTTTCCGCGGTGAGGTTGCGATTGCGTTATTGATGATCACATCACATAATTGAAAAAAATAACAACTTGGTGTTTGTTATAAAATATATATAAAGGGTTAAGTCACAAAGTTATATAGCATCTGTAGATCTATCTTCTACAAAGAAAGACAAACATCAACTGCATAACACCAGAACATGACAATCACTTATAAGAGTTATGCTTTTGCCGAGAGTGAAATTAACTAGTTTCCCAAAAGGGACTAAAAACTATGGTGTTTGAATGTCTAGCTCCTAATTAACAAAATTATGTTAAATGGAGACATATCCCATGCATGACCATTTAAGATCTTTTATATAGCTCACGTTCCAAATGAAATTGGCACAATTTCTAATGTGAAGGCCAGCAACAAAGCCAATATACCCTGCCAAAATCCCATGAATTGGGGAGTGTGCTACCCTGCTAGTGCTAGGATTGTACAATACAAATTAGTCTTTGCATGAATTGCATGAATGATGCATGTGGGATCTACGTACTTCATTGTATACAGCTAATTTGGGTGGCCCCTGGCCCACTTATTTCTTTAGCTCTAACTTCAACCGTTCACTAATCAACATCATGGGTTGCCAGATTCATCATTTTCATCATTTTCACAATTGATCAGCACTAGCAATCAACATTACTCATCACAACTTCTAAACATTCAGCAATGTGCAATTATGCACTTCACACCATTAACTGCACACAGCTTCACATGGGCAGCACTGGTTGCTTGTTGAGTTATTTCAACTGCTGTTTGGAATCCAAAAGATCTATATATTATCCAACGTCAAGAGTTCCAACAACTGCAACATTCAGTTTGCCACCTCCAACAGATATGGCATTCAATCAATAGATTATAAATATACAAAGATCACAGGAGTAGCATATGCATTTGATGGTTTCATTTCAGGCAATGGTGATAAGGGATAAGCTTCCACCTTTGAAGTCTACATCATAATTCATTCATACTACACTTTTCTTCAATATTTTTTATAGTACTGTATTTTCCCATTATCTTTCTTCATCACATAAATCATCTTATTCCACACTCCTCTCATTTTTTGCACAAAAAATTGTACAAACTACAATTTCTCAATTCATTAAGCTTTTTCGCCATCATAATGTGATTGAGATGTAGAGCGTAGACATTTAGTATAGTTGATAATTTGGAATTTTAAACGCAAAAGGGAAATAGAAAGGAACTCATATATATTATCAGATGGTGTTAGAAAAAATTAAAAGATCACCAAACACCCTTCAAGGAAATAAGGT